TGAGAACCCTTGCCAGGAGCGTGTCCATCTTGTTAGCTTTTTCATAAAAGGTGCGTTTGGACCAGGTCATAGCTTTGGCAGTGTCGTCTAGTAGCAGGCAGCGGATGGTATGTCGTTTTGCTTCTAAGTGTCGTAGTGTCTCGTCGTCAGGTCTATTCTGATGTTGGTGTTCCAATCTTCTAAGGTCAGTCAGTAGTATGCGCAGTCTTTGGAATTTCTTCTTCTTTTTGGCAGTCGCTATTTTAATAAAAGTGCCCCGTATCACTGTCTTGTGTGCTGCCCATATCGTTTCCTGTCTCAAGTCAGGGGTGGTGTTAGTGGCAAAAAAGTCTAGGATATCGTTCCGTATCTGTTATACTAGCTCTTGGTCTCTCAATAAGGAGGCATTGAGTTTCCAGGTCCAGGGGGACGCTACGCAATCCTAAGCTAAGCTTCCCCAATGTAAGGGAAACATCCACATGGTCAGACCATGTGATGGACCCTATCTCTGAACCCAGGACATGGGTCAGGCATCTTTAGTTGACCAAGAATAAATCTATCCTAGAATAGGTATCGTGTGGGGCCAAATAGAAAGTAAAGTCGATAGTGCTCGGATGACGTGCCCTCCAGACGTCCACCAACCCCACATCAGTCAAAAACCTGTGGAACAGCTTGTCCTGGCCCCCTCGTCGGTGCCGCGTTAAAGTCCCCTCCCACTATTAACATGCCATGCAGTAAATTCTGTATTTTTGCCTTCAATGTCTCCCAGAACCCGGCCGCTGGCTGGTTCGGGGCATACACGTTAATTAAGTGTATTGTGTGAAAGTAGTGTGCCGGATAGGATGACATATCGCCCGTCTGGATCGCAGTCACATGATGTTATTTTAAACGGGCAGCTGCTCCGTATCAGGATCGACACTCCGTTCTGTTTACGGTGCGTTCTAGCCTCATGTGTAGTGCTATATGTGTGGTCCCTTAGCTTGAAGCCAGCCTGTTTGGAACTGAGCAACCCCCCCCGTCCCTCCCCTGAGAGTGCCTCCTAGATACCAAGACCTCCTGTCGGTCATCAATACCTCTCCCTGCCCTGGGGCTACGGCTCCTGCCATCCCCCCGAGGAAGCCTGCCCCATGGCCCCCATCGGGGGGTTGCCGGGACGTTCCCTGAACAGCAAACGCCTCTTCCTCGGAGCATTGAGGCCCTTCACATTTAATGTAGTGAGTTGTAGTGTCATGGTCCTTACATAGGTGCAGCGCTATCATACTGGACCACGCCCGCCTTGACTGTGCCTTCCATGCGGTCTTCAAGTCTGGCGGTTCTCGCGCCCAGTGCGGCGATCTCTGCTTGCAGGACAGATGTGGATCTTTCTATCTCCCCTGCCAGAAAATTCTGCACCTCCGCCAATCTGGACAATCTTTGCAAGGTATCTCCCGCTCTGTGCCCCTCTATTGTAGCAGTGCGTGGCGAGGGCGGCTGTGAAGTGGAGCCCCGGCCGGCGCCATCTTGGCAGTCCGACGGCCTGCTCTTTTGCGCGGTCATCATGTCGAATACTGAAGTTCCAGACTCAGATCCCTTGTTGGGGAGCTTTTTGGGGTTTCCTTTTATCCATTGATTGTGGAGTCTTTATATTATTTTTGCTGTTGTTGGCTTTTTTTTGGCGTATTGGGACCGGAGCTCTAGACAGACGCCTCCAGCTTGTTCCCTGGTCAGGCCACGCACCCGAACCCACCACTTTTTATAAAATTACCACAGAGTATACCTTAAACATGGCCTTATGGTGTGACTAAATCCCCATAAATGTATTATTATATGTGTTTTTAAAATAGCCTTAAATGATCAATTGTGTGTGTGTGCAGAGCCATATTGTTGTGTAATGTATAAACCTTGGTCAATATAGGCTCTAAAACATGGGTGTCCAACCTTTTAGCTTCCCTAAGCCACATATTGAGTGCAGAGGAATTGCCTTGAGCCGCACGTAAAATCTATCACATAAATAATTTATATAATAAAATGTCAAAAGCCCTTTTCTTAAATTTGTTTATTAGATAACTCCCTTATCTGTTATCCTTATGTGGAATTGCCATATTTAAGGATACCAACTTAGGGAGCTATCTATTAAACAAATACACATGTATATACATAATCACACACACACACACACGTGTAGTCACAGACCTATACACACAATCACAAATATACACACACACAATCACAGACCTATACACACAGTCACATACATGCACACACTGAGTATGTAGCTAGACTGTGAAATTACTCAGTGGAGATGGGATATGTTAATATTCTTATATTCCACAACAGACTCATTACCTGTGAGTATAAGCTGAGCACGATACTGACTAAGTTAATAACAGTCACTCTGCATGTCCCATAGCCCATGCTCCAGTACAGTAAGGATGTCATTACATTCACCACTCAGCTAGTTGTCCATCCATCTCAGGTCCAGGTGAAGGTGTCATCTTCCCAGCAAACAGAACACTAAGAGATTTACTCAACCCTGAATTACTGAGACTGGAGCTAAGGCTGGTGATGGAGATGTTATCTGGGAAAATAGATAAGAGGTGTAAATCAGAGGCAGTTAATGTGCATGTCTGATGGGTAGGTTACACTAAATCCAGTAACTTTTTGCACAGCCATTGTGACTTCTCCAGTAACACTCGATAGCAAAACCAGTATTCCCCATCTCTTTTCCATCATACAGAATAAGAAGCAAATAATGACACTGTGATAGAAGCTACCATGTCAGTTCCCTTTGGAGAGGCTTAAAGGCCCGCCTTTTACCCACAGACTATGGACCTGGTCCAAGGAGTCCCTGAAAGAGATGTGTGACAACAGCAATTAATGTACAAAATATTTATTACTTGAGAACTCTGCAGCTCCCTCTGCTGGTTGAATGGAAATGTGTGCATTTATATAAAGCAGGTATGCAAATGAGGGCAACCAAATACGTGGTTAAATGGATATATTGTTGCTTTTTGTTGTATTTGAAAATGTTATTTGTATAATATTGTTAATGTATTAATTTGAATTGCTTGTTTGCTAATGTTCTATAATTTGTATTTTCAATGTTTGTCACCACATGCTTAAGGACTAGTCCTTATCCAAAAATAATGAATGTTATCTCTCCTGTGTGGATTTTAGGGATCCCAGTAACAGAGTCTTCTAACTTGTTGGCTGGCTGCATGATACCTCTAGCCCTGGGGCAAATCGAAAAGCGAGCTAGACCTGAGAGCCCCAGGTGCTTTTGTAAAGACAGGAGCAATCACTATAAGCAGAGCTGTTGATACCTGCTTGGGAAGGAAAGCTGCAAAGGAATAGGCAGTGGGGATGATACATGCCTGGAAGAAATGAGCTGCAGTCTGATCGGGTAGAAGCGTTATGGAGAGACCCCAGTCAAGCTTCGGCGAGGTACGAGGTCGGAGTACAGGAGGTTAGTCATAGACACTGTATCTGTTACACTTCTTTTTCCTATGGTAAAATAGTTAATAAATATGGTACAACCTTTCAAATATTAATACAAATGGGGTGATTGATATAGATTTTTGGTAACCAGATAGGCTGGTATGAAATTACTTCCAGGGCTGTTTTTTATGCCCAGTCTGACCCTGATCATTCCTTGATGTGGCACAGGGACCCATCATGCATTCAATGTTTTTCCCCAGTGGAAAGTATGTGAGTTAGAGATGTCATTATCAGGAAACCAAATAAAAGTCTGGGTTTCATATGTGGACAGGTATGGCTTGAATGAAGCATTAAACCAGTTTCTGAGCAATGAGGTTGTGTCACAGCGTGCATTATACAAACAGCTGCTAATATTTTCTCTTTTTCCCCAAGGCAAGATAGGAATTATCTAATTCTAGGAAAATGTTCCTCAAAATATTTTTGAAATGTGCTAAATTGACCTAAATGTATCATATATGCTTGGCATAAATACAAATCAGTTCTCTGTAACTAAACACAAAATTAAACATTAAACATGTATCTTGGGTTGTTATATTTCTATTTCTTCTCTATTACATTCATTAACAGTGTTAAAGTGCATAAAGTGTATAAATGGGGCCTAGATTATATATAAATAATATCAAAATATCAGCAACCTTATAAAGAGTATATAAAGAGTAAGACAGAGATACCCAATACAGGAGCAGGCTATAATTGTAGTCAGATGGTCCTGTAGCCCCATAGAACAAAAGCACAGCTTAGTGGAAAAGGGCCTTGACAGGGGTTAGGAGGCGGGCATAGGAGGAAGCTGAGTGGGTCATGGAGAGGTTAAGGGGCTGGGTCATATAAGTAGGCAGACATCTTAGGAAAAAAATCACTTTTAACTTGCCTGCGTGGCTGAGTTTGTGTGCACTTTGTGTGTCCACTCATTTGGCCTGGTAGGTTTTTCTCTTTTCTCTCCCCTGCAGGATGGGTGTCGTGGAGAAGATGCTGGAGGGCCTCAGGACGGCGGCGAGGAACCGTGGAGCTGACTGGATCCAGACCCAGCTGGGATCGGTGCTAGCCACGACAAAGGGACGGGGGCGGCAGTCGACCCAGGAGGCCCCCACATCGTTTGAGCCCAGCCCCTGTGGAGCTGACCGGAGCTGTGAGGAGGCGACAGGTGCAGGCCGCAAACGGGAGGGCCGGCCCCTGGCAAGAGAGTCCAGTCTGGCAGCGGGGGCAACGAGGCAGGCAAGTGCAGGTTGGGGGTAGCGGGGTGCGGCCTGTGGCAGGGAGATTGGTAGGCAGGTTCTTAGGCCCCAAGGGTTCTCCAGTGGGTGGGGGGCGGATGGGGTAGCGGGGGGGTCACCCTGGACTGAGTTGGGGACAGGGGGAAGGGAAGTGGGGCAGCTGGCAGCAGGGGATGGGGGCAGTGTGGGGTAAGTGCTCCCTGGGGGGTGGGTATGGGCCCAGCCAGGGGGCGGGTGGTGAGGTGAGTGTAGCAGGGGAGTGGGCCACCTGAGGGAGGGGCACAGGAAAGGGGGACCATCGCAAGGGCAGCGGGGGGGTCAGGGGTTGGGCCCCAAGTGTCCCAGGGTGAGGGGCAGGCGGGCCTTTCAAGCCGCGCCTCGGGCAGATTAGTACCCGGTCAGGTGGCAGGGCAGGCTGACCTTGCGGGTCATGCCTTGGCGGGCAGGGGTGCATCCCCCAGGCCACGACGCTACAGAAGGCGCAGGTCATGTGGCAGATTCCGCAGGAGGGGGTCCCCTAGCGGGTCAAGGAGTGCCTGCTCCTCCCCAGTTCAGAGCATCAGCACTGGTCGGACTCCGGCAGTTCGGAGGGAGACGTCCCGGCAACCCCCCGATGGGGGCAATGGGACAGGCTTCCTCGGGGGGATGGCAGGAGCCGTAGCCCCAGGGCAGGGAGAGGTATCGATGAACGACAGGAGGTCTTGGTATCTAGGAGGCACTCTCAGGGGAGGGACGGGGGGGGTTGCTCAGGAACGGTGCACCCTGCCTCTCCTTATCATTACAGGTTTCGGAGTCGTTCTTCCTCTGGTATGGTTCGGCATCGGGTGGACTCCCCGGTTGGACTTCCTGCTATGGATGCGGGGCATCCTGGAACGCTTGGAGTCGGCAGAGCAGCCCCTGGGCCATCCGCGGCATTTGGGGGCTTGGTCGGTGAGTCAGATGTTGCACTACGTTCTCACACCCTGCTTAACACACTGCAGTCACTGCTTCTGTCTTTGCAAACTGGGGGTAGTCAGGGGGCTGGCGTGGGACAGGTATGGGTTCCCAGGGCGGGGGCCGTGGTGAGCTCGGAGTCAGGCGCAGGGGATAGCTCGGGCGGGACCGGGGGTCGACGGTGGGGGAGGCTGCGGTTGCGACCGAGAGGGCGGAATTGACAGGGGGTGTGCCTGATGCGGCACGGCAACATACGTATGTGTCATTTGCGGGGCTGTTGGGGGTGCACCTGAAACAAGATGTGAAGGAGACGTTATGGAAGGGTGAGTTTTGCAAAATCTTTTCCCTTCTCCCGTTGGAAGAGTTTCTTGACCTCAAGGACGAGGACAAGAAAGACGAAAAGAAAGAGGAAGAGGAAAAGAGGAGGAGGTATCAGAAGATACCGAAGTCCTTTGATAACTGGTTGAGGGCTTTTTGCATCCTGGCTAGCGTCCTGGGCGAGAAATTGCCAGGGTTGTGCTCATCATTGTTTTGCTACCTGGATGGCATTTGGGAAGCGTACCGCACGTACGGTGGGCTCGCGTGGTGGAGGTATGACGAGCAGTTTAGGTAGAGGCTGGCAGCTAATCCAGGTATGAGGTGGGACCATATGGACCTTCCTCTCTGGATGAAGCTGATGATGGCACAGAAGGCACAACCCTTTCAACAGATGGCTAGCGCAAAGGGAGAGTCTGCCTCGTCGAAATTGATTCGGTGCGGGTGTCAGTTTCCCCAAGATAAGCTGGTGGGGATGCGGGGGGTCGTTGGGGAGTTACTGCAGGCACGCAAGGTGACCCTGCAGCAGCTACAATCGCTCCTGGGCAAACCTAACTTTGCCTTTGGGTGATCCCAATGGGGCAGATCTTTAGCCGGAACCTGTCTGCGGCAACGGGAGGGGTACAGTCCCTGCATCATTTCATCAGGGTGTCGGCGGTTATGCGGGCCGACCTGGCGGTGTGGGAGGCATTTTTGCGTGATTTTACTGGTACAGTGTTCTTTCGGAAGGAGGGGATATCGGTGGAAGAACTCAAGCTCTTCACGGACGCTTCCGGTAGTGTGGGTTTTGGGGCTTACTTTGGCGGCCACTGGTGCGCAGAACGGTGGGCGGATGAGTAGGGTGAGAGCCCCCTCATCAGGAACCTGGTATTCCTCGAATTGTTCCCCTTGGTCATGGCACTGGCACTATGGGGTGATACGCTGCGGAACCGTAAGGTAGTTTTATTTTCAGACAACGTGGCCGTGGTACACGCGGTTAACAATCTGTCTGTGGCTTCTAAGCCGGTTGTACGGTTGTTGCGGCGCTTTGTTTTGCTTTGCATTTCGCTCAATGTGGTTTTTCGCGCAAGTCATGTGCCAGGGTACTTGAACATCGTAGCCGGACGCCTTGTCTCGTTTACAGTGGTCCCGGTTTCGGATGATCTCGCCAGGAGCGCTGGAAGTAGGACAGGCATGCCCAGAAGAGATGTGGCAGCTCAGAGAGTCCTGTTTGGGGGATATGTAAAAGCCTTGGTGGCACCTGGAACTTGGGCGGCATACAGTAAGGTCTGGACTGCATGGGAAGGCTCGTGGGCCGGGTTGGATCTAGCATTGGTAGGGGAATCTCGACTGGATGAGTTACTGTGGTTCACATTCCGATTGCTGGCGGGGAATCCATCACCGGCGGTGGTGGACAGGAACATGGCGGCCGTAGCATTCTGGTTCAAGTTGCATGGGTGGGACGAATTCACAAAGAATTTTGTGGTACGACAGACGCTTAAGGGGTATCGTAACGGTCGCCGGGTGCCCGACGCTCAGAGGCCTGTGTCGGTGAAAGTGCTGGGGGGGCCTTCTGGGGATGCTGCTGGAGGTATGTTGGGACGAGTTCGAGGAGCGGTTGTTTCGGGCTGCATTTATCCTGGCCTTCTTTGGAGCCTTTAGGATTGGGGAACTGGTGAATGCTAATCGGGCGGCCAGTGGGGGTATTCAAGCGGCCGGGTTACGCATTCAGGAAGGGAAGCTCGTGGTGCACCTGGCCAGATCAAAAATCGACATTAGGGGCAAAGGTTGGGACGTGACACTAGGTGCTCTGCCAGGTTCGGTGCTCTGTCCTGTAACCGCGGTGTCACAATACTTGGCTCGGAGGCCTGCAGTTGAGGGGTCATTGTTGGTACACGCAGATGGCTCTTCCCTCTCTCGATTTCAGTTTGCCAGGGTCTTTTGATTGGGTTTAGCTAAGTTGGGGTTACAACCAGGCAGCTTTGGAACACATTCTTTTCGGATCGGGGTGGCTACTGAAGCCGCACAGTTGGGCCTGGGGGAGGCAGTGGTCAAGAGGATTGGGAGATGGGAATCGGTCAGGTTTCGGTCATACGTGCACTTGAGTATGTTGGACTGAATGGGGGTTGGAAGGACCATGGTGTACTATGCATGGTGGTGATGCTTTTATTTGTTTCCCTAGGACAAGTTGCCTGGATCATCGGGCATTCCTTCGTGTACTGGGCCAAGAAGAGAGATGCAGCTACAGTTAAAGGGCAGCAGCTGGGATTTATGATGGACCAGTTGGCAATTCGTTGGTTTGGTTATCGGGGGTTTTGTTGAGGGGATGTTTGCAATGCAGTGTTTTGCATGTTAACAGGTGGAGGAAGGCCGCACTTCCTAGTTCTCCACGCAGGAGTAAATGATCTGGGGCTGGTGCCGCAGCGTCAGCTGGTCAAATGGATGAAGCAGGATCTAAATAGATTGCGGGATATGCTCCCTGGAGTGCTGGTGGTGTGGTCGGAGATGGTGCCTAGACGGCAGTGGCGGCACGCGCGTGACCCATTGGCCATCGAGTGTTGCCGAGGAAAGGTTAACAGTCTAATGGCTAGTTTTGTCAGGAAAGTGGGGGGTGTGGTAGTGAGGCACAGGAAATTAGAAGTGGGGTTGCCCGGTTACTATCATTCGGATGGAGTTCACTTCTCCGCAGTGGGGTGGGATCTCCTGAACCTAAGTTGGCAGGAAGGGCTGCAGAAAGCACTGTTTCTTCGGGGTGGAGGAGCTCAGACGGCTAAATGTTTCAAGGTCTGAGCTCATAGCTACTCCTGCTTCTTTATGTTTCGGTGGTCTACAGTTCTCCCATACTCCTAGACTCGACTGTAAAGGAGGTGGTGTAGGCATCCTTCTCTCCCCTCAATGTACCTTTCAACCTATCCTCCCTGCCCCTGCCCTATCCTTTACTTCCTTTGAAGTTCACACTGTACGCCTTTTTAAGCCCACTCCTTTAAGTATTGCCATCATCTATCGCCCCCCCGGTCACCCTAAACTATTCATTGAACACTTTTCCTCCTGGTTACCCCACTTTCTTTCCTCTAGCACTCCCTCTCTCATACTTGGGGACTTCAATATCCCTATCAACAAGCTCAACTGCCCTGATGCCTCTCGTCTGCTCTCTGTAACCTCCTCCTTTGGACTCACACAGATTTCTTTCTCAGTAACTCACACTGCAGGAAACACTCTTGACCTCATCTTCACCAATCTCTGTACCACCTCTGATCTTGCCACTGCTCCATTTCCTTTGTCTGACCACCATCTGCTAACATTTAACATCTGCATACTCCATACCAAAATCTCACCACCATCCACTCTCCAACCTCGCAGAAACCTCAACTCTCTCAATCTCCAGCACCTCTCCACTAAACTCCAAACACTCCTTTTACCTATCTCAAATCACAACTGCCCTAACTCTGCAACCTCACTCTACAACTCCACTCTCTCCTCTCAACTTGACATCATGGCACTTCCTATAGTTAAACGCAGCAAGCGCCCCCAACTACAACCCTGGCACACCAAGCTGACCCGTTACCTCCAAAAATGTTCCAGAACTGCTGAACGTTGCTGGAGAAAGTCTCACTTTGCATCTGACTTTGTCCACTATAAATTTATGCTGCGCTCCTACAGCATGGCTCTTTCCTCTGCAAAGGTAAGCTACTTCAACACCCTCATAAGCACACTGTCCCACCAACCCAAACACCTGTTTCACACTTTTGATGCACTTCTTCGCCCTGTGACTCCCCCTCCTTCCACCACCTTGTTCGCCACAAACTTTGCATCTCATTTCACTGAGAAGATCTCTACAATCAGGAAAGAGATCTGTAATCTTTCTCCAACCAGTATCAATACATTACCCAACCCCACTCCCCCTGCCATCCTAAGCTCATTTGCACCTGCTACAGCACAAGAGGTTTCTGCTCTGCTCCTGTCCTCCCGCCCCACCACCTGCTCCCTCGATCCTATTCCCTCGCATCTCATCCACACTTTGTCTCCCTCTCTTGCTCTTCCTCTCGCTAACATTTTCAATCTCTCCCTTCCCTCTGGCACATTTCCCTCTGCCTTCAAACATGCAACTGTAACCCCAATTCTGAAAAAGCCCAACCTTGATCCCAACTCCCTATCCAACTACCGCCCTATCTCGCTACTGCCATTTGCCTCCAAGATCCTCGAGAGAGTTGTCTACGCCAGATTAACAGACTTTCTTGAATCCAACTCTGTGCTTGACCCCCTTCAGTCTGGATTCCGCGCTGGTCACTCTGTCGAAACTGCTGTGACCAAAGTATCCAACGATTTACTTGCTGCTAAATCTCGCGGCCAATACTCTATCCTAATCCTCCTTGATCTTTCTGCCGCCTTTGACACTGTTGATCATCAACAGCTTCTTCACATTCTCCGTAACTTTGGTCTACGGGATACTGCTCTCTCCTGGTGCTCCTCCTACCTCTCCCACGCTCCTTCAGTGTTTCTTTCTCTGGCTCTGCCTCTTCTCCCCAACCCCTCCCTGTCGGCGTCCCCCAAGGTTCTGTCCTCGGCCCCCTACTGTTCTCTATCTATACTGCCTCCCTTGGTAAACTCATCAGCTCTTTTGTCGTCCAATACCATTTATATGCAGATGACACGCAAATCTACCTGTCCTCCCCTGATCTCTCTCTGCCCACCTTGACTCGTGTTTCTGACTGCCTCTCTGCTATTTCCAACTGGATGGCTGCTCACTTCCTTAAACTCAACCTGTCCAAAACAGAACTTCTAGTTTTTCCTCCCTCAAGTGCTGCTACTCCTGTGTCTGTCTCCATCCAAGTCAACGGCGCTACTATCACCTCTACCTCCCAGGCTCGCTGCCTAGGGGTTCTTTTTGATTCTGATCTCTCTTTTACTCCCCATGTTCAATCGATAACCAAATCCTGTCGCTTCCAACTCAAGAACATAGCGCGCATCCGCCCATATCTAACGCCAGACGCGGCTAAGGTACTGGTTCATGCTGTTGTTCTCTCTCGCCTTGACTATTGCAATCCCCTTCTCACCGGTCTTACATGTTCCCAGCTTGCACCGCTGCAATCTATAATGAATACGGCTGCGAGGCTTATTTTCCTGTCCGGTCGCACCTCCCACGCCTCCACGCTCTGTCAGTCCCTGCATTGGCTTCCAGTTAGATATAGGGCCCAATTCAAAATTCTGGCGCTTGCTTACAAATCCCTACATAATGCTGCTCCAACATACCTATCCTCCCTCATACACAAGTATGTCCCGTCGAGACCCCTGCGCTCAGCCCAAGACCTACGCCTATCCTCTGCCCGGATCCCCACCTCTGATGCTCGCCTTCAAGACTTCTCCAGGGCTGCACCTATTCTGTGGAACTCCCTTCCCTCCTCAATCAGACTTTCACCCAGCCTCCATTCCTTCAAAAAATCTTTGAAAACTCACTTCTTCATTAAAGCGTATCAATTAAACTGTCAGCAGGTTTCTCATCCCCCACCCCATGACTCCGTTCCTGCACCTGTCAAAAATGACCTACCAAGCACTCAATAAACCCTTCTGTAACAAACTATTTAATTCCCCTACTTTAACCCTTTGTGTCACTATACCCCACTCCCTCTAGCATGTAAGCTCATCGAGCAGGGCCCTCAACCCCCTCTGTTCCTGTACGTCAGTGGTCTGATCTCAATTATGTGTCTGTTAGTCCACCCATTGTACAGCGCTACGGAATTAGTTGGCGCTATATAAATAATAAAATAATAATAATAATAATAGCGGGATAGGGAGCTCTAGGAGAGGAAATAGGCTCCCCAGTAGGAAGGTTATGTTAATAGTTATTGGTATGTTGGTAGGTTTCGAGTCCTGGAGGTGGCTCAGAACCTGGTGGGGTAGGGGTATCCCGATATACCCCTACCATGGTTAAATTATAATAATGGTTGGCACTTTAAGGGATGTTATGTTGGTTCAATGTTATATATATATATATATACACGTTATTTATTAAGGGGGTCATTCCTGTTATACCTAACGGAAGGATACGGAAATAAGGGCAGGGCATAGGCAATGACCTAAAAAGTTTCTATGTTAAGTTATTATTATTTATATATTTAATAAAGCTGTGGACAATTTTATCCATATACCCGAGTGTCCGTGTTTTATTGGGGGTAGGTATGTGGGGGTTTGTCCAAGGTTCCGAATTCCCATATGGCGACGATACACCGGTCAAGATGTCAAGATATCATGGGCAGGCAGCTAGAGAGTGAGATTGAGAGGGAAGCCAAGGTCAGAAGCCAGGAAATCACAATACTGAAGGAAGTCAGGAACTAGGAGAGACAAAGTACAGTAATCAGGAGTCTAGCTAAGCATAAGAACAACCAAGCACTGATTGGGGAAAGTGCCTGGATTATTTAGACATGGCAGAGCCTCCAGAGATTAGACAATGCTTCATATTGGCTACCTCACAGTCCTTGCACCACTTCTTGACCCATACACAGCTCCTCCAACTTGTCCCTGTATACAGGGCGGTTGTCCACATGGCAGACGCCATCTTAATGTGGCATTGCTACCATCGCAGATCCCAGCGCCAGCAGAATACGTCGGCGAATCTCAGGGCCGGTCCTGGGAGTTATGGAGTGCTGCAGTCCCTGCCTACAGGACTCTATGGGCAACCTGGGACAGGTACGTTCTGCTGGACAGTGTGACAGAGCCCCTCTGCAGGCGAGAAGTCAGGACACGAAACTGGGTTGGCCAACCTGGAATGCCTTTCGGTTGGCCAGCTTGCAGGATCATTCCTCTGGGCTATACCCTTTCATGTGTCCTCTACGTCCACTGGAGTCAAGAATTTCCTGTATTTATAACTCTTCAGAGCCATTGATGGCAACCGGCTCAGGAAAGATGTCAGTGCGGTGGGAGAATTAATTCAGTTTCCATCGACTCATGAGGGACAAATGAAACACAGGGTAGACCTGATAAGAGGGTTGATGATCTTGGTCACTTCAAAGGGCTCTAAGTAGCATGCTCCTTGTTTCTTTGATGTACAGGAGAAATGCATTTTCTTTGTGGACAGTCAAGCAAGTATCTAGGCGCATAGGAGGGTGCCGGTCTGCCGGAGAGCTAGTTCTTTGTGGTATTGTTGCGCGATTACCAGAGTTTACCAAAGTACCGTATTTAACCACATAATGGTTGCAGATTTTATGCCTATTTCTTCCCCTTAAAATGGGGGTGCACACCACCGGGGCAAACGAGGGAGACGGGGCGATAGATGAGTGGGGTGACGGAAATCTGGGCTGAACTCAGGACTCTCGACCCAAGGTTCACAATAGGCAACTCAGCACACTTGGCAATGGCCATCAACAAGCACACGGGGGCTTCACCCTAAATGATGGAACCACCCTGACAAGAGAACGAAGAAGCAAGCTTCTTTTGTAAATAGTTACTCCCCCCCATACCTCTTCCTTTAAAATCCCCTGTTTTAAAAAGGAAAATGAGCCAAGCGGTCAGGCGGACATGAGGGAGGATTTCGTATTTCGTCTTGTATTCCCAGTTCATGTACAGTCCTGTCCTGTCCATGCCCTGTTCATGTTTCCCTCATGTATTGTGTACATGTTCCGGGTTCTGCTTTCTGTCCTGCTCTGGTTCTGGGTTCTTCTAGTCTCCTCTTGTTTTCTTGTTTGGTGCCTGTTCTAGTCTTACCTTGTTTCTAGTACTGGATACATATCAGCTTATCATCTAGCTCCTGGCTTCCGCTTAAGCTGCATCAGGGCTATGGGGTATGTGGCCGCACAAACCCTGGTGCTCAACACCAGGAGGCATGTGGTTGCCCTGCACCAGACCCTGTTTGTCCATTTCCACGCTGAGACTCCTTTCTTCATCATCAGGCACACAGGGGCCCCTGTCTGCGGACCCCCACCGTGACACTTTGACATTCAAAAAACACAATTACAATGAAACACATGCACGTTCATATCCCGTGTCACACACAATATTAAAATGCTTACCCTACTACCCAAAACATAATTCCCTAATTCACCTGACTTAATTCTAACTACCCTTAGACAATATCCTCAACCCTAAATCTAATTATCTTAACCCTAATTGACCTAACTTAATTCTATTTGTGAAATGCTGGGGCTTGAAAGTAAATCATCTATCATGAAAACGTTTGAAAATGTGAATTCCTGCTGTGTCTTGTATTTAAATTGTTCTACTGTCAGTTATATCCACATTTTTAGATTTATATTACTTCATATTCATTAACTTTTGCTTGTGCAATTCAGGATGCATATTTATATGAAAAATTTTTATATAGTGAAATATTTGTGTAGAAAAACAAATGGTCCCCCTATTGTATATTGCACACACAAATACTGCTATTGCTAACGCTTATCAAACAAAGCAGAAAATAACATTCAGTGAGAATTGTCAAGCATTCAAAGTGAGTTTCCCATTTTATACCAAAATAGCCAAACTTGAAGCTAGCTGGCTTGGTGAATTTTATCAATTCTGCGGTTTTGGCTTTAAAGGGTTATTATTATGTTGTTATTATTATGGTATTATTGATATAGCGCCAACAAATTCCTCAGCGCTTTACAGTGGGTGGACAAGCAAACGTAGTTGTAACCAGACAAGTTGGACACACAGGAACATAGGGGTTGAGGGCCCTGCTCAATGAGCTTACATGCTAGAGGGAGTGGGGTAAAGTGACACAAAAGGTAAGGATAGTATTAGACTAATGACAGTTGCAAGAGAGGAATCAGTCGGGAGCTATTAACAGTTTAATTGATACGCTTTTATGAAGAAGTGGGTTTTTAATGATTTTTTTTGAAGGTGTGGAGACTGGGTGAGCATCTAATGGAGGAGGGAAATGAGTTCCACAGGAACGGTGCAGCCCTCGAGAAGTCTTGAAGGCGAGCATCAGAGGTGGGTCTACGGACAGAAGATAGACATAAGTCTTCAGCAGAGCGTAAGGACCTACTTGTGTATTAGGGAGGATAGATAGGTAGGAGCAGCATCTTCCCCTCATTTCTTATTGTTCCAAATAGCCTTGTTCCAACAATATTGCTAAGTTTTGCTGGCTTCCTGACGCTGTTAGCGACACAGAGCGAAATGCGCATGCTTTTCCCGTCAGCTACTTGCATGTGAGCTGCTGCTATCTGAAGCTGCAGCCTTTTATAGCGATATGCTACAAAATGTAGCAACATAGTTGGAAACATGGCGGTAATTTTTGCTGTTACCAGCTCCAGACTGCTGCTCCGCTGTATGGATGCCTTCCTGCTCTGTATGACAGAGGGCTGGGTTATAACATGCATCCTGTCTCCGCTCCGTCCACAAACGCTCAACTATACAGGAGAGACCAGCTCATTACAAAGTAGCGTTGGAAGGAGAAGTCTCTTAATAAAAATGAAACAGAAATGTACAATGATAATTCACATTATATGATGCAAAGCGTAAAAGTCTTGCACCGAAAATATTTGTATCTACAAAAAATCTGAAGACCTATTAGTGTGATCGCTCTGGTTTTGTCCATAAAGGAAGTATATAGAGATTGTCAAAAAATAAGCACTTCTTCAATAATCTGTTCTAAAGTAATTTGCCTATTGTTTGTGTAAATTTATTCTGCGTACTATAGTTGTGTGGTGGTATGTTTGATGTGTACTGGCTTCAAAAACTATAAAGTTTTTCACAGTTTTTTGTTTCTAATATATGAGTGATTATTTGGGGCGTATAAAATGTATTTCCTAAATTAAGAATTGTGGAATATTTTAGAGACCAGAGAAAGTATGGTCAAAATAAATCAAAATGGCAATTTAAAATACAGCTATTTTTGTGTGAAATGTGCAAGTTTCTTTATATTTTTTCGACAACTTCCAGTTTAAAGAATAACTGCCTATATGTAGCATTGTAACATATGGTAAACTACAAACAAAATAGATACACCAGTGATATAAACACAACTAAATCTATGTAAATCTATAATATATGCAATATATCTCAGAACCTTGCAGAGAGTCTTGTGGGTTAGCCTGTTACCCTGAGGCTAAGGGCCCTCTGGGACACTAGCAGACTCAGTGGACATATAAGGGGTTAATACTGTGGAAATCCTATGTTCTAAAATCTGTTTGTGATTTAGGTTGCGAATTTGTTTCGTTTGTATTTAATCTAATCAGTGTCGTCTTCCTCTTTGATTGAGTTAGTATTGCTGAGGCAGTCTGGCACCAGGGGTGGGTATAATTTAATTTGTTATTGAAATTGGTTGTTATGTTTTATTCTCACCTCGTGTTTTCTTATATGAACTGATTTCAATGAAACATGCATCGTTCTTCCCTTTGCTAAAATCTCGTCTGTAGCTTGGGGAGAGATGGAAAAGAGCTATTCAACACTCCCTGGTGGAAGAAGAAAGAAGTGTCAGAAGAACGCTAGGAGGTTGCTGCATAGAGTCCTTGTAGACAGGTAGCAGGTTACTCCGAGCACCATAACTACTTAAAGGGATTCTCCAGTGCCAGGAAAACATTTGTTTTCCTGGCATTGCAGGACCCTGGAGTGCCCCTCTCCCTACCACCCCCCATCCCAAGTTGCTGATAGGGTTAAAATCCCTTCAGTGACTTACCGGAGTCCAGCGTCGATGTCCCTTGGCTCTGGGTCAGGCTCCGCCTACTCTCCTGCCTTGCCGACGTCAGCCGCTCACACGCATTAGACCTCCCCATAGGAAATCATTATTCAATGCTTTTCTATGGGGATTTCAGCAACGCTGGAGGTCCTCTCAAAGCGTGAGGACGTTCTGCGTCGCTGAAAACACTTTTCGTGTTTTATGAACACAGAAGTCTCTCTAGTGGCTGTCTAGTAGACAGCCACTAGAGAAAGACTTAACCCTGCAATGTAATTATTGCAGTTTATGAAAACTGCAATAATTACACTTGCAGGGTTAAGGCTAGTGGGAGTTGGCACCCAGACCACTCCAATGGGCAGAAGTGGTCTGGGTGCCTGGAGTAAACTTTTAAGTGGTTTGCAGTGATTATGGTGCTTGGAGTCTGTATGTGCTCTGCAGAAGCCAGATGCTGGTAGGTCACCATGCCAGTATGTTCGCTGCACGGAGGGACCCATGTAAGTGGCAAACCATTGCTAAATGGATTTGCTGCCTTGTCAGGAAACACCACCACGATACTCCTAGCATCATAACCACTTTGACTTTAATATTCCAGAATGAGTGAAATCAGTCTGTTAGATTATATTTAAATAAATATTTAAAAAACAAAGCAGATTAAACACAAAACCGAAAAAATAAATCACTTTGTAGTGTAATGAGTGGTACGCAGTGTCCACACTTGGAGCAGTAACTCTAGTTTACAACGGCGCAGACCAGATGCTAAGTGCAAGCAGGTCACCGGGGAACTAAATGCAGGACACCAGAAAACGGCGTCAAGATGACGGGACACAGCCCTAAAATTGGGACTGTCCCGTTAAACAGCGAGACTGTTAAGAGCCCTGTAATGTTGCTGAAAGTGCCCCTTCAGTTGATTCCCCTCTATTTGCATTTTGATTCTACATAACCAGGAACAGACCTTACACCTGTCAACCTCTCATTCCGCTGATAACTTGTCTCTTTATCTGCCTCCTCCTAGATTGGAAAATCATACGAGCAGGGTCCTCCGTACCTCTGTTGACATTATGCCTGTTGCTTACTATAATATAACCCCACCATATTATTAAAATGCGCGGCAGAATATGTCTTCGCTATAAATATAATAATAAATAACAATATGTTTTTTCTACAAGACCGAGGTCGATCGGCCAGTTCTAATTTTCAGTGACTGCCACCATAAAGTGATGTCACCCATACGAGTGCGTGTGTGTGTGTGTGCGTGTTTCCCTTGCATGTTTGATCACTGTGTCTCTCCTCTGTGTGTTTGTGGCTCTCCATTTGCCTGTAATCATTGCTTTCCCTGTATATCTCAGTTCTCAGTAACATGCCATTGCCAAGCTTCAGCCTGAGGGTCTAATATAATCTGTGTCCAGCTGTGTGGTCCGAGGGGAGGAGGAGGAGGGGCCGTGTGGTGTGTGTATGTGTGTGGAGTATAAAGGAGCCTGCAGGCTGATTTCTCATATTGCTGTCAGTAGCTGCTTCTGCGATGAGTTGGATCTGAGCAGCATCTGAAGTCTACTAGCCAACGCTTCTGTGTGTAATTGTGATCAGCAAGGGTGAGTGAGCGCGCATGGAATACAATGTAACCCCTTAAGGACCACATTCATAACCACTTAAGGGTCACAATCTGGTCTATATGTTAGTATATAGGATTACTTGGCATTTGCAGCTCTATACAGCCCTGCATTAATTTAACTGAGTTGGACTCTCCATTTATATATAGGATCTTTAAAGACTTGCTTGCTTTGATGCATGTTTACATCATTGACCCTTTAAGGGGGTAACAGGGCTAAAAGTGGGGAAGCCACATATGGCGTGCTTACATAATGAATATGGGGGCATTGCTTTAGGATGTGGGGGAGGCGTGACATCATCACCTGGTGTTTTAGACACCGTTTTTGGAATATTATCTCCAGCCCCAGCAACCTACCCAAAATCTGTCACACAAACTAGGGTGAAGTTGATTACCAATTAAAGACGCACCATCTCTCCAATTAAACTAATCAATTGATTAAATACTGACACCAATATTTAATGCTGACTCTTTCTGAATGGCTGCTTACCTATTCCGCCTCTAATGCTCAATGCCAATGGCATTGACCCCCAACCTGAGATTCTGATTGTATTTACACCTCCTGTTATAAAACTTACTAAGAGACTTGGGCTCCAGATTCTTTCTAAGCGAGACTGACACCCAAAGCAGCTGTGTTCTTACAATGCAGGTTTCTAATGGACCATTAGATAGATGCAGGGGTAGGTAGCCTTCGGCACTCCAGATGTTGTGGACTACATCTCCACTGATGCTTTGCCAACATTATGGCTGTAAGAGCATTATGTGAGATGTAGTCCACAACACCTGGGGTGCCGAACGTTGCTTACATCTAAAAAAGAGCATGCATGAATCTCTTGGAATCAATGGAGGCATTTCTAAAGCATGCCTCTAGCACTGACTGTGGAGGAAGATTGACCATTGGGAATAATTATATGTAATAATCACGTGGAGAGGCAAACCAGCTCTAGGGTATTGAGTTTGGGCAGAACAATCTCTGCCTTTTTTTTATATATAAGTATCTTCTTATGATCAGTATAGATCCTCAATAAGACATGTAATAAAAAGCAGAACACAAGAGCAGTATATAGTGTACTGTATTGTGCACACTTGAATAATGATATATGTATATATAATATGCACTCACATGGTTCAGAGCCTCATGTGGCTCCAATAGAATTAGAAATAGAGTTAATATATAAGAAAAAAAAAGAGAATGGGATCCGAGACTCAGCAAGAGTGAGGGATTCCAAACTGGTAGATAAATAGCCTAATACTTAATAAACAGAGCTAACCAATATATCTACAATAACTTGGTAGGATAAACCACCATAAATCCTCCAGGGAACTTATTAAGCACAATGTATCCAAATGAGAAAATAAATGTATTGCTGTGCATAAAAATGAAAAAACTATACAATTGTTCTAAGATTTCCAGCTGCAAATGCATTTTGTCTTCTCACATTTTTAGCACTATTCACTCTATAACACTTTCATTTTCTAGTTTGAGGCTTTTGATGGCTTAGTCTTGGTAGGATTTGGAGGGAAGGACGGGTTGTTAATGTGGGTCAGCGTTCTAGCTTAGATCACCCCTGAAGGTGTTGTTTAGGAGCTGTATCCCTATTTGGAATTGCAAGGTGGTTAGGTAGCAGGACGTCTACACAACCTTTAGCATTGAACACCCATGAAGGTGGTTTCCTAGGAGCCGCAGACCATTGTACTATCTGATAGTGAAACTGTTGTGGCTTATACCATTTTAGCTTCTACACCCAGGTAGCTATATCCTAGGAGCTGCTTTGACTTACTTACAAGCAACTAAGAGATTTATATCTATTTGCACAGTAGTTGTGGACACCAACAATCTGCTCCATTTGGAGATTTCACTTTGCATTAGCTCCAGACTTATCCCACCTCTTAATCTAACCGTCTTCCATCTCCACTTTGTGCAGTTTTTACTCTCTCAGTGGATACTACCCAGCACACTGTTTAGCGAATAGTCCCCGTGACAATTTTGTACCTGTTTAGGCAAAAATATCTAGATGCGTTTAAGAGTATCCAGAAGATATACACTGTTCAAGATAACCATCAAGAGTTAATTATCCACATATTTTTAGAGATAATTGCTCACCACTCTCCAGCTGGGAATCTTATAGTTTTTTCATTTTTATGCACAGCAATAAATTTATTTTCTCATTTGGATACATTGTGCTTAATAAGTTCCCTGGAGGATTTATGGTGGTTAATCCTATCGAGTTATTGTAGATATATTGGTTAGCTCTGTTTATTAAGTATTAGGCTATTTATCTACCAGTTTGGAATCCCTCACTCTTGCTGGGTCTGGGATCCCCGTCTCTTTTTTCTTATATATTGTTTCATTTACAGGGTTCAAGCCCAGGGTGGATCTGCTACCACCCACACTGACCTTACTGTCATAAGTCCAAGTTTATCCTGGACTCAGTGACAGTTCTCTTCTATCTGAATAATTAGAAATAGAGTTAGTTTTAAAGTTATTAGTGGCAATATAATACAATTATGATCTTTTGTTTTCTATGTTGTCTCTGTGAAGAGAGAGAGCTTCTTGAGAAACCAGTATTTTTTTTAACCGATTCCCTCAATTTTGCTAGGTCCTGTCTGAGGTCGAGGAAATCCTCTATTTTAGCTTGTTTTCGGGGTGTCACAGTATGAACCTTTGCTTTCACCACAGCCAAATCAGCCGAAAATAGTTTCTGTACTTCTAATAAGTGGGTATGAACATCTGGAACCATTGTAGTTTCAACCTCTAGGGCCAGTGTACTAAGGGATTGAGCAATATCAACCATATATTTGTCCAGAGGTGGGGCTTAGGCCTCAGGGTCTGCATAGGTTGTGGTCTTTTGGCACGAGTTTCTCTAAACATCTGGCCGTTATCACAAGTCTTCTTAGTGGAGGTTAGTATAGGTTACCCCGGGCTAACTGTGACAAAGATATGGGAAGAAAATACCTAAATATCATAAGAAGATACCTATATATCCAAAGGCAGAGATTGTTCTGCCCAAACTCAATACCTGGAATAGGCAGGTAAGTGAGCACTCCAATCTGTGTAGCCCCGAAGGATTTCAGCCTCGCCTCTGGTGCTACCTGCACAATAGGCCATGGGGTCAAGCGCCGGAATTTAGCCACGGCAGAAAAAACAAAAGGCATCCACTTGTTCCCTGTTTATTTCTAGAGTGGAACCCTTATATATTTCCGGGTGGATGAGTGAACTAATCTATGCAATCTTGCTGTTTGAGTTTGAAAGAGTTAGAAGAAATGGCGTTCGTGCAATCTCAAGTGGAACTAGTTAATTTAAAAAAAAAGTTGAACACATGTGAGTGCCCAGAAATTATTCAACAAAACTGAAAATAGTAAAAGACAAAGGTGCTGAAAATTCCTAAATCTAGAGTATTCAGTGTTTGGACAACAGTGTTCACTTTGGTGTATACAATCCAGATACCAAAAATATTGATGATCTATAAAGGGAGAAAGAAAAAGTATACACGCAGTGTGATAAAACCATACTTATAGTATAATTGTTGCACTTTAATTTAGGAGGATATATTACTGAGCTTATCTGTACATGGTCATAGTTCATACTAGACTTGGGCATTCGTATTCGTACGAATGATTTTTGTGACGAAAATCTGCATTTTCGTACATTCATATGATTACCGAATAAAGAATGGCTAGACAAACGAATGGGCATCCAACAAAATTCTTTCATGAGCCATTTATTTGTTAGTTCATTTGGCCTTTTGTAATTAAAAAAGTTCAACTAGTAACCGAATGAACGAATGGCATATACTATCGGAATTATACTTTCAAAATATCCTGTGATGTGGTACCTTTGACAAACTCAGAAGGTGCTTCACCACCTGTTTAAATTAAGATGTTTAATATAAAATTTTCACATACAACATTTTTCCATTAAGTGGCCATGATAAATAAAAGATGAGATTATGGATACTTGACCACAAAAGTGGCACACGTGCCATAGGTCAGTTACGCCTCCCGTCCAGCTATTTTGGCCATAAATTTGAAATTCACTTTGAATTCCTCACATTTCCCACTTTAGTGAATAACCCTATACATATTTTGATTGTGTAGATTCAGGTCCATTCTGTGGTCACTTTCACAGAAAAGGGAGTGTTTTTGGCCACCAGAAACATTAGTGGTTCTTCACAGTAGAAGACTTGTGCATCACTTTGGTTTACTCTGGGACATTCCAGTTTATTGGCCATCAACAGGAGAATGGATTAAGTCTATTTATTTATTGTGTGATATGTAACATTGCTCCAGATCTATTTAGGACATTATGTTATACTAAATAGTGTGTGGTATTGCGTAAAGTCTTTATAATATGTGGGATTGTCTGTACTTCAAAGAAGTTAGTTTTAGTCAACATAATTTGAAACCTCATAGTATCATATTGTTTGTATTTAAATACAGCCTTGCAGAATATAATGTTATGTTTTAGAAAGGTACCAATTTGCATGCACTTTTATGGGTTTTTTTTGGCCAATGCCTTCTTGAATGCAATTTTTCTTTGAGTTTGCTTTAGTTTGCATTTTTATTTCATCAGCCATCCAAAGTTAATTCCATATTACGGGGCCGCAAAAAAAACAACATAATGAGGTTTTTATTCATTTCTCTGTTTATTAAACTCTTTGAAATTTAGTGAAATTTTAAGACTAGGTATGGCGATATAACATGATTGAATTGTTACTGTGGTTTTGAACCGTTGCTTATTTTTACTGTCATTCTCCTGTTCTGTAATGGATGGAATTCATTTATATTCTGTCCTGTGCTTTCAACATTAATAAAAAAAACTAACGTTAGAAAAAGAAACAGTCTGTGAAACTGAGAAGTAGTGAATGGAAAATTATAGAATAACTCTTCACCTTAGGTTGGTGCTTTCGTGAGCAGAGAAGACAAATGTCAGAGTTAAAACATGTCTCGTCATGCGTGAATTCCAGATCAATAAATACTTTAGAAAGCATATACATGAAACTTTCGTAAATCTTTTTTCCACTTAACTCAGACCAGAGGTTGACCTTTTCGTTGGTTACATCAATTTCAACAATGCAAGGGAGATCGTGAAATTTGATTACATTGGAAGGTTGGGATCTGGACTGTTCCGTGTATAGATTCTTCGTACAATGCTGTCACATTACAAGTATTGAAACAAACAAAGAAAAGATACCACTAAGACACAGTGTAAAAAAAAAACCCACAAAAGACTCCTAAATAAAGTGTTCTATCCTTCAACATTACAAGTATTGGCTTAATAATATAACTCTGGGGAGAAAATATGGGAACTTTTCCAAGAAACTGTACAATTCTTATTCACAATTATTTAAAATAACATATACATATGAAAAAAAACAAAAAACAGAATAGGCACTAACCATGAACTCATAACAATCTCTATTTAAATATACGTAAAAGATAATGATGCCTTAATATGTTTTGCATTTAAAGGACCACTATAGGCACCCAGACCACTTCAGCTTAATGAGGTGGTCTGGGTGCCTGGTCCAGCTAGGTTTAACCCTTTTTTCTATAAACATAGCAGTCTCATTGACAGCCGCTAGAGGCGCTTCCGCACTTCTCACTGTGATTTTCACAGTGAGAAGACGCCAGCGTCCATAGGAAAGCATTGTAAATGCTTTCCTATGGACTGGCTGAATGTGCGCGCGGCTCCTGCCGCGCATGCGCATTCAGCCGAAGAGGCGAGGAGGAGAGCTCCCCGCCCGGTGCTGAAGAAAGAGGTAAGTTTAACCCTTTCCTCCCCCTAGAGCCCAGCGGGACGGGGACCCTGATGGTGGGGGCACCCTCAGGGCACTATAGTGGTCCTTTAACATGAATTGCCATAGTACTACCAATGTTGTTGTTTTTTTTGTTTTTTTTTTGGCTAATTCAGATGTGTTTGTTTGTTTTTATAAAGAAGGAAGGATAGGGAGATTTCTGCTTAGCCAATAAGCTAAAATGGAATATCCAGTATAAGGGAATTAGAATGTGCCATATGTTAGATAGTATAATAAATATCATATTTCTAGATATATATTTATTTCTAATTGTACAGACATATTTTATTAGGGGTCCTTTCGATGGCTGTAAATCTCATATAGTAGTATATAACTATATAAACCTTTTTTTATCTGACGGAACATTTTCTAGATTATTACTAACTGGAGAATACGTAGCGAAACATCTGATTATTCTGTTTTCACGACTCAGTTGCACTTTAGTACCCTCATTTTTCCTATTTTGGGAATATGCTGTGTCAATATTTCCTGTTTAACGTAAAATCATTTTGTGGCTGTTCTTTCAACTTGTTATTCCTTTCAGTTGCTTTGTATTGTATCAGAACCTTAATATATAGTTTATCCACGTTCACCTTTGTCCTTAGGAATACTATTGTTTATCTCTACGTGAATATTGAATACTGAAGCAGATTTATCTTGCTGTAACTGGTTTCCTGTACAACGTGGTGATTCCTACAAAGTGCTGTATCCAATAGTTCTTAAGTAACCCCACATATTCATTAATTGTATTAGCGTCTGCTCCTTGTCAGTCGTAAATGATTTGACCTATAAATCTAGATTGGTGGGTTTTCAAACATTCTACCATTTACAAGCCAGATTAGAATAATGACTTAATGTGACACTGTGACTCCATAATATAAAAAAACAACCAAAAAACAAAGGGTATTGGAGGGGTCCATGCCATCTCCAAACTGGCCCTTTAAATAAATACTAACATTTATTAAAGGATCACTATTGTGTCAGGAAAACAAAGCGGTTTTCCTGACACTATAGTGCCCTAAAGGTGCCCCCACACACAGGGTCCCCCTCCCGTGGCACTGAAGGGGTTAGAACCCCAGCAGCTTACCTTTATCCAGCGCTGGGCTCCCTTGGCGCTGGTGACCTCTCCTCCCCCACTGACGTCAGCTCCCGAGTGGAGCGGAATGCGCATGCGCGGCAAGTGCCGCACGCATTCAAACAGTCCATACTAAAGCATTTCTCAATGCTTTCCTATGGACGTTCTGCACATTAGATGCAAATTTCGCATCCAGTGTCGCAGATGCACCTCTAGCAGCTGTCAGGAAGGCAGCCACTTGAGGCTGCATTAACCCTGCAATGTAAACATAGCAGTTTCTCTGAAACTGCTATGTTTACACCTGAAGGGTCAAAACCTGGGGACCCAGACCACTTCATTGAGCTGAAGTGACCTTTAAAGTATACCATCAATGTGTTATAAAGCATATAAAACATACACATACCCAATGTGGCAACACACACAGCATTATGGGAAATAAGAAAAGAAAATAAGTCATAACAAGCTTTGTTGCTTTTTTTTAGATTTACTATGCATATTTAAATAAATTCTCTTTTGTTCCAAATTACTATTTTGAACAAACTTTTTTTTACATGAGAAATCAGTAGGGAATATTTTTCACCACAACTTTATGAATATTAAGCTTTTTAGCTTGATGGTATCAGAAAGAATTCAACGTTATATAGTCCCAAAAAGGCAAATCTCAATGGTTATTTGCTCACTGAAATGTGCCCCTGGATTAAAAATGGCAGGCTGTAAATTAGGGAAACAGAAATTGGAGGAGCAATGGAATTCGCATTCATTTACATATTATGCAAGGAATTCTGGGTGTGTCGTGATAACACATGCATAGTTCGTCACTAAAAATTTCAAATTTTAAGGCCTGAGTTGATGAATTGAAAGCATAGCTGAATGAGAATTTTTCTATTTTGACCTTAAACTTGAAATTCACAATTCATTAAACTCTGATTATTTAAAGCTGTAGTATACTGGGCCGATACTTTTATGATTTGCATTTCAGGATATTAAAATATGTGGTTCCAAATGTCAAAATTTGCCTTTTAAAATCAAATTTAAAGATAAGCTCCCAAATTATAATTACAATTTGGGGCAATTTGTTGATTCCTAAAATGTAAAGAATTTGCAAATATAGAGTAAAATTCAGAGATATCGTCAGATCTTATTTTTGCAAGTGAAATAGCAGAATTACGCAACACAACTCAAACATTTGCATAAAATGACAGATGTAGTTAATGACTGCATTGCTTACTTGCCCAGGAGCTAGTCCTCACGCATTTTTCCCTTCTCAAACTTTTCACTGAAGTATTGACCCTGAAGGATCTTAGATTCCCTGCTGGAGCCGGAGTTTCCTACCTCTAATCTAAGAATGTGATGGGTGTCAAAAAACCACTGGACTTTCAATGAGAGTACACGTTTTATATTTGCTAAATTATCCTCCAGTTCTAATGGTCTAGGTCATTGTTTCCCAATCCAGTCCTCAAGTACCCCCTTACAGTAGATGATTTAGGGATTACCCAGTTGTGTGTAAGGTGTTTTTAGAAAGAAAGAAAAAAAACACTTTAGACACAACAGTGTAATCCCTAAATCCTGGACTGCTAAGGGGTACTTGAGGACTGGGAAGGGAACCCCTGTTCTAAGTGCATCGTGACACAAAGGACTTCTGTTATTAATGCCGCCGAGTACAAAACAACCACATTCTGCCGCCATTTGTAAGATCTGCCAAAATGTATTCTAGTATTAATTAATTTTGGTCAGATTTGAATAGTTGTAAAAAAATATTATGTAATATGTTTCTTTGATTTTATGAGTAAATAAAAAAAAAAAAAATTTTGCAGTTTAGGTTAAAAAATTTAGATGCTTTTGCAGAATTTAACTTTGATGGGATTATTCACTAAACCAAGAATTAAAAGTGACTTTAAAAGGAATCTCAAATTTAAAGCCAAAGTATCTGTACTGTGATTATAACTGAATCAAAGAATGTTTTCAAGTTGGCTATTTTAACCTTAAAGTTGAAAAACACTTTGAATTCCCGCATTAGAGAATAACCATGTCAAAGTCAAATTCTACAAAAGCATTTAAATATATTTACATAAACTACGCCGAAATTTTTATTTTCTTAATCGTTACTCTGCAGAAGATAGATGCCATAGAGTCCATCATGAAGAAGCCATATACTTTTTTACAACCAGGGAGTAGGGATTATGAGTTGTATGCCAGCCAGCGATGAGAATCCCTTTACATTTTAATATCCAGTGTCTGTTTTATATTTAGGTAAAAATTTGCTTTTTGTTCAGTTTATCACTCTTTGAAGAGAATTTGTGTTTTACGACTGTTGGGGTGGATGAGATCATTCACTCAGTTATTTTGTGCATTGTAGCAGTCCATTTTAACAATAAATGTGCATTATGTATGAATAGGTAATGCATTTGTACATACGTAACAGATTTTACAACTTGATGTTTGTTTGTTTTTTTTCTCCCATTAAAAAGGTTAGATCTTCAGTTGCCGAGGTGAGACTTCTTGGCATTACAATGTATTTTTGTCCTATTTTTTTTTTTTTTGTAATAAAATAAAGGCTAGTGGCAGGTATACAAGGCTTGTCCTTTCTACTTCTCCACAGGTTAATGGCAAGAAAAATAAAAGGCACGTTAACATTTATTCCTCCTTCACATCCATTAGTGGTTAATTCCAAAAATAAATTTTTTACCAACATGTGGTGTAATTACATTCCTCAACCATTTATTATTGGAGCTCTGAGAATTTTAATTATATATCAGTGGATTAGCGTTTCCAGTGCCTTATACCCAAAACCCCAAAACACTTCAGCCACTCCTCAGCCGCAAACACACCTCAAGCCCCTATACCCTGGCAAACACACAATACAGCCCATATCGCCTCCATAAACCACCATGTACATTATGGCCCGTATCCCCCATCAAGCACACAAACTACAGCCCCTCTGTCACTCCCAACATACAAACCTACTACAACCCCTGTTCTCTCACATACTACAGCCACGAAGGTTGGTTAATGTGGAACCCAAAAAGCAGCAGCCTACTAAAGCAAGTCCAGGGCAACCATATCCAAAAATGGAAGACAGGTAGCAGTGTCTGACAGTCTAAAAGTTCAAATATCAAGGCAGCAAAGAGCTGCCATAGCATAGAGACAGACCAGGGATCAGTAAATAAAAATTAACGCCAAGTGTCTAAAGCCAAAAACACAGAACAACTGAGCAATGAAGGCTCAGCTGTTCTTGGTTTAAAACAGGTGCCTAAGGGTAGCCATGCCCAGTTGTCATTCCCCCTGAATGTCCTGAGTCCCCTTTGTATTGCCTTTGTTTCATAGATTTGCCATGAGGACCTTTATTAGGTGTAGCTATGCCCACTAGGCAGGTCTGTAGCTTGTTCAGAGCGTGCACGTCTCCATAGTGCTTGTGGTTGCGCTGGAGATGTGATGGGGCTCTCGTTGATGGCCATGACTCATCCCAGGCAGTCACGTAGACACACGCCTGAGAAGTGGTAGACCTGGGGCAGAGAAGATATTGCCAGAGGGAATGAGGATAGCCAGTGTTGAGTTGTTGCCCACAAAAAGCCTCATTCGCACACACTCAACTCCACAAGAAGCCTCACATAGGGTACCACTAGCCTCCTCCACACAAACACAACCCTAAAAGCTGCATCTCTACAAACATGCAACATCCCCACGAACACACAACAATACAAGAAATAAACAAATACAAGTAGGATAAGCACTAATTAATAGTGCAATGGATTACCTGCAGCAATCACTGAAAAAGGAAACTCACTCAGTTACCATTTGGATAGATAACAGAAAACATAAAAATAATTAGGTGCCTCCTGTTATTTACACAATAATTGAAATAGTCACACAAAATAAGAAGCAGTGTCCCCATAGACATGCACCACCATAAACGGTGTCGCCATATACATACAATACCACAAGTAATCTCACCACCCAGCCCTACTCCCGTATACGCAACATCGCAAGTAGTTTCCCTCAGTGCAACTTCAAACAGTATCCAAACACATACAACACCATAGCCACCACACACAGCACCCACTTCCAGTTCCGTCTCTCTTTTGTCCTATGTGGTATCCACAGAAATACTCTCCAACATTCGTACACAGATGGACCACAGAAATACGCCCCAACATTCACACACTGATTCTCAACTGAAAGTCTCTCCTCATTTATAGTCCACAGAAATACACCCTCACATTCATACACTGACATGTTACAGAATTACACTCCCTCCCACATTCATACACCGACTCTCCACAGACTCTCCTCTTTGGCATCAATTCAACTCGCCGTGTTTGGAGGAGGAGAAATGTTGCCTATGACCCCAAGAACACCATTCCCACTGTCAAATATGGAAGTGGAAACATTATGCTTTGGGGGTGTTTTTCTGCTAAGGGGACAGGACAACTGCAACGCATCAAAGGGACGATGGACGGGGCCATGTACTGTCAAATATTGGGTGAGAACCTCCTTCCCTCATCCAGGGCAATTGAAAATGGGTGGTGGATAAGAAATTCCTGCCTGACAATGACCCAAAACACAAATCCAAGGCAACAAAGGAGTGGCTTAAGAAGAAGCACATTAAGGTCCTGGAGTGGCCTAGCCAGTCTCCAGACCTTAATCCCATAGAAAATATGTGGAGGTACCTGAAGGTTCGAGTTGCCAAATGTCAGTTTTGAAACCTTAAAGACTTGGAGAGGACCTGCAAAGAGGAGTGGGACAAAATCCCTCCTGACATGTGTGGAAACCTGGTGGTCAACTACTGGTGGAAACGTCTGACCTCTGTGATTGCCAACAAGGGTTTTGCCACCAAGTACTAAGTCGAGGGGGTCAAATACTCTTTTCACTCATTGACATGCAAATCAATTTATAATTTTTTTGACATGCATTTTTCTGGATTTTATTTCTTATTCTGTCTCACTGTTTAAATACACCTACCATTAAAATTATAGACTGATCATTTCTTTGTCAGTGAGCAAACGTTCAAAATCAGCAGGGGATCAAATACTTGTTTCCCTCACTGAATGGAATGTGTATGGAATTATAGGGATAATGTGTTTGGGATTGGAGATGATTATGGGGCTATGGATGAGATTGAAGTGCTTATGGGGCCAACAGACATCACATACAGATGATATGCACACCACACACATCCAAAATGTATATCATGCACATTACACACAGCCAACTTGCACATAATTATTACAGAGCTTCTAGTTTAAGTTTTGCATAAGGCTTCAAAATGTTTAGAGGGGCCTCTGAATGCAACGATTCAAAAACTGGTTGAGGACAAATAAGCATAGGCAGAACTTTAATTCATCTTACCTTATGAATGCAGGGTATGGGTTAATAAGATGTTCAGCCCTTGCATTGAAAACAATCGTTGGCTGACATGTCTAAGCTATTTTATTGTTTAGGCTGAGATCACAGTAGGAAGTTGCAAACTACGGGATATGGAGCATATTTAAGATCAAAGAAGGATTCATGGAACACATTCCTGCCACCCACTGAATGCAACGGGGTACTGTGACTGGCTGAGCTCACTACAGGTAGCTGCGGGCACTGCAATATGTAGTAAATGCAAGACCTTCAAAGGTGAATATTTCGTGTTTAAAGTGACACTATAGTCACCAGAACAACTGCATCTTAATGTGGGGATTCTGGTGTCTATATCCTGTCTCTGCAGGCTTTTCAATATAAACACTTCCTTTTCAAAGAAAAGACAGTGTTTACATTGCTGCCTAGTAACACTTCTAGTGACAGTCAATCTGACGGCGCTAGAGGTGCTTCCTGGGTCAGTGCTGCACAGTGTGCAGAATCTACATTCAGAAGCTCCACACTCTGCATGGACATGTTGAGCGTTCCTCATAGAGATACATTAATGAGTACCATTAAGTTGGGCAAAGGTAACATCCCCAGGACGTACTTAATATCTGAATGTACCTTTCCTGGTTAACTAGATTGTTAATGTTATCTCTACGAGGAGATGATGCGAGGCGCAGTGTGGTGTTTTGCCATGCATGCGCAATAGCCTCCCAATGCTTTCCTATGGGATCGCATTGGATTGGCTGAGATTATCAAGATTAACTATCTAAGCCATGGAGGTGGGGCAGTTGCATTGAGACCAGCGCGGCAAGGGAATTTTGTTTTAAATTTTAAAACAATCTAAAATAGCCATTCCAGCTCTATAGCGCTAGGGATACATGTTAATATTCCTAACACTATAGTGTTCCTTTAAACCTAGATTATCCCTTTAGTTCAGCCAAGTACATTCCTTTTGCATTGTGTTTAACTGTAGAATGTTGACTACTTATTCCAAAAATCGCTTTGTTATAATACAACTAGAAACTAAAAAAAAACACCTCCTTTTAAATCGGCTTGCAGGAATCCTTCTTATAATAAGAACACTAACTCAATTAAACTAACATATATTGTTGGTGCCCAGTAAATAAAGAATCTTTTCGTATGTGATTTCCTGTAGAATTTAGTGACAGATAACTAGTTAATACAATTTTAAAAAGCATCAAATGTAAACTCGCAGGTTTTGGAGAAGTGGGGTTCCTGGTAATGGGGAAAAGTATAACTGCTTAGAAAAGTACCAATATATCAAAGTACTTTATCAATATATTTTGCAGCCCTATACAACTACAACTTCGGAGCAAGGTAGGTATGAATTAATGTGTATAATGGATGAGGAGTCTATAGAGAGAAAAACAGGGGCAGCTGGAGAGGTCACAGGTCAAGACGGGAAACAAAGGATACGGAAGAAAATAGCTGTTACCCGCTAGGCAGAGACATATCTACGTTACTTGGCACCCATGGCAGAAATGTATTTTGAAACAGTCTTCTCCCCCCATATTGTGGATTTCGTTTTGTGTGTGTGTGTGTCATACTATGCTCCCCAACCCACTTTTTGTTAGTGAAATTACATCCACATAGTTAGATTCATAGACACACATACATTCATATACACGCACAGAGACATACACACATTGATATATATACAGAGACTCATATGCTTACAGACAGACACATAGACACCCATAGACTCACACACAAGCACATATTCACAAAGACCTACAGCCTCACACACCGATTGCTGCTGGGATCTATCTCCACTGATTGCTCTGTTCCCTCCAGCGCAGTATTTAAGTCGGGGCTTGGGTAATGTCACATCCTGGTTCCCAGCATCAGTGCATGGCTGGACACTTATTACCTACCGCGCAGCACACCCACCAGCATTGCACCGGTAGGGAGGTGCCTGTACTAGCCTTTGGGAGTGCTTCCCCTACATCCTCTCACACAGAGCAGACTGGCTTACTGTAAAAAAGTTGAATTCCTAACATATTCATCACCCCTCGCGGCCCCCCCTTTTAGTGATGTAAAGGGTTTAAAACCCCTACATTCACTAACCCCCATGATCTGTTTCCTCCGACATCAGCCAATGGGGGGACTTAAGGTGCATGCGTGGCAAGTGCCACACGAACATTAGGTCTTCCTTATAGGAAAGGAATGCGTTAATAATTTCCTATGGAGGTTTTTTTGATGCTGAATGTCCTCGTGCAGAGTGTGAAACTCCATTAAGCGCCTCTTGTGACTATCTGGTAGACAGGCTAAGTACTGCAACGTAAACATTGCAGTTTCAATAAAGGACTAAGGGGGACAGGGACACTGCACCCACACCACTTCAATGAGATGAAGTGGTCTGGGTGCCTATAGTGTCTCTTTAATGAGTGAACAAATCCAAGCGGAGGATCAAGCTGGAGTTAGATTGTACACAAATGGGATGGGTGGGAAACTGCAAATAATTAGCCCTATTTGAGACCTTACCATCAAACTCTATTCCCTTTCTGATTTTTATTTTTTATTTTTTATAGATTTGTATTGATGCTGCTAGAACTAGAATGCAATAATAATAAAAGAATACAGGTATATTAAAATGGCACATCTTAGAAAACATTAACACGCACAACTGATGACACTATTAAGGGACCTACGAGATAAAACGAATATCTACTATCAACCTCCCTCATGACAGACATACAAACCAATAAAAAACTCTTAAAACCACAGGACATAAATAATGAACTCGCATCATTTTATAGCAACCTGTATAATTAAAAAAAAGACACCTCTATACACCAACCCACTAGATTGGACACATTCCTACATCTGATCTCACTGCCCAGTCTCACTACAGACCAAAGAAACACCTTCTGTCAAAAAATCACTGCTGACGAAATACATTTGGCAATTGCAAATCTTCCACCAGACAAATCACCAGGTCCTGACTGACTCACTAACAGGTATTATAAAGTGTTCTCCAATAGTGATGTCCCGAACTATTCGGCGAACGGTTCGCCACGAACAGTTCGCCGCGGACTCATCATTGAGTAAACTTTGACCCTGTACCTCACAGTCAGCAGACACATTCCAGCCAATCAGCAGCAGACCCTCCATCCTAGACCCTCCCACCTCCTGGACAGCATCCATTGTGAAGCTGCATTCTTAGTGAGCTGTCCAGGAGGTGGGAGGGTCTGGAAGGGAGGGTCTGCTGCTGATTGGCTGGAATGTGTCTGCTGACTGTGAGGTACAGGGTCAAAGTTTACTCAATGATGAGTCCGCTGCGAACCGTTCGTGGCGAACCGTTCGGCGAACAGTTCGGGACATCACTATTCTCCAATACACTAATTCCCCACTTACAAAAAGCATTTGCACACATAACCAAATCAGGAACTATGCCACCAGAAATGCTCTTAGCCCATGTGGCTACCCTCCCCAAGCCAGGGGAAAACCACAAACAAGGGACAAAAAATATAAAATTGTTAGCAAAAATAAATATACTCAAACAAACTTGCCTCAACTCTACCACCGATAATACATGAGGACCAGGTGGGTTTCATCAATTATACTGATGGTATAAGAAAGGTCCTTGACTTGATCTATAGCCTGCAAAAACAAAATAAAGGAAGTCTGTTCCTGTCTTTAGACGCGGAGAAGGCTTTTGATCGCCTAAACTTGAGTTTCCTTGAAGCGGTTCTGCGCAAATTCCTGTTCACTGTCGAATTTTTAAACACTTTAAAAGCCCTATACAGCACGCCAATGGCCAAGGTTACCAACGCTGGTTTCCTTTCAGACCCCTTCTCCATTACAAATGTAATGCCGAAGTGCCGAATTACGTTTGCAACACTTACAACAATCAAGTAACGTACATTCATATAAAATGTAAGTTACTTAGCCAGTCATGTAATGACAGGAATGAATAAGTAGATAACTCCCTAATTCCCACGGTACTAGGGAGCTATCTACTAAAAGGCTGAAAGACCTAAATTGGTCTTTCAGCCAAATTTACTAGTTAGGAAGTTTGTGGAAGAGCTGTTCATAAATGTTATAAACATTGTGGTATTTTGGGGCAAAGTTTTTTCCTTACTGCACTGTGTGGATTTACACAATGTTCTCTTGTACAATATTCTTCTTATGGAAATGATGTAATTTCTTTGTACCTATACTTGGACTACCTGCCCATGTTCAATTGTTGATGAACCATGCTTGAGTCTAAATAAAAACTACAAATTAAAAAAAAAAAGAGTACAGGTATATTATATAGTTTAGTATTGTGCTGTGATCCTTTCTATACTAGTTGCTTGATGGGGGGAGGGCGGGGAGGGGAATCTTCTCCCCATTACTAGCCCTCTCATGACTGAAGGATTTGGATCATAACAACTAGGGATGTATGTCTCAGATATTGGAGCAGAGTCTACAAGAGGACAAGACTAGACAGAACTAAAGCAGGCAGGGAATAGCTCCACATGAGCTACAGAACAGGACCAACCACAGATAGCTAGATTCCGATAGCTACACAAAGATATTTAATGACAGGATGTAAACAAGATCTTGGAACATGGAATCGGACAACTGCCTGTAATCTGTGGCCAAGATAAACTCGGTGATGAATAGCAGAATCTGTGTGAAGCCTCTGGTCATAGAATTCTCTCGTAGGTCATGAAACAATGTCACAGGAGTAGAAAAGATCTTACAAACTAAACTCCAGAATGCAAACCTATAGTACTGCTAATAGTAGAATGTATGGTATAAAGACCTCATTGCAAGGCACGGACGGGTTGGCCATCTACTGGGTCCCCGGGCAAAATTAAGTCCTCGGACATTTGAAAGACATTATGTTAATAGTAAAGGGTAACTTTATTTTTTATGTGATGTTCCATTTTTTTAAATTGATGTTAAAAGATTTAGTAAATTACATCAAAATCCAGTTTAGTCATTGCACAACTATGGCACAATGTAATGTTTCTACTCCTCTCTCGATGCTTAAACTCTGTTGGATAACTTACCAGGGTCAACATACAGAGCTTTTATCAATGACTAACAAAGGACCAAGATGGAGGCACCAAATTGTAGGATAAAGAGATGTGTATTTCCACACTATGTTTTTTTGTTTTTGTTTTTTTGTGTTAGAGTTATTTAGGTGTAGTGATGTTAAGTGTGAAAAGCATATTTGTATGTGGCAAAATTAGTTTGTAAGACAAGAGGTTATTTGCATGTAGTATAAGTGTGTGAATGCATTGTACTATTAGTGAGAATAGAAATGTGTGTGAATGTAAACTGAATATGTACGATGTACTTGTTAATCTCCAAATTGTACTAAATTAATATTCAAATGGGAAAAATTAGGGTAACATGAGCTATGAGAGTATCTGAATTGCAGAGCCTTTTTTTTATCAGTTACTTCAGCCTAAATTTAGCATTTTAGATTTTAATTTGCATCAATTCAGAGTTTAACAAATACACCTATTTGTGTTGAACATTGGTGTAAATACAGCAGTGTTATTTGAGATGAATATCAGGGAATGCAGGATTGTATCTGTTAGGTGTGTTAGAATTGTGTGAATACAGGAATATATTAGTGTGAGTGTTGGTGTGTGTGTATAAATACAGGGGTGGGTTTGTATGGAGGGCCTATGTTTGTGTGTAAATGCTGTTGTGAATAGTAGCTAGATGTCTGTGGTGTGTCGGTGTGTGTGTGTGTGTGAGCGTATGAGTATATTTATATGAATGTAGTGTAGTGTATTCACAAGGAATGTCAATATGTGTGTGAATTCAGGGCTGTATTTGTGTCAAGTGTCAATGTATGTTAAAGGTACACTGAATGCACTCTAATCACTACAACTGTGTTTATGCATGTCTGCTTGTCATTTTCTTTACACAAAGGTTAGTGATTTCACTGAGGGGAAAAAACAAACAAATGTTTGAAACATTTTCCCATAAAAAGTGTTAGAAATGGACTTTAAAAACCATAACCACTGCAGCTTGATCCTGTTGTTATGGTTCAGGGATTCTGTGGAAGTCTCCACCCAATTTGTATAAAATAATTTCAGTAAAAAAAATAACAAATACTCCCGTTATCTACAGCCTGGCCCATATGGCTAATATAATATTGAATGTCTGCATCAGACCGTCCAAGTTTGGATGACAATAAGAGGCCAGTGCAGATTGCGCGGTAGGCTGTAGTGTTGATGATTAGAGTGTGCCTTTAATTGTAAGATCAATTGCCAACCTATGGAATTTTCATCACGTGTATTGTTTGCAAGCCTGGGGAAGTTGAAATCCCCTGTCCATGGTACTGGAATAGAAAATGGACCAATGTTTGTGGTAGCTTTGTTACTGTAGCTACATTTATCAGTATTTTTTTTAGCAGTTATTTGTTTCATTATTGCTATTAGTAGTAGTAGGAGTATATGTATTAGTAAGATATTCTAGTATTATATTATACATTATTATTATTAATACTTGTATTAGTATATCATTCTTCAACATATAACACATATAGTGATGTCCCGAACGGTTCGCCACGGACTCCTCATTGAGTAAACTTTGACCCTGTACCTCACAGTCAGCAGACACATTCCAGCCAATCAGCAGCAGACCCTCCCTCCCTCCCAGACCCTCCCACCTCCTGGACAGCTCACTAAGAATGCAGCTTCACAATGGATGCTGTCCAGGAGGTGGTAGGGTCTGCTGCTGATTGTTTACTCAATGATGAGTTCGTGCCGAACCGTTCGCGAACCGTTCGGCGAACATTTCGGGACATCACCAAACACATACCAAACTAGCCAATCTTATTTCCAAATTATATAGTAGCTGGCATACATTGGGAAGGATCTGAGTATGCCATCCTGCTACGTTTGTGTGGAATCGGGAGAGGTGTGAAATCGGGAGAGAGAGGTATAGGGCAGAATGGGTGAGTGTGAGTATCAGTGATGCCATAAGCGTCATGGTGACATTAAGGGTTAATCTTTGTTTCGACGGTTAAAAAAAATACCACTACCATTAGAGATTTTACCTTATAGTCGAAAACAGCAAGGTGAATTGTTAGTATAGGACTCACCTAAGATATTTTGCCTTGACGTGGAAGGTGAGCATACACTTTGTGGCCATTGGAGTGATACTAAAAAAACTTCCAATTATTTAAATATGCATAGGGATTTGGGATAGTGCGCAAGTAACTTTTCTTTGGTTTTTGTTGTATGTATTTGGGCTGATGTGTACTATAGTCATTGCTGCTGCCCAGGAGTAATGGGAGTTTGAGCGCAGGGATTAATGTATGTTTGTCATGGTTGGCATGCTGCCCAAAGAAGGGTTGTCTCATCTCGGCATGCATATGTGCCGGAATGGTAGGTTGTCCCTCTGACAAATACCTGGAAAATGATAATACCATGTCAGACACGTGTTAAGTCTATTAGACCTGGCTTTAAAATAATATATTTACCTTTGTGGAACATTTTAATTTTTTACAAATTCTTTACTTAATATTTTTTTGTTTGTTTTTTTTGCAAAAAATTAGCGTTGTATATAAACATTGCGTACATTTGTTTGATACAGCTAATGTATGTAGGTACAAAAGAACGATGTAACATGACAAAGAACAGAGATATCACAGTCTGTGATAGGTATAAAGTCATAAATAGAACATTGTATAACCATACGTGTTGGTGTCATGTATAACAGAAACGGTTGTGAGAGAGATGGTATTTTGTCTGTTGTCACACCCAGAAGGTATTTGTAGTGATAACCATATCAGATAAGTGGTGTGAGGCTTGTTGGAATCTCATTTATGATGGCCGTAAAGATTTTTGTGTCCCGTATGGTGAAGCCCATCTATATCGTGCAGAAAGTAGTGTTTTGTGTAATTTTGGGTCTTATGATATCGTGTTACAGTGGTTAAGTGTTGTCAAAGTGGTTAAGTGTGGTGGTGGTATTCGCTTGGTGAGATAAAATCAAGGTTCGCTAGGTTTGCGTAAGGTGGCGCTGGATATTGTCCTTAAATCTTTGGTTCCAAATGTCTTTATCTGGTGAGTATATAAGTGAGATCTATAATGGGTATGGTAGAGAGTACCTCTGTGATTGCAAACCTTGGGTTTGTGGAATCTTTAATAAATACATTTATGGAATTCTCCATTCTTTGCTCATACCAATTGTTTTAAATTGCCAAGCTTTGCACTATTAGAACACTCAAGTTCCTCCATCCCAATAAAAAATTCTATTTAAAAAATGAACACTTCCTTGGTACCTTGTATTGTCATTCAAGTTCGCTAAAACACTTTGTCCTCTTTTTTTTATTTTACAAAAAGCACAGATTTCAATAGAAATTGGCACTTCTATAAATTAAAGGGACTGTATAGTTACAAAAACCACTACAGCTTAATGTAGTGGTTCTGGTGACTATAGCATGTCCCTGCAGTCTTATCACTGCTCAGAGAAAGGCAGTGTTTACTGTTTACTCTAATGGCAGTCACTCAGACGGCCACTAAAGGGACTTTCTAGATATGTGTTGCACAGTGTGCAGCCCCTACGTTCAGCGTCTCCAAGCTGTGCATGGAGGTGTTGAACATTTCCAATAGAGATGCATTGATTCAATTTATTTTTTTGAGGAGATGCTGATTGGAGCAATGTGGCGTTCTCATGCACAGTAGCCTCCAATGCTTTCTTATGGGAAAGCATTGGATTAGCTGAGATCATCAAGATTGATGAGCTCTGCCATTGAAGTGGGGACAGCTGCGTTGAGACCGGCGCAGTGAGAGAAAAAAACGTGAGTAAAATACTGTTTCATTGCGATCTAATGGGGGCTGGTAACCTAAACAGCCTCACCAGCACCAAAGTGTTAGTAATACATTTTTGTATTCCAAAAACTACAGTGTTCCTTTAACCTTGTTACACCCCACCCTCTCCCAGCTGTCAATCAGACAACCAGTCCTGTTACTTCCTGGTAGTCTAGCTCAGTGGAGCTAAACTGAAGAGGCAGCAATTGCCCAGAACACCTGCCTTGGAAAGACTTCTCATTGAGCTGCATTGGGACGTCTGTGATTGGACAGACACAGGAAGTCTGGGTTCAAGACGAAGGGGAGGGCTTTCAAAGGCTGCAGACAAAATATCTACATCTTTTGCAAATTGCTTTAAAATATACCCTCAACAAAAATGCATGCATGTTTTCATTTTGGTATATCTACTAAAGAGGGATTTTTAAAAAATTTTTTTGTATTTGGGCAAAGGAGCATCCCTTTAAGCACTCCCTCTGCTTTGATGCTCAGTGACTGTGACCCATAGAGAGCACTTAAAGTGATATGCTCCCATCTGAGATGCAGACCACATGCTCCCTCGCTATAGTGAAGAGAGATCTTTTTGTGTCTCTACTGGCCCGTTGGGCTGCTGGGTGCCTCTTCTGTGACGCACTTACCCCATGGGGTATGCATACCATGACGTTAGAATCAGGGCCCTTTAGTGTCCTGGTATTGTCCCTCTGGTTTAATGTCATGACGTTTAAGAATGGTTTGACATAAACTGGTGTTCTTCCCAGCGAGCTCTCGTGGTTTATGTTGCTTAAGAAGCTATTTTGACAGAGTTCACTGTAATTCCAGACAACAAAGGGAGCTTCCTTATTTTGCATACACTGGCTAAAGACAGCTTGCTAGAAATCACGAGGTTACAACATCTGTTATTTGTTTATCAAGAATCACACAATTACAACTTATGCCAAGAAAGAAAAATGACCCATAGCTACAGGGCTTTGATGTGTCAGCAACAAAACTGTGCAGGATACACAGATAGTCTGTCTCTCTCCCACCAAAATGTGCATGTGTCTACAAAATAGCATCAGGTTAGTAACATTCCGCAAAGCTGTAGGCATTGATGATAAATACCTCTGACCAATGTAATGTGTGTACATATTGCTTTAACCCCTTAAGGACACATGACATGTGTGACATGTCATGATTCCCTTTTATTCCAGAAGTGTGGTCCTTAAGGGGTTAAAGCCCAGATCTCACTTCATGTATCACTTCAAGTTTTTAGTCTGAAAAAAGCTGTTGTAAAGCTATCAATGTGTGTTTGCCATAGTACTAAATAAACATTTATTTTTCATGCAACCAAGAAAAGTTGGCTGCGATGGTTATAGTGCTTGGAGTGTTCCATTAAGAAATGGTGTGTAAGCAGAAATAGATTTTTTTTTTAAAGTACATATATAAATTAAACAAACAATGGACCTCTGTCAACGAGGTGAGACCTGGCAATGTAGAAACACCTATTCCTTCACACCATAGATTGCAGTGTGAAGATAAAAATAGGTCAGGTGTGTACCCATGACTCTGGAACAGGGGTAGGCAACCTTTGGCACTCCAGATGTTGTGGATTACATCTCCCCAGATGCTTTGCCAGCTTTATGTCTGTGGGAGCAGTATAGGAGATGTAGACCACAACATCTGTAGTGCCAAAGGTTGCCTACCCCTACTCTACAAGGTGGTTGAAATGAAATGAATTGAGGCTTCAGACTACCCCTTCACACCCAAAAGGAGGGTTCCAATGGTCCTTCTCTACCCCTCAACCAGTATGCTACAAGCGTGAAGTTAAAAATTGAGTAGGTAAGCACTCCCATATGTGGTGGTATGGAGGAGGTGGTATCAATGAATTTGAGGGTCAAGTGGACCACATATGCCAGACATAGAAACATAGACTGTGACGGCAGATAAGAACCATTTGGCCCATCTAGTCTGCCCAATTTTCTAAATACTTTCATTAGTCCCTGGCCTTATCTTATAGTTAGGATAGCCTTATGCCTATCCCACGCATGCTTAAACTCCTTTACTGTGTTAACCTCTACCACTTAAGCTGCAACAGTGTCAAAAGCCTTACTGAAATCTAGGTAAGCAATGTCTACTGCACCACCCTGATCTATAATTTTAGTCACCCAATCAAAAAAATCAATAAGATTAGTTTGGTATGATCTCCCTGAAGTAAACCCATGGTGTCTCTGATCTTGAAATCCATGTGTTTTTAGATGTTCAACAATCCTATCCTTTAACATGGTTTCCATCACTTTCCCCACTACTGAAGTAAGCCTTACTGGCCTATAGTTGCCCGACTCCTCCCTATTACCTTTCTTGTGAATAAGCACAACATTCGCTAACTTCCAATCTTCTGGGACTACTCCTGTTAACAATGATTGGTTAAATAAATCTGTTAATGGTTTTGCTAGTACACCACTAAGCTCTTTTAATAGCTTTGGGTGTATTCCATCAGGTCCCATTGCCTTATTTGTCTTTACTTTTGACAGTTGAAATAGAACATTGAGTGGTATGAGTGGTACTGTTCTGGATCAAACCAAGTGTTTGTTCATTTGAGTATCTGCCCCTGTCCAAATTGTGTAAAATAAGGTGCATGCACGCGGAAGTAAATCACACTGAGACACAAGTTTCAGGTTAATGAAAAACTTCGGAATGTTTACTAAGAGGGGCGGCAGATCCCTTATAAAGCAGAAAATACATCATATGCAAAACATGAGATAACAGAAAGAATACATCTTTAATTAGTCAATGTAACGGATCGACGGGCACCCCGAATGGGTACCTCCGTTAAAGGATGCTCCTAGCGCTTCCAGAGGGTTTCCAGCACTCCACCAGACACCATAACCACCGTAGACTCCTTCAGAGAGCAAAAACAGGAACAAGCTCTTACAAGAGCTTAGCAGTGAATATAGCAAGAGAGTATGCAGAGCATAGCAATCCCTTGTAGCAGGTTCCCCCAATAAGAGACGACACTCCAAACTGATGGTGAAGTCAAACTGACTGTACTGGCCCATACAGCCTCTTTTATTCACATTGTACAAACATAGTACTGCCCACAGGGTTTTGAAGAACAACCAATAAATACATACAATACACTCAGACACTACCACGGTAAAGACAGACACTAACCCTATGGTCCCTTAAAATAATGTAGCTTATCGTAATCCTCCTCATCTATCTCCTGATAAATGAACGTCGGTGTGGCTTGATCTGCTGTTTTCTCTAAACATTTCTTAATGCAGGGAAGAACACAACAAACAATGAGAGCAAGGATGATCAACATTATCAGGACTGCCACACCTATTTGAGCCAGAACTTTCTGCCAACCAGTCATCCATCCAAGCCATCTGTCCCATGGATCAGTGACCCCAGAGTTCCTCTTTAACTCTTCTGAGAGACTCTCTAACTTCTCTATTGCCAGGGTCACCTTGCCATTGGGGCTTGTGTTATCAGGCATGTGGGTGCAACACGTCATGGTGTCAGGGAGTATTTTACATACCCCCATTTCTCTGCTAGGATCATGTCTAGGGCCATTCTATTCTGGAAAGTCATCTGAGATGTGGCCTGAAGTTCCTTAGCCAACCCCTGGAGGGCATCTCTTGTGTAGTTTACAAACCGTTGTTGGTTATAATAAATATATATATATATATATATATATATATATATATATATATATAGTGATCCAATTCAACTTATATTGGCTGTGATGATAGGGAGGATGGATTCAAACCTAGCTGCAACTTCATCTCTAGCCTTGAATTCATCAGGCACCCCCCTTGGCACTCCAATGGCATCTATATACACATGAGGGTCGAAACTGCCCTTTACAGGAGTGCCTCTTCTGGATCTGATGTGTGAGTGTGACTTGTCATGTGCAACTGGGTGGCTGTCAGATATAATGTGTATTGGCATAATAACTTTGGCCAGGGTGCATTCCCCCCACCATAAATCTTCCAACCTTGACTTAAGTTGCATATGCCCACACAACCAATATATGTCCCCCAGGGATTTAACATGTTTTTGTAGCAGGGCGAGTGGAACTGTGCTATAAGTGGCACAATATTTACCAGTGAAATTACCCAAGAACCGGCCTTTCCCACCATATTTACCGTAGCAGGTGTAGTTCCCTGGGTATATAGTGATAGCCTTGTCTAGTTTGATGTTCTTAGTCATAAGTGGGTATTCCTTTTTCCATGATTCAAATACTGACTGATTAGTTTTAAGGTTAGTGTAGAGGCTTAGGAAACACAATTCTATGTCGGGGGGTAGGACTAGGGGTACAGTACCTAGGTGGGGTCTGGCTCCTCCACAGATGCATAGCTCTAAATTACAACTAGAGGGAACTGGTACTTGGGGTAATAAAATACAGTTAGATGTTTGGACTTGGACTCAATATATACACTCTTATAAAAGAGGCAACATTTCAAACTCAATATTGTGATAAGCACCATAAATTGGTTACTCATTTTTAATATTCCCAGCATTCACTACACAAGGAATTATGGGGAATTGCCAATGGATCTACAAATTTTAGGACAAAGTACTAGAGCTCAAAAAACATGACAAGGAACTGAATTTGATATCTTTCTTTCTGCTTTGGCTAGTTTAGCCTGACATTGACAGTTTCCTTGTCAATTGTCCACAATTCTTTGTTGACCAAGTAAGGCACAATGTTACACAGCCTTACATATAGTCAGGTCCATAAATATTGGGACATCGACACAATTCTAATCTTTTTGGCTCTATACACCAACACAATGGGTTTGAAATGAAACAAACAAGATGTGCTTCGACTGCAGACTTTCAGCTTTAATTTGAGGGTATTTACATCCAAATCAGGTGAACGGTGTAGGAATTACAACAGTTTGTATATGTGCCTCCCACTTTTTAAGGGACCAAAAGTAATGGGACAGATTAACAGTCATAAATCAAACTTTCACTTTTTAATACATGGTTGCAAATCCTTTGCAGTCAATTACAGCCTGAAGTCTGGAATGCATAGACATCACCAGACGCTGGGTTTCATCCCTGGTGATGCTCTGCCAGGCCTCTACTGCAATTGTCTTCAGTTCCTGCTTGTTCTTGGGGCATTTTCCCTTCAGTTTTGTCTTCATCAAGTGAAATGCATGATCAATCGGATTCAGGTCAGGTGATTGACTTGGCCATTGCATAACATTCCACTTCTTTCCCTTAAAAACTCTTTGGTTGCTTTTGCAGTATGCTTCGGGTCATTGTCCATCTGCACTGTGAAGCGCCGTCCATTGAGTTCTGAAGCATTTGGCTGAGCAGATAATATTGCCCGAAACACTTCAGAATTTATCCTGCTGCTTTTGTCAGCAGTCACATCATCAATAAATACAAGAGAACCAGTTCCATTGGCAGCCATACATGCCCACGCCATGACACTACCACCATGCTTCACTGATGAGGTGGTATGCTTTGGATCATGAGCAGTTCCTTTCCTTCTCCATACTCTTCTCTTCCCATCACTCTGGTACAAGTTGATCTTAGTCTCATCTCTCCATAGGATGTTGTTCCAGAACTGTGAAGGCTTTTTTTAGATGTTGTTTGGCGAACTCTAATCTGGCCGTCCTGTTTTTGAGGCTCACCAATGGTTTACATCTTGTGGTGAACCCTCTGTATTCACTCTGGTGAAATCTTCTCTTGATTGTTGACTTTGACACACATACACCTACCTCCTGGAGTGTTCTTGATCTGGCCAACTGTTGTGAATGGTGTTTTCTTCACCAGGGAATGAATTCTTTGGTCATCCACCACAGTTGTTTTCCATGGTCTTCCGGGTCTTTTGGTGTTGCTGAGCTCACCGGTGCGTTCTTTCTTTTTAAGGATGTTCCAAACAGTTGATTTGGCCACACATAATGTTTTTGCTGTCTCTCTGATGGGTTTGTTTTGTTTTTTCAGCCTAATGATGGCTTGCTTTACTGATAGTGACAGCTCTTTGGATCTCATATTGAGAGTTGACAGCAACAGATTCCAAGTGCAAATAGCACAATTGAAATGAACTCTGGACCTTTTATCTGCTCCTTGTAAATGGGATAATGAGGGAATAACACACACCTGGCCATGGAACAGCTGAGCAACCAATTGTCCCATTACTTTTGGTCCCTTGAAAAGTGGAAGGCACATATACAAACTGTTGTAATTCATACACCATTCACCTGATTTGGATGTAAATACCCTCAAATTAAGGCTAAAAGTCTGTAGTTAAAGCACATCTTGGTTGTTTCATTTCAATCCCATTGTGTTGGTGTATAGAACCAAAAAGATTAGAATTGTGTTGATGTCCCAATATTTATGGACCAGACTGTAAGTGTGTGTTTAGGTATAATTACATATAGTTGGAGTAATTGCTTTACCTTCTCCATGACTGCCACGTGGTTTGGTAATTCATACACCCTATGAAAAGAGAAATGTTGGACGGGCATTCTAATTAAAGTACTTCGCGTACAAGATTTCCAAAAGTCTACCTCTGTTTCTGCTACAGGAATATTCCACCAACATGTGTTTTTTATCACCACGGGCCTGTGATGATAACCACATTAAAAACACACACTCAATGGCTGCCATATTGGGTGGATTGTGGTTTCGGTTCCATTCCAATGAACGTCGAAATGGTAGATATTTTAGAGCAGAATTGTGGTGAATTTGTAATAAACAGTTTTGAGTTTAAAGTAAGCTCAGGGTGGTGTACGATGCTGAGGGGATTACATCATGCACAATACAGTGCCCTCTTGTTTTCCATTGAGTAAGCTATTTTTTTAATTTCTTTTCAAAAAAGAGTTACTTTAGGTCATTAAATACGATTAACTCAGGTCAAACAACAGAACAGTTTTGTTCTACTTAAAATGCAAGACAAAAAAATCAACAAACTTGTGAAAAGCTGTTTTCATATTATAGCTATAAAAATCTCAGCATATTAAAGGTAATTTCTGTCTCTCTCTCTCTGTATGTAAAAGGTATAGTGTACACTTAAAGTAGGAACATTGCCTAAAAACAAAAACGCTTGTATTTTCCAGGCCTCCCAACTGTCCTAAATCTGGTGGGACTATACTAATTTTGGGGTTCTGTCCTGCTGTTCTAGGTTTGTTTCCTGGTGTCCCACTTGATGGAACTTTATTGAACTATCCCTAGAAAGCTTCCAACCTTGTTGAGGCTGGCAAGCACGATTGTCTGGCAGCCCCACATGCTTTCACCCTAGGTTTACATGCCTGTTCTTCTGGCGAGTCCTTTGTTGGGCACCAGTGCACATGTCCATTTTACAGGTCCATACACTTTATGGGGAGCCAATGTTTGCAGGGGGGAGGGGGTATGGTTTGCTTATTTAAGCTCTATGGTCACATTTGCGTAAAGTTATCTTATATTTTGTATAACCTTTTTTTTCCCTCAGAATGGCCTGAAATCTTTCATAGATTTTTTGGCAACACATTACCGGTACTCCTAAAAACCTCTCTTTCCATCTCACCAAAGGTCCACTACTATAGTGAGAACTGGGGACTAGGCCGCTAATTTGAGAAGAATTAAGATACTGTGATGCTGAAGATATCATTTGAGGATTACATCTCTCGCAATATTAGTTACTCTACCATTCAAATGTTGCTCACCTAATTAAAAAGCAGAATTATCAACATTATGTAGGAGAACAATATATTTTCTTCTACTAAAAACTTAATTCTGGTGATCCCATATTCTTTCTTCATCTGCTGGCTTTATCATGTCTAACCCTTGACTTAATTTGGACTTTAAAGAAATTCATGTAAAAAACCTAATGTGTACCAAGAAACATCATGGATAATTAACACAGTTTCGTACACATTCTGACCTTGCTATCTGTAGGACACGTTGAAATTTAAAAAATGTATATGTTTCATCTACCTGTTGTTCTTATATCCAAGATTCATTTTTTCACATCTCTGTTGTGAGGACTGGTAGCTTGAGTGTTTGATCTTTATATTATGTTAACCAAGACTGGCTATTGTATTATGACCTCTCTAATTGGTAGGCCACTTTTACATGCAAATTCTGTTTTATTTGTTTTGGTTTTCAAACAATTTTATGCCAACATTAAACATAGCGTTTGTACAGTATAAATTGAACCCTAAAAACACTTCTTGACATTTTTCTAGGCTGACCTAAAGAGTAATGGTGAACATTTCATGTTTAGACTGTGCATTCTTATTGCCGTATATTCAAGTAATTTGACTTTGTCACCTTCAGGTTAAGAAGCACAATGGCCCAAGCGATGTACCTTCTGCTTTTAACCCTACCTCTTGTGATATCAGTTTCCCACCCTGTTAATCCTGGCTGCAGAATAAGGATTACCTCAAAGGGGCTACAATTTGGTAAGAAGACCGATTCCACAAAACGTGTGTGATGTGTTGAGGTTTCAGAACTTTGATGCAGTGCGAGAGTTGGACTTTATCAAATCATGAGTGAGGAAAGAGATGAAATACAATTATTGATAGTATTGTAAGGGTATGATGAAATTGTAATGGTGATATGATTGGGAGTTGATTACCTGAGCACAGGTGGACCTGTGTTTAGCTAGATAAGAGCTACAAAGCTGCATAATGAGGGCTGAGCTGCAGACATTTTGCTTTATTCTAATACGTATACTCTGAAACCATGGTCTATATATTCAGTCCATAGGGACTCAGTTAACCAAGTATTTTCTGTCCAGTTAAACACGAGGGCCTGAAATTTGTGGAAGAAGAGCTTGAGAACATCACAATTCCAGACTTGACCGGCAACGAAGGAAGATTCTCATACAGCATCAACAAGTGAGTGTCGACCAGTTTGTTTTTATGTGTACATAAATTGTTTATACAAGTTTTGCCTTGTGTAGCATTTGTTACAGATGTTCTAATGTTCTCTTCCAGTGTGCGTGTGACACATTTGCAGCTCCATTTCTCAGAGTTATTGTTTCAACCACACAAGCAACTAGTTTTGGACATAAATAACGCCTCCATCAGCCTCACCTTTCAGCGAAAACTGCTGTACTGGCTTTTGTAAGTACCCTTTACATATGATTACCAGGTTCAGTGGGTTCTGATGTAGACAGAGTAGATGCACAAATTTGCAGTATAGAGAATATAGATGATTAGAAGAGCTCAAAGAGTGGTTTTCACTTAAGTAATAATGGAACAGTGGTCAAAGCTGTCATCACCTGTTTACTGAGTGCCATCTTAACAGCATTATGGGCCCCCTAGGCAAAGCAGTGGACTGGGGCTCTGCCTTCACAACAACTAAAAGGAATAAAAATGTAAATTATCGCTAAAATTAAGCTTATATTTATTGGTACCTCCAGCAAATGCAATACATACATATACACAGACTGCTGAACACATTTACACACAAACTGCTGAATACACACACACAGACTGCTAAGTACACAAAGACGGACTGCTAAATACATACACAGTCCACTGAATACACACACACACACACACAGACTCCTGAATACACACACAGACACACACACTGCTGAATACACACACTGAATTCGCACAGGCTGCTGAATTCACACAGACTGCTGAATACACACAGACTACAGTGAGAGGTGCAGTGTATGTGTTTGTGTGTAGGGGTGCTGTGTGTGTATGGGTGCTGTGTGAGGGGTGCTGTGTGTGTGTGTGTGTGTGTGTGAGGGGTGCTGTATGTGTGTGAGAGGGATGCTGTGTGTGTGTGTAGGGGTGCTGTGTGCTAGGGGTTCTGTGTGTGTGAGAGGTGCTGTGTGTGTGTGTGTGTGAGAAGTGACTGTGTGTGTGAGAAGTGACTGTGTGTGTGAGGGGTGCTGTGTGTGTAAGAGGGGTGCTGTGTGTGAGGGGTGCTGTGTGTGGGGGTGCTGTGTATGTGTGTGTGTGTATGCTGTGTGTGTGTGAGGGGTGAGTGGTGTGTGTGTGTGTTGCAGAGTTAAGGGGTGCATGGAGCAAATGTTTAATTGTTTTTTTATTTTTTTAAAATAATAAATGTACAGTACATCAATGAAATCTTAATGCCCCCCCCCAACCCTTTTTCTTACCTTTTGTGAAAGAGGGGGGACACTGCCCTGGCGGTCTAGTGGTGGTGATCTATAGCCTGCAGCTCCTCTGGCAGCAGGCTATCTTCACTCCTCCCGAGCTGAGCGCTGTGTGGAACGATGGCAACGCGTGGCAATGCTCCACACAGCATGTTTGTGGGAAGGACGATCTCCTCCCATGTCCTTCTCTTCCTCCCTATCAGGCAGCCTCTGGGCCCTCCTTTTTTTTTTTACACACTACTCTTAGGGTTGTCAGGTATTTCTCATGTATTTCTTATGGTTGCCAGGTATTTCCCAGAAGTATTTCTCAGGTATTTTAGCCTGTCTAGCCAGTGACGGTATAATAGAAATGTCTATCTCAGTATAAAGAGAGATTATTCTGCAATACCAGCGCCAGCCAATAGGTGTCGCTGTTTGTGTGTAGAGAGGCAGGGATAAGAAGTTACAGCATCTCCCTCCCTGCCTCTCTCTACTCACTGATCTGCGGGGGAGCAGCTCTGCACAGAGAGTCCAGACAGCAGCTCCGAGCCTGCGAGACATGGGGATGGTGAGAGATTTGGGAAACTGGGAGACATAGGGACACTGGGGAACATGGGGATCCTAAAACACTAGGGACACAGTGGCCCCATGTCTCCCAGTGGCCCCTAGCCTCTCAGTGTCCCCATGTCTCCCAGCCAGTGTCCCTAGTGTCTTAGTGTCCCCATGTCTCCCAGTGCCCCTGATGTCTCTGTGTCCCCATGTGTCCCCATGTGTCCCTAGTGTCTCTGTGTCCCTAGTGTCTGTGTCCCTAGTCTCTCAGTGTCCCCTAGTCTCTCAGTGTCCCAATGTCTCTAAGTGTCCCCTAGTGTCCTAGTGACATCGGGACACTGGGAGACATGGGGACACAGACTCTAAGGGACACTAGGGGACACTGGGCGACATGGGGACACTGAGACACTAGGGGACACCGAGAGACATGGGGACACTGGGCAACTTTGAGACCTGGGAGACATGGGGCACTCCCAGTATCCCCATGTCTCCCAGCCAGTGTCCCTAGTATCTCAGTATCCCCATGTCTCCCGGGATCCCTGTTGTCTCTCAGTGTCCGTAGTGTTCCAGTGTCCGTAGTATTTCAGTGTTTCCTAGTCTCCCAAAGTCCCCTAGTCTCCCAGTGTCTCAGTGTTACAATGTCTCCCAGTGTCCCCATGTCTCCTAGTGTCTCAGTGTCCCCTAGTATAAAAGAAAACAATCTCAGGCACTCACTCTGATAGATTTAAGCAGGTGTATTGGACACCGCAACGTGTTGACCTGTACCCAGATCTTTATCAAGTCTCTAGTGTCCCCTATGTATCACAGTGCCTCAGTGCCCCTTGTCTCCCAGTGTCCCCTTGTGTCTCAAAGTCACCCAATATCCCCATGACTCCCAGTTCCCCAAGAGTCTCAGTCTCCCCAGGTCTCCCATTGTTTCCTAGTATTTCAGTGTCCCTATATCTCCCAGTGTCCCTATGTCCCCTAGTGACATGGGGACACTGGGAGACATGGGGACACAAACACTAAGGGACTGGGAGACATGGGGACACAGACAGGCCCCTTTTTGTGTATGTTCGCCCCTTTCGGCAGTTCTGGTTATGTGATTTGTGTCAGTGGCCCACCCTTTTACCCCGCCCATAGACTTCCTGCTTTACTGGACACTGCTGTTAGGGGTATGGGTTTACTTGAAAGATGAAAGCGTGAGATTAGCATAGGGTATGTGTTTTCTCATAGCTGCATCCTATGAGTTTCCCTTCAGTACCATCTCCATCAGATACATGACGCTTAGGAGGTGTGACTGTTTTAGTGTTTTTGGTCAATAAGATTTTGTAATTAGGCCCATCATAATTGTCAGCAACAGGCCCACTGGGCTTTTAATCTGGCCGTGGCTGGGCATCACGCTGGGGGGCTTGTGGGGCCCCCGGGCAACTGCCCAGCGTGCCCATGTGCCCATGTGTATACATTGGTTTATTTTAGAATACACAAACTTGCACTTGCAAGAAGAAATGTGTCTGAGACTTTATTAAGGCACCTTTTATTCTTTGTTGTTAAAATGTAAAGAGCCATAGATGTAAGAACATAGAAAAACAATCCGAGGTCTTTACACAACTTCACTGAACATATTTTATTCAAGCTCTGGACTTATAGGCCTATAAGTAACGTAAATTAAAACAGGTTTTATGCCTGATTTCCTTCCTGGAGAAATGTTGGTGGATTTTCTGTGGTATTGCTACCTTTGGACTACAGTTAGAATTGTGTGTAGCGCCATCTATCGGTAAATGGGTGAAAGATAATGTTCTGATTGCACCTGAATAAGCTGTACCATTAGTTCCGAGCTTAAAAACGCAAGTTTGTTTCATTGTTTGACCTATGTAGGCCCTGTAGACATAGAATAACTATTTATTTTTTTTACTTTGCTTGGAGTGTGCTCTATGTCTGTATTATGTAGCAGGGCTCTATTCGACACTAGCCAAAGGCAAGTGGATTTTAAGCACTAGCAAATAGAAATTCACCCTTGAAGTGTATACTACGCTTGCTGTGGCAAGTAACTTTTAAGGCCTGGCTAGTAACATAGGAATTCAGATTTTTAGCACTGATGTAGGAATCATATATTTATTCACGTATTAACCCTATTCACTAAGTGCTAAGCATTGCTAGAAGTAAATATCTAACAGAGTAATACAGGGAGTACAAGTTTTCAATGCTTAAAATATTATGGAAAGGAACTTTAACAGAGATACAGTTAAATGAAGAAGCATGGAATGACAATCATTTGTTCCATTTCATAATTTGTTTTTCTTTCCAGTTACGATGTGGGGATGATTAATGCCTCTGCGGAGGGTGTGCATATTAAAACAGAGCTGGATCTGGCACGAGACCCAGGTGGACGTCTGAAGATTGCCAACTTGTCGTGTGAAGCATCCATCAACAAGATGCAGGCTGGCTTCAGTGGCACTCTCAAGTGAGCGAACCCTGAGATTTACATCTTATTAATAAACAATGAACATATCTCCACTCGATCACTATGATGCTGTAAAACTGTTGGTTTGATATTAAGATTTTTTATTCATTTTGTAACTAGATAGATCTCACTTTAAATAGGGCTCACAATTTCCACTTGCCTACTGCCCTTTGGGAAGTAGAAATGTGACCTGCTGAGTGTGCCCTGCAGGCATGAAGTATCAAATACCTTAGGTGCCCTCCTCTAATTCCTCCTCATTATTTGTTAATCTTTCTACTTATTCTGTGTGCATATTTACTCCTTCCTACTCGGCCAGTTGTCTTTCTTGACCTAGTCATTCTACAATTAATTTTCACTTCTTTCTCTACCCTTACTTGCCCTTTTGCTCGGGTATCGCCATGGCTCTTCGCCTTCTCTGATGTAAGATTTATGACATCTGGCTTCGGCAGAGCTGTCGATCATGGCGTACTTTTGGCTAGGCACTCTCAGCCAAAGATCGCAATTTGGCACATGGAAAGCTGCAAAATTATATTAGCCAGGCCAGAACACTAGTTTCGAGATCGCTACCCCAGTGATGCTGTTAGCAGTGGAGTAACATCTCTGGCAGGTTGATCTCCGTCTGTGCAAAACCCAGGTACCATAACCACGTTAAATCACTGAAGTGGTCATGGTGCTTGAATTAACCCTTTAATCATTAATGGAGAATAATGAATATAGAAAGTCTCTGTGTGTGTATCAGGATATATTTGGAGTACCAATGACCTGGGCAATATCTGCTTAGAATATGGCTGACAAATTTCAGCCCAGGGAAATTAAATCATTAAATCCAATGTGTCTGTTTCAGAATACCGCATCATATATGTTCTTGCCAGTCTGTGCAACATAGCACACAAAATGCATAGAAGCTCTTCTTCCATATGAGGATCTTAGCCTCAAGCTTTGGCAGCGTTTGTGTCCCATGTTACAACATTTTATGCCTCACTTATTTTAATTCAATTATAGCAGCCAAGGGGCATTTGCAATCACTCCCTTTCTAGCCAGACCACCTGATGCTATTATAATCACACTTTTACTTTCATATATTATTATATTTATATATATATATATATATATATATATATATATATAAATATAAAAAAATTATAATATAACAATAATAATATTAAATATTATATGAATTCCATAAAAGAAAAAAGAGTGTTTGTCCTAATGAAAGTTACTATTCGGAACTGAAACGTTGATGATTCTTTGACACTCTTTTCAGTAAAGAAGTTTGTGTGAAAATACCTGGGAGTGCTGATTTTTTTCGTTATATATATATATATATATATATATATATATATATATATATATATATATAGGCACGCGCAGCCTGTTGCATTAGGGTGTGCACCCTAAAGCACAAACACACGCCACATGTGTATATATATATATATATATATATATAAAAAATAGAATATTCCTTGCACTCACGCTTAAGTAGTCCAATTTGCCTTATTAGGCTTGCCGGGTGCCAGTCTTTAGGGTCCTTCAATGTAGTATACAAAACAAAGCAGGCTGCACTCACGGACTTTCAAACTTCAAGTGTAATTTTATTCCATCCAAGAAACAAAAACGATCAACGTTTCGGCCCACGCAGGGGCCTTCATCAGGATCAAACAATACATACATACATACATACATACATACATACATACATACATATACTGCTGTTTGTGTGTGTGTGCTGTTAGTGCGCTGTGTGAGGGTGCTGTGTGTGAGGGTGCTGTTAGTGTGATGTGTGTGTGAGGGTGCTGGTAGTGTGCTGTGTGTGAGGATGTGGTTTGTGTGTGAGGGTGCTGTTTGTGTGCTGTGTGAGGGTGTTTGTGTATGTGTGTTAGGGTCCTGTTAGTGTGCTGTGTGTGTGAGGGTGCTGTTTTTGTGATATGTGTGTGTGAGGGTGCTGTTTGAGTCGTGTGTTTGTGAGTGTGCTGTGTGTGTTTGTGTGGGTGCTGTTAGTGTGCTGTGTGTGAGGATGCTCTGTGTGTGAGGGTGCTGTATGTGTGCTATGTGTGTGGGTGTCTTGTTTGTGTGTGTGTGTGGGTGCTGTTTGTGTGCTGTGTGTGTGAGGGTGCTGTTTGTGTGCTGTGTATGTGAGGTTGCTGTGTGTACGCGCTGTTTGTGTTAGGGTGCTGTATGTGTGTAGGTGCTGTGTATGTGTGTGTGTGTGCTGTATGTTTGGAGGGATTGTGAAGGCGGGGGCAGATTAGTAAATAACCCCCCTCCCTTCTTACCTTATGTAGGGAGGGGGATCCTTGCTGTCCTAGGGAGAGTGAACTCTAGCCTGCGGGGCTAGAGTTCACTCTTGCGAGATCTAAACATTGCCGTGGCAACGCCCAGATCTCGCGAGAGGAACCTGGCGGAAGCTTCTGTCTAGAGATCACAGACACACACACACACATACACTCACAGACACACACACTTACAGATACAGAAACACACACTTACAGACACATACAATCACAGACACACACACATACATTCACACACACTCACACACACTCACAGACACTCACACACATACACACACACATTCACAAATTATTATTTTTTTATTAAAAATTGTCCACCCAGCCTCCCTACCTGGAGAGCTGGCATGGACTTGTCACTGGGGTCCAGTGAGTCAGGTGCCTGTCTCCAACAAGCGGCGAGGGAGCTGTGTGCTCTCTGCTTCCTCTCGCCGCCCAGGCTGACTGCTGTAGCTGGAAGCCAGAATATGACATCATATTCCAGCTTCCGCCCTCAGCAAACGGCGCACGGCGAGAGGAAGCAGAGAGCACACAGCTCCCTCGCCGCTTGTTGTATGGAGACAGGCACCCGACCGGGGGGGGGGAAGGGTGTGTCCATCACATCTTGCTCCCCATGACAGGGAGAACACGGGGGGAGGGCATTTTGGGGGGGCAGAGTGCCTGCGGGAACGGTGTTCCCACGTGTTCCTGCAGGACTCACCCGGCACACGCCTATGTATATATAACAATATAATAATATATGAAAACCAAGAGATATATTTTGAATATATCTCTTGGTTCCTCAGTTCCGTCATCTTAATCCCTTTAGGACCAAACTTCTGGAATAAAATGGAATCATGACTTGTTACACATGTCATGTGTCCTTAAGGGGTTAACTCTATCACCCTATCTGTGTTCCAGTGTCTCACCAGCCTCACCTTTATTAACTGCATTGTCTCATTGTAGGAAAGTGTATGATTTTCTTGGCAGTTTCATCACAACGGGAATGAGATTTCTGTTAAACCAGCAGGTAGGTACTACAACTTACTCCAATAGCTTTATGAAACTTCTAATATTGTACTGCTTTCTACTTCTATTTTTTTCTTGTGTTTTTTTTTTACTACACAAAAAAATAAATTGATCACTTACCTTCAAATAGATATTGCATGTGATGCTCTACCCAGCATGTTGTATTGGTTATGGTACCATGAGTCTCTAGGCACCACCTCCCAAGTAAAAGTTAAACCACTTTCAAATGGTTTCACACTGACCTAAGTCTCAAGGGTCGTGCGCAGTCTGCGGCTCTCTTTGGATTTCACCGAAACAAACTTCTGCTTTCATTATATCAATTCCGCCTGTGTTTGGACAAATTTAAGTGGCTGAGATAATCAGCTGACTCTATCAGACAGCTAATTCTGTTCAAATAGGGAGGAGAGACTGATATATCTCTTTCAGAAGTAAAATTTAGCCATATCAGATAAGAGGCCTGACTGTGGGTGTTTGGGGGACCCAAAAACGGTTTGACTCGTACCCTGGGTATGGCTCTAGGAGACTCCTGGCACAATAATCATTACAGATGTAGAGGATATTCTGCCTAGACTGTGGTCTTTAAGGGATGTGTAGTTATGTAACATATTGAGATCTATCTTCATCTGGCCTGATCTAAATTGTTTACCTTTACCATTAATAACTTACTTTTGTTATAGTCCCTTGATATCCAATTATTTCTCCAACAATTTGGCATTGTGTAATGTGTGGATCCCTGTATTCTCCCTAGTTGTAATATCAGTAGTAGGGCCCTAGAAGTCCTAGAGAAATTTTAGGGGTTTTCACTTGCTTATTTATAACCTTTAATGGATCCGCTTCGTGTGTTTGTTGTAGATTTGTCCCGCTCTCCGACATGCCGGATTGGTGCTGCTAAACTCTCTTCTGAACACAGTACCCGGTAAGTGAGCTTCCGGGGGGTTTAGACTTTGAAGGAAAGGAGAGGGGTTAGCATCTAAAATAGAATTGGGCAAAAGTTAGATGCCCAGATGTTGCAGAACTACAGCTACCATGATGCTTTGCCAGACTTTAGAATGTTACAGCATTATGGAAGTGGCAGATTGGGGATCTACCATTTGTCCAGCCCTGTACAGATGCAGATGTGGGGATCTACCATTTGTCCAGCCCTGATCTAAAACCTTCCAAAGATAGCCAGCTTTATGTGCCTGTTTCCTATTTAAAAGCATAGATGGTTTTCTGCTTTGGCAACCAACCTGTCGGCCTTGATTTAATATTTTTGGATAAGCTCTTCAAATGGCTAAAATCTGTTAGAAAACGTTAGCGTTTCAAATTATGTGTCTACAGAAGTCACTATTAAAATCTATGGGCATGTCTGAAGATAAACAGTGTTTCCAACAGATGATGTGATCAATTGAGACGCTTATGCAGAAATATTAAATCGAGGCCTATGTTTCGTGAACTCTGCCACTTTGTTTCTCTGACTGCTATCTTTATTGGAAGGGTTGCCCACGAATTTCAAACCATTCATTAAGTTAGAAGGAAAAGAGAGACAATATTTTCAAATTTCCCTCCAAACATTTTAGGCGATTCAGAATTATTTTTTTTTAAATCCCTTCAGATATTCGTAAGTCTCAATGGTTTTTAAGTATGTTTATTATTTTAAGGCATGCAGTCTTTTTATATCTATTTTGTAAATTTGCACCATTCTAATATCCCTTATTTAACTTTAAGAACCTCTCATTCCATTGCATAAACAGTACATGATATAATAACCGTTTTCCATTTTCTATACAGTGCGGAATGCGGTGGACGATTACATAGGAATTGATTATTCTCTCTTGAGTGACCCGGATGTATCAGAGGACAGTTTGGATATGGACTTTAAGGCAAGATAACTGGCTGATAGGTGTGATGTTACAATGACGGCAGACAACAATAGAACAGTTCTGTCATTGTTATTCTTCTACCATAAATACTTGATCCAAATGTTACCACATTGCTTTTTTTTTATTCTAAATTAACTTTGCATTATAATCTCATTGTATAAATGCAGGAACTATTTAAACTCAAGGGCTTGGCTATCATTTGCACTATGCAAATGTTAACTAGTTGCTATTGGCCAACAATCAAGGGATATAGATGCAACTGTAATCCTTGTTTTTACATATTTTATTCAATGTGTAAAAAATAAATGTTAAGAACATTGCAAACAAATTTACAAAAATACAAGTAAATGTTGTGCATGTTGTCAACAAAAATGCAAAAGATAATTAAAGCATTGAGTATGAGAACAGGTATGGATTGGGGATGGGAGAAATAGCACAGAAGAGAGTGAATGGCTAGAGCTTGAGGATGTTTGGGAAGTTGGGGCTGACTGGGTTTTGCAGAACTCGTTCCATGCGGACCAGATTTTTGCAATTTTCAAAGTGAGCTCAGATTGCGGTGAGACAATTTTTCATGGAGATGTGTAGTCTGGAGAGCTTGATACACAGGTTGCCATGATGGAAGCATGGGGGACTTCAAATTTTTATCTACAGAATTATTTGAGGCTGTGAGAAAGTGGAGGATTAGTGTTAGTTGGGATCTTGGTATGTGTGGAAGAAACTGTCACGATTCGGGGAACCCAACACGCTGGCACACACACACACAAAAGGTGCCGTACCGGACCTTAGAGTGGCCGGGCTAAGCACACACAGAATAGTCAGGAAACAAGCCGAGTAAGGGGAACCAGAAGACAGAATAACGTGAAACGAGCCGAGGTCAAAGGGTAGGAGAAAGTCACAGAGTCGGATAAACAAGCCAGAGAGTACGTAACCAGAAACACAAGGTAAGTAGCAATACTAGCAAGCAAAGACCACAACAGGGCAGGGAGGAACAGGAAAGGTAAGTATTTAAACCATAAGGTTAATTCTGATTGGATAATTTCCAATCAGAATTAACAATCACACGTGGGAGATATCTAGACCTCCCACTGTGATTAAGGCACTGTGCCTTTAACGCCGGGTCAGGTGACTGACCCCGGCGTGTATAAACCTGGGCGGTCTCCCAGCGTGCAGCGTCATGCATGCTGCCGCTGGGGGACGTGGAGGGAACGGCGGGCGGCATCCGAGGCTGGAAGGATGCCGCTCGCCGTACCCACGAGGCGGAGGGGACCGCGGACGGCTGGAGGGTGAGTACTGCGAGCGGAGTGCAGCCTCCCCTCGCAGCCGCCCGCGGGAACCTGACAGAAACAGTGAGGTTTCAAGAAGGAAACAGTGAGGTTCTCACGGCAACCTGATTGTTGCGATTTCCTTGGTGAAGGAATTAATCTCTGTCCAGAATGTCTTGAGTAAGGAGCAATCCCAGAAGACATGCATTAAAGGGACACTATAGTCACCAGAACAACTTTTCAGAGAAAATGCAGTGTTTACATTACAGCCTAGTGATAATTTCACTGGCCACTCCTTAGATGGCTGTTAGAGATCCTTCCTGGGTCATGGCTGCCTAAAATGCATCCAAACATTCAGTGTCTCCTCCCTCTGCATGCAGACACTGAACTTTCCTCATAGAGATTCATTGATTCAATTCATCTCTATGAGGAGATGCTGATTGGCCAGGGCTGTGTTTGAATTGTGCTGGCTCTGCCCCTGATCTGCCTCCTTGTCAGTCTCAGCCAATCCTATGGGGAGGCACTGTGATTGGATCAGGCTACCACTTCTACCGATGTCAGCAGGCAGTGGGCAGGTCAAAGGAAACAGTGACAAAGCAAGCAGCTCCAGACTTGAATACCAGTAATATTTTACTATATTTACGGAAGCATGAGGACACCAGGGTGGCTAGATGGTAGTTTTAACCCTATAGAGTCAGGAATATATGTTTGTGTTCCTGACCCTATAGTGCTCCTTTAATATTCTCTTCTCAGACTGCATCTCCAACATCGAACATCTGAGGTCAGGAAGATGTGAACTTGAACCCTAACTTGCGATTAGTCTCCCATTATGCATTATGAATTGCATATGATCTTCATAGCTACTAGTGCTCTTCTCTATTTTGACGTTAGGCATTTTTGAAGGTCTTTTTCCCATTGTAAGAGAAAAGATGTTTGTTTTGAGGTTTTTTTTTTTGTGGGTGCTCACAAATCAGAGCTTGATAGCAAATTGATAAAGCTTTAAATTAAAACGTTAGTGTTAGAAATGCAAAGATGTATTCCTAACACTAAAGGGTTCTCCTACGGTGACTTCAGCACGATACGGCAACCTAATGTGCTTTTCCCACGCACATTAGGCCCTCCCCATAGCAAAGCTTTAACTCAATGCTTTCCTATAGGGCTTTAGAAGATGTTGGACTTCTTCATGTTAAGCAGGCAATTAAAACCAGGCTTTGGCCTTCTGGTCATCTGAAGACCTCAGAACATGTGGCTGCTCGCCATCACGGTCAGGATATGCCCCCCTGTGTGTATGGAAAATAACATCAATGGGTTATGAAGACATCTTAATAAATCACAAGACAAAATGTTGAGTGGTTCATAATTGTCTGCAGAACACCATGGCAATTTTTTGTCCTAATACATGCTTTGCTGTTATGTATCTTTTATATTACATTATATTTATAGGTTAGTGTTAGTAAAAGGGATATTCTAAGCTCCTTGACCCCCTTCAGTGTGTAGAAGTGGTCATGGTGCAAGGAGCCCTGCATGTTCAGCGTTTCACCATCAACTCCACCTCCAGCAGCATCATTAACAAGTCCAGAATGAGAGTTCAGTTTTGGCTATGTCGATTCTGTGCATATTCTGCATAGAGACGCTCACTGATTGCAGAATGCTTAGCTGATGTTTTTGGCCAATCAATGATTGACAGCTTGCAGAAGGCAGATGTCATTCAGCCTTCTTGAGAGGAGACTCAGCTCCCGGGTGGACATAGTTAAGAGGCCCATTTTACAGTGCTGCGGAATTTGCTGGGACTTATAAATAATAATAAGAGGCAAGCCGTTACAAAATGTCTTGTCCCCATTGCTGGGGAATGGGCCAGGGTCCTCCTAGTATCATAATCACCATAGATGGCAGCTTTTTAGATGTTGTCATTTAAATGACAGCAGTTGTCGACAAATCTGGATTTATAATTTGTCCATAATACAATACGGCGCTCAATATGTCAAGTTCTACACTGCTGTGCAGGTCTAAAAGATACTCTCTACTGTAAGCCTGGAAGGTTCAAGACATTCTCATCAGGGGTGAATTTCTATTCTCTGGGGCGGAATATTCACTGTCCAATACCTATATTGTGAGTGGAAATGTTTGAGCCCTGATATACAATCATATCAAACTAGGAATTGAGCAGACTGTTACAGATTTTAGGACAATGTAACTGAATTGGTAAAATTATCCCCTTCAACACTATTTCATGATCAGTAATTAGGGCCTAAATTCACAGGTCAGTTCTCCAGTAAATACTTGAAAACAAGAGAATTCTCACTGTATCTTTCCTGGGAAAATATTTTATAAATTAAAAATTCCCAGTTCATCGAATAACCTTATCAATATATTTCCTTACCACTTTACAGAGAATTCTGCAAGTTTGTATATATGTGCATGTTTTCAGTGTTTTATACATTTATTATAATGTACTGTGAATATTATTTGCAGCTTTGTATCCCTTTAACTGTATGTGATGAGTTCCAGAGATACATATTGCTATTGCATTGCTATATGTTCTATATGTTATTTTTGCATTGCTGTATTTATGCCAAGTTAATAATTGTGCCTTTTCCAATGCAGGGCATGTTTTTCTCGCTTACGGAGCCGAATCAGACTCTTCCCAACCTGTCACCAGCACTGCACATAAAGCAGCAGGAACGCATGGTGTACATTGCGCTCTCTGAATATTTTTTCGACTCTGCTTTGTATGCGTATTACCAGTCGGGTGTACTTAGCCTGGATATTGCTGGTGAACAGGTAAGTGCACTTAACTGTTTAACTAGGCTTCTGGTTGAAATGATAATAGACATTCATAGAGATTTAAGAGATTTGTAGGGTTTGCTTTAAAGACAGTACAACCACTACAGTACAACCACTACAGAACAATGAGGTGGTTGATATGATAAGCGTGCCCTGGCACCATCCCACAGTAAGTAGTCAAACTTGTTTAGCACAGTTTAACAGCTTGCTTGGGCACCACCAGGCAACTGCAGCCACAGCCTCTAATTTCCGGTCTTCTCGAGCAGGAGAGTCAAGTTAGCTCTGCAGATGTAAGCAAGGACAAGCAGGTCTGGACTTATTGGTTGAGAATACCAGCTAAGCGCCCTCAGCCATTGAGCGCAATCGTAGACCTGCCATGGAGACATCCAGCTTCTCCTTCAAAGGAAGACCTTAAGCAGCATGGGCACCAGTGTACCCATTGAAGTTGTCAAACCATACTAAAACAATTCGACTATTTACTAAGCCACTCATGGCACCATAATACGGCAGCCTGTAGTGGTTATGGTGTTATGAGTTTTCTTTTAATTATTCTGAGGCATTTTCTGGAATGCACTGATCATAATCCTCATGATTTGCTTTCTCCCTTTCTCTGTTTTCACTGTCCCCATCTATTCCCTCCCTGTCTATGACACAGCCCCCATACATCCCCTCCTTGCCAATGGCACTGTCTCAATCTGTGCTGTAAGTTTCAATTGTAATGTGTCCTAGCCACCAAAGAAAACTACATGACAATCCATACTTGACATTGTTCTGAGGCATCAGCTTAAAGCGTAGCGGTAGCATGACTAGTAAATAAGTGTGGTGGCCCACAATGCTGATCAGATGACCCACTGTGACCTGGCAAAAACCTAAGTTTCATCAGTTGCATTGAGGAAAAGTGTTACTACAAAACTAAACCACTCATTAGTTCTAGTGCTCCCCATTTTGTATACTTTCAAAAAAAAGTAGTTAAATTTGGTTATTATGTCCACAGATGCCAAAAGACCTTGAAGTCCTGTTGCGCACATCGTACTTCGGAACCCTTATGCTGATGGTAAGCACCTCATAAACTTTTTCCAAGGATCCTCCTGTGGTGGTTGGCAATAATGTGCCATGGTGATATGTATATACTACAACTGAGTTCGGTCAGTCACTGCACCATGTTGTGAATATGCATTTAGTACTGGTTAAGGCAGTACAACCTTGGATTACCGTAGGGAACTCAGTATAGCTCTTCATTACCAGTTAACTCAATATATTTCTTTATTAGACAGGTTTCTCAACTGCCAGTTTATAACACTGGTTAACCGGGTTCAGCCAGATATTATAGTGGGGAGCTTTGTGTTTAATATTGGTTGAAGAGACCCTCCACTGCCCAAATACAAAAAATAAAAAAATAAAAGATTGGTAGATATAAGTATAGATAACAAATGAAAACCTAAATTAATTTATTAATGAATCTAAAGAAAGCTGCAGATATCTTGTCTGCAGCCTTTGCAACCCCTCCCTTTTCCCCCCCACCCAGACTTTGTGTTGCTGTCTAATCATAGTAAGTAACAGGAACGGTTGTCTGTTTGACAGGCGGGGGGTGTAACAAGGAAAAGTAAAACTTAGTCACGTGATACTGAAATAAATATATTTATAAAATAAAAACTGCTTCCAGAAGCTACAGACCTGCTGCCTGAAGCCTTTATAAGCCATCCCACTTTCAGTCTGTGCCGGGGAATACACCAATCGCAGCTTTTCTATGAGCTGTAGTACAGGGGGGGTGGTATGTGCACACTTGCCACTTCTGTTAGCTCTGTGGAGTGAAGGGAAGTAGAAGAAAACCTCTCCTGACTTTTTGACAGCTGAAGCGGCATTTCGGCAATGTTTTATAACATCAATCAGATGTTTACTTACATTAGAAGTTTTTATCTCCTGCTCTGTAAACTGAACTTTAATGACACACAGGAGGCTTTTGCAGGGTCTTGAAGACAGCTAACAGAGCAGGAAATAAGATTCTAAATTAAACAGAATTTGCAGTAAGGGAAGCTTAAACATTATATCTCACTATACAGGAAGTGTTTAGGAAGGTGTGACTAGGGCTGTATAAGCAAATCAGTTTGTTATAGTTATCTGTTATTACTGTTTAGTGTTCTACTACATTGCTAATCTCTAGCCTGTACTCTGCTCGGCTAAGTCTATTTTGGGTTACGTGTGATTTATAACTGTATATCTCCCGACTGTATATCCTGCCCTGTATGTTAGGATCCTTCTGTGTCTGAATCGCCCATGAAGCTGGAGTTGCGTGTCTCTACACCTCCACGTTTTACTATCAAGCCCACAGGCACCTCTGTGACGGTCAACGCAATCCTAAATATATACCTGGACCCACCAGACCAACCCCTCATTCAGCTAAGCAGCATGACTATGGTATGAGACACAGCGCCATCTGAAACTGGAGTAATCATAAGTATTGTACAGTAATCATAAGCATTGTGATGAGTAGCAAAACCATTATATGACGTAGTGGGTGGAGTCAGAGTAGCATTACAATGCTTTAAATATCAGAATAAGTTAATGAGATACAGAATCTGTAATTACGTGAAATTATTCCATTATTCCACAGCATAGGGAACTACGTGGAGTAAATATAGAAAGCAGTTAGTAACTAAAGACAGTAAACTGAACTAGGAAGGAGTAATTATTTGAAGGAGGAGGAGAGTAATACAATACGTGCAGGAAGTAATTATTTGAAGTAGTTAGAATTATCAATAAGAGTAGTATCACTGAGTTAGAATTGTCAGTACTAGTAGTATTACAGAGTTAGAATTATTAGTACTAGTAGCATCATTGAGTTACAATTATCAGCAAGAGTAGTATCAGTGAGTTAGGATTTTCAGCACTGGTAGTATCAGTGAGTTAGAATGATCAGTACTAGTAGTATCACTCAGTTGGGATTCTCAGTACTAGTAGTATCACTGAGTTAGGATTCTCAGTACTAGTAGTATCACTGCGTTAGAATTGTCAGTACTAGCAGTATCAGTGAGTTAGAAGTATCAGTACTGTTAGTATCACTGAGTTCGAATTATCAGTAGTATTAGTATCACTGAGTTAGGATTCTCAGTATTAGTAGCATCACTAAGTTAGAATTGTCAGTACCAGTAGCATCATTGAGTTAGAATTATCAGCAAGAGTAGTGTCACTGAGTTAGGATTCTCAGCACTAGTGGTATCAGTGAGTTAGGATTTTCAGTACTAGTAGTATCACGTAGTTAGGATTCTCAGTACTAGTAGTGCCACTGAGTTAGAATTATTGGCAGCATGGAAAGTTAAGAATCTGTAGGAAAAGTAATCAAGGGCAGAACGTCTGCTACAGTATTTGGTTAGATTAAAAGAAAATCACTTGGGAACATTGTGTTAAACTGATTTAAATTGGAAGTGGAACTAAAATGTTCTTTACCAACACCACACCAGTTAGTAGTATCTGTGCAATACAGATAGTTGACTTTATATTGTTTCTGTGCTCAGGAATCTCGCCTCAGTGCCAAGGTTACCCTTAAGAAGACTACATTGCAGGTTCAACTGGACCTCAAAAGGTGATGTAACCAATCTTTAGGCAAAAAAAAAAATGTTTTTTGTCATAATTCAGTTATGTAGTTTGTCACGGCATGGGTTTCAAACTATTGAGGCCCACTAACTGACCTAACAGTCTGGTCACAAGATATCAGACATCAGACACAAGGTAACTGTTGCAACTTGTGTCCGTTACCACAGTCTGGTATTTGAGAGGCTGGTTGCTTTCCCACTGAAGTAGCATGGCTGAATGGCATCTTGTGGGTGAGGAATCTACTGAGTGGAGTCAGAGGATCTGGTGCACATTACTGTGCATTGTGTGAAACGGGGGCAGAAACATGACAGGACATCACATCCACATCCCCTGTCCACACACTGTGCACTGGATACTCAGTGGTGGGTCCAGTTAGAAGACACTGCTCAATTATTTATGCATAATGCCTGTGTGTGAATCATTGAGTTTTTGTCATTGTGTGTGTGTGTGTGGTTTTTTTTGTGTGTGCGCCTATTTGTGTTTGAATGTATTTCATTGCTACGTTTGTTCAAATCTAAAACATTTTAAATGGTTACTAAAATAACACCACTGTATGGGTTAATATGATGCCAGGAGTATCCTGGCCCAGTCCACATTGAATGCGGGCTTCGTGGGAAGCTGACCTCTCTGAGCCAATGAATGCAATTCTGTGCATGTAAATTTTCACACAATTGACAAAAGCCAGCCCAGAACTCTCGTAGTAAGTTGGCTAATGATGCCCCAAAGACCCTGCCAAAATGCTGCACACACATACTCTAGGCACCATGACCACTTCAAAACACAGAAATGGTAATGGTGCTTGGAGAAATCCTTTAACTTTGCTGTATTTAGAGACCCAGCGTTATATTTCATGTTTTTTATTTACTCAGCTATAATATTCCAATTCTTCATTTGACACACCAACACTGAGTACACATTTTTTTAATGGACAAATAGGGCTTTCTTCTAAATATCAAACAAACATATAGGCATGTGAATTGGCAAGTTTGGTCCAATGATCAGTATGGCCGACTGCAAGAGCTCCTTTCCCCGCAGAGCCTCCAGGTACATAGGAGCAAGGTTCATGGAGCTTTATTGAGCCTCTGTGGATAGCACGGCCCAGCGTGTTGCTCTGACCTCATGTAACCAGAACACTTGTCCTTTACAACATATCCTCTACAGAGAGCTCCCCTTTTCTTTGGTTGCCAGTACAATACAAACAGGGACTTGCTCCTTTCTCACTTAGCCATTTGCTCATCTCAGCACAGACATACTGGCACTAGGGATGTGTATTGGCTCAGCACTCTATTCTCCGATGTTACATGTTGTTAGACCAGTCCTGTGTGGTATTGCTGGATGAGAAGTGTGTATAAATGGGTTTGAAACTGAAGCAGTTACCTACACCATTTACCCGGCGATTGTGGTGCACAGACCAACATATGCAGTGTTCCAGACAAACGATTGGTTCTTACGAAACATTGCTCCCTGCCTTGACCCACACAACATTGTTCCTAAATACAATTCATTTTATCAGGGTGAGCATTGAGAGGAATGTTGATGACGAGTTATAGGGATTATAGTTAGGTTTATTAACTCTGCATTTTTATTTTTTGTTCTCTGGGTATTTACATATACACAAGAGAGCAATGAGACGATGAAAATAAACCAATTGGATCTGCTATTAGCAAAGAAAGTCTTGTCATGATCCCCTGGTTTTCCATCCCTGCTCTGTGCTGTACGCTAACAGATCTAAACATCAGACAAATACTTGTTTCTCCATCCATGGTATTTTGTTGAGCTTCTTGGCAGTCAGTATGTTTGTTTTTTTTAAATAAGAATGAGTGAGCCATGCTGCCAGACACTTTTAAAGAAGAACCACAAACAGCATTGGGATACGGCTGTATAATCTATAAAGAGAACATATAAAGAGAAAACACAATAGTGTAATACAGTATATACAGTGAATCGTGCGCTTCAAATGGATGCACTCACAAGATGATGGAAATAGAAGAGCGTTCATAAGGTGCCTCCCCTGATAATATGGGGGGCTGGTAATTCCCCTTGTCAATGTAGAGCAGCCAATGGGACAATGGACTCCAGGTGAGTAGTAGTAGAAAAACCAGTAATTTTATTTTCTTAAAAAGGTGAAAAACACCATAAGAATAAAAGCAGCAATAGGTCCAACGCGTTTCGTTCAGACAGGAACTTCATCAGGGACCGCACAGTAAAAAATCACAAACAATATCACAGATTGTAAAATAATACATCCTACTCCCCCCTTAACAAAATCTCTATAAATAGGGCTAATCCCAGTGTCCCATTGGTCCATAATATGGGAGTGTTCCAGTAGCCAGCTCTTCATTGGTCCTGGGGTGATGTCCTCCAGCTGATGATATTTTCGGCATTTAGATGCTTCAAATTGGGCGCCTTCAGTAAAAAAGCCGAAACCGGAAGTGGACGTAATCCTTTACTTCCGCGTTCCATTTGCGTTCCACATGCGTTCAGTCGTTTTCTCTTAGCCACATCAACAGGGAGCCAGCAGTGTAAATGATCACAGAAACGGCTAAATAGCCAAAGAGTAACAGATTAACTAAATACAATGAATCTCTAAATTAAAGAAAAATGAATTAGTGTATTAAATATACAACAACCTTATCAGACTAGTTCCTCTAGAACTTAAGCTTGTATTTTATAAGTACGTGTATCAATATCTTCACCATTGCATAATTCAAACATATCTGGTTAAAGTGACAGACACCTCCTTACTAAATAGAGAATAAAACATGATCAATTCTTTCCTATAAATGTTCTCTCAATACATCAAATAATTATTGTTTTATAATATATAGCTTAATTAGTACACATAACTGTATTATATAAAACAAACTTGTTTTTATTTTATTATATTTTCCTCTTTTCTTCCCATATATTTACAATGTTGATATTATTTATATTTCTAGAGATACACATGGAATAATTGTAAAAAAGAAGAGGGAGACCCGAGAGTCAATCCAAGAAACACACTAAATCAATCCCAATATTCAGACCCCTGGGTTCAAGGGTCTTTAATTTGTGTATCCAAAAAGTTTCCCTTTGGGATAACTTTTTGACCCTATCACCCCCCCCCTCCCCCCCCCACTTTTAAAGAAGCTCTGTCACCTTCTGCAAAAATTCCCAATGATGACTTGGGTTTCAGCAGAGGTAAGTTATACTTACCTGAAGCTGTCCTCCATCGGCACCAACATCGTCTTTCTTCAGCTCCAGCCGCTTCATCTTTCAGAAGTCCACATCAGTGCTGTAATCTTGCGTATGCTTAAACATTCTAAGTACAAAAGGAGATCTCCATAGTTATTGTATCAAAATTAGCGAGACAATGCCTGATTCCACCAGCGACGGCTTTGGGAACTGACAAAACTTGACGGTGGAAGCTCTGCCTTTTGTCAAGTTTTGTTAAGTCAGGATTTTACCATAATACAAAATAGTCCCTTCTCTGTCTTATGATATATGTTGATTGTTAGGATTTCATTGAAATTCCAACACAGTCTTTTTAAATCTTTTGGTAACAGAGCCAATTAAACCACATTGATTGCCTGGATTCACTTAATAATTAAATCTTTTACCTGCCAATGCACAAATTTCAGTTTGTTTTATTTGTTTTGCATAAAGCAAGCAGATATCTCCATTCTAATACAATTTATTGTTTAATAAGTGTCTGGATTACAAACCTGTTATGGAATTTCAACATTTTCAGGAACATTTTCTCCTAGACACCAAATTGCAAATCATTAACAAATATTGAATTTAACTCTGCTTTGCCAGTAAAAGCATTGCAAATGAAAGAAATAAGCAGAAACATTGTTTCAGTTCTTTTCTTCTCCATATGCTGTCTCTATGACAGGGAACTAAAATGAGGCACCCGGTTGTGGGACAAAACATTGTGGATTTATAAAATTTAATTTTTCACAAATGTGTTTGTAAATTATATGGATAAGTCAAATATATCTAATTCTCTTCATTGAATTCTTCCTGTACTTTAGGTTCAGAATTTATTCTAATAAATCTGCTTTGGAGTCCCTGGCGGTGAGTGAGCTCACAATTTTAGCTAATGGCCCCCTTTATCCCCATGTAGCATCATCTAATAATTTCTCCATCTTCACATCTCCCCACAGCTGATCCCCCTGCAAAATCCTCTAAAGACACTTCTACAGCTGACTGTGATGCCCGTGCTCAATGGTAATACTTCCAAACTTCATTCACTCATTTCACTTTCATTGAATGTGTAGGGATGAAATAATTCAAAAGACAAACTTAAAAGGCAAGGCTCAATATTGTCTAATCAGTGTTGCACTTATTGGCATATAATCTTACAAACTGAAATCTTCTGTTAGTAGTAGCTGTTGTTACGAGTATGTGTGGCCATTACGGTGTTCCATTTCTTTACTATAGAGAGGACTAAACGAGGTGTTAGAATTCCATTACCTGAAGGCCTAGATTTCATACGCGAGACCACATCGCACCATGCGGTAAGCAACTAACAAGCCCGGTGTCATGTATGCAGTTGTAAGGTTCGGTCAAGGCCTAACATTTTGGTACATTTCATGCACCCAGGGATTTGTTCTTATTGGCGGTGATCTGCACTTCTCCAAGAGCCTGCGTGAAGTTATTAATGAATATCGTCCAGCACCCACAGCCCCACCAAGCACAGGACCCAATGAATCCATCTGAGGACATCTAAGCTGCGGTCTTGCTAAATAGAAAAAGAAATATAGCCAGTCTCTCATCAAGGATTGGTAAAGATAAGTAGCTTTGTAGGGGGTTAGCCCTTAAATCCAACATATCCTTTTTATATGCCTTCTACACCCATTGACACGAGAAACCAAAATCATAATTTAAACCAGAGGAATCTGATCATCAATATCAGGGCTCATCCCTGTAGAGATTCTTTATATGATGTTTTACAAAAAAAAAAGCCCAAATTTTGTATGTATAGAATTAAACACTTCTCACTTTTATGGCTTCTTAACAGGCATTTCATAACCATTCATTGTAGAGCAATACCGCAAAGGATTCATCTGCTGAGCAATAACACAAACTTTATTTTTTAACATTCACATTGTAACAATTAATACTCGACTCAAGTAACAAGCGGAATACAGCAAAGCATTAAATCACTGTCATTCTTTAGACCTTATTTAAAACTTTTAGAACCTTTGTGGCAGGAGGCGAGGCTGGCAAGACTAGAATGGCTCATTCCGGATATAGTGGCTAAACATGACAAATGCTGCATTTGGTTTGTCTGTTGGGACCATGTGCCCGGCTCCCTGTAAATCAAGCAAAAATGTTAAAAGTGTGTGTGTTAGGATCCTGGAAAATGTACAGAATGTCAACAATTTGCATGCTGTAGAGCTAAAATAATGTACAAAGTGGATATGCTTGGGATGATAAAGGTGAAACTCAGCTTACAGAACAGAGGGAAAAATGTTTTCAAAGGAATAAGCTATTGCAATGATTAACGTGGCAAGGTGTTAAAGGATAGGACAGTGTACTGAATGTCAGTAGGTAGTCAGGTGGTTTTTAAATTCTTTATCAACTTGATATTAGCTTAGTAACTCGGTCTACATTCATAGTATTATGCAGAAATTATTTTGGTGTATATTATATTTCCCAGTGTTCTTAGGGTCTGTATAGCACCATGGGAGATAATTCTAAACCCGTGGTCTATAAATCTTTGATTGGATACAGAGTATTTATTTCATGAAACTATAGTTACAAACTCCACACCTGCTGCATTAGCCCATTACCACACTGCATCAAAATTGTGTACCCACTTCAACACCCCCACTGTGTTGTATAATTAACTCTAAATATAGTGCATTATAAATATAGTGCACAGAATAATTTGTCACAAATTATTCATTGGAAGTTCTACCTTTCAGTATTACAAAGATACATGGCTAACAATGAAATTGTGGAAAAATGACACCTAGGGGTTTTCAGGGTCCTAATTTGGTTTCCAGACGCTGTCCACCATCCCCTTCCCTCGTTGCACACCATTGAGGACTCAACAATATAGCATAGTTCTAAACCCAGAGGTTAAGGATCACTGATAAAATGTAACAAATTGTTGGCTGAGATATTCAAAAGTATTGGAATAAGAGAGAGAATTATGTATGCAGGGGAATTGGGAACTGCACAGGAGAAGGAAAAAAGACAGCGTGGTATTAACCGAATGCTAAGAAGTTAAAATAATGTTTGCCTTTTTGTCATCCGAATTATTTTAGGCACATTTATAACTATACTTGTTTACAGATCACCATGTTTAACACCTTCACTACCAACATGTATACATAAACTTGTTTTTGTTTTTGCCTTGCAATGCAGAGCGAATTTAATAAAGTCCATCTATTTTCCTGTCTGATATTGATCTGATTGTCACCTCCACTGGAAATTAAATCTCACCTGGCCTTATCCTCTAGAGATGGAGTTGTTTAGGCTCCTACACTTTTGTGCTGATGTTGTCCAGTGTGATACAGTTGGTTGGTCTTAGACAGACAACTGTATTTACGGTACAATGCCTACATACAGTCACCGTGGCTTTTTTCCACTCAACTCTGAATTATAGCAAACGGAAATCCAAATGGGAAAATGTAGCCTAAAATAGCTCATTATAGCTTATTTATTAGAGTCTTAAGATTCATATTGAAATTCCTAACAATTCAGGTTGTATAATGGAATTAAGTGATGTTGGATTTTGAACAGAAAGACATGTAAAAGAATTGACGGAAGCCAGTGAGAGATAGTTACTGTAGAACAGTGGAGGGTAACCGTCTGCACTAAATCTCCCATGATCCTTTGCCAGAGCATTATGGGAGTCCATAACATCTGAAGTGCAGAAAGAAATACATACTGCTTACATTCTTACCTTGACAGTAACGAAGGTCAAGTTAGAGAATTCTTTCACAAACCCAGCAATTTGCTTTTTCCCTTCCTCAGTATATAGCCACGGACGGTAATTTGCCTTAAACTAAACAACATTTAAATGTCACATACAAGACAAAATCAGGACATTGAAAAATGCATCCTCTGTTCCTTGAATGGTAATAATTTGGAAAAATAAAAACATAAAGGGACGCTATCAGCAAAAAACCCCCCCAAAAAACACTTTAGCTTCATGAAGCCGTTTTGGTGTATAGATCATGCACCTGCAGTCTCACAGTTCAATTCTCTGCTATTTAGGAGTTAAATCACTTTGTTTATACAGTCCGAGTCACACCTCCCTGGCACCATAACAACTTAATTTAGGTGACGTTGTTTTGGTGCCCTGAGTGCCACTTTGAGACTGTTCCTCTAATTCCTAAAAATAGCTCAACTGAAATGTTTAAATGGAAGTTATAGCAAAGGCAAGTGATGAAGGTGAATCACAAATCACTGGAAGTCAAGTAAAGAGATGGGCAAGTCGACTCTCACATTGCTTTTGAGACCCAAAGCCATCCGTCAGCATAATTCAAACCTCTTCAGTAATATAACTCACCCTAAAGTGTACTACAATGCAGTGGACATGTTGAGAATTTTATTTTCGGGTAAATGATTTATAAGTTTAAATGGCTAACTATTTCTGGAATGTCGATTTCATCGTTTGAAGTGTTGCGGGTCATGTCATCCACTGGCAGGGCCGCCATCAGGGGGTGACAACCATAACGGTTGTCAAGGGCCCTGCGGCCCTGGGGGGCCCGGCTGCAGTTCCACCGGGCCCACACGCTGATGGGGCCCACACGCTGATGGGGCCCATCGGGTGGCCCACGCACTTAGGGCCACCCGATGGGCCCCATATCTTCAGGGGCCCGGTCAGCGCTGTGGCCATGGTATAGCGCGACCGGGCCCCTTTAAAAAAAAATTAAAAATGCCACTCCGCGCGGGAGGAGCACGTGCCTGTCAATGAAGAGGAAGAGCCAGCTGACTCCCAGTCCCATCAGCCCCAGCCACCCTCCTGCAAAGACAAGGTAAGAGACAGGAGGGTGGCTGGAAAATGAGCTGTGTGTGTATGTGTATGTGAATGTATGTCTGTGTGTATGTATGTATGTCATTATGTATTTATGTCTGTATGTGTGTATGAATGTCATTATGAATGTGTGTATTTATGGATGTCAGTGTCTGTATGAATTTATGTATGCCAGTATGAATGTATGTCTGTATGTATGTATGCATGTCTGTATGTCTGTATGCATGTCATTATGTGTGTATGAATGTCTGTCTGTCTGTCTGTATGAATGTATATCTGTATGGATGTCAGTGTCTGTATGCATGTCTATATGCCTGTCATTATGTGTGTATGAATGTCAGTGTATGTATGTCTGCATGTCATTATGAATGTGTGTATGTCTGTCTGTATGAATGTATGTATGCCAGTATGAATGGCTGTCTGTATGTCATTATGAATGTGTCTGTATGTCCTTATGCATGTGTGTCTGTATGTATGTTAGTATGTGTCTGTCACTATGTACGCCTGTGTGTCTGTATATGTGTGTATGTCTGTATGTGTGTGTCAGTATGTATGCCTATATGCGTATCAGTATGTGTGTCTGTTAGTATGTATCAGTGTGTGTGTGTGTGTGTGTATCTGTGTCCTTTTGTATCAGTGAATGCGTTTGTGTCTGTTGTGTGTATTCCTGTGGGCGGGATTTGGAGGTGGTCTCTGTGGGCGGTTTTGGAGGCGGGCCCTGAGCTCCGTTAGGGGCCCCAAAATTTCTGGTGGAGGCCCTGTCCACTGGACTAGACTACAAGACTCAATAACGTAAACTAAGAAGTAGAAGTTGGAGCACTAAGGGATCTGGAGCAGCATGGATCTCAAAGTGGTTTTTGAGATCAAAGTGGTACTCCTTCTGTGTCACTTTGGTAGCAAAGCCTCATCCACACATTACACACAAAGGACATAATATTCTGAAGCAAGCAGATTTCTCCTAACTTCTCAGAAAAAAAATACTCTTTTAAGATTGATCAAATGTAAATGTGTGAATATGTAATAACACAATTAGACGGGTGAGAAAGTTTTAAAGTGCTCTGTACATGCACAAGAGATTTTGCAGCCCTCTAAAAGTGTGCAGAGTCTGCGTGGCAGAAATTGCATGACCCGTTTCAAAGCCGTGACCCTTAATCTCCCCAATCCTGATTCCAGCAGCTCTGTTGTTGGTAAATGTAACGGTATGCTTACCGTAATGTTAAGAGAGTCCAGAAACCACTCATTACCCAGGAAGTTACACGCCATATCGACATCCCCATTATACACCAGGATGCGGTATTCCTGAGGAAAACAAATCAGCACTGCTTAGGACGTCTTCAATCAAAAAAATAACCACAAGCATCGACATGGGAAGGGACTGCTAAATAGCTCAGGGGACGCACATACAAGCCAAAAACTCTGAGCAAAGTGCACGACCATGGGACTGGGCTCGAGGAGCGGGAGCTGGGGGACTGTGGTCGGGGCCCGGTGCCTTGGGGATTTTTCCTTTTTTTTTTTTTTCATTAGCAATGTAATCAGCAGGAAAATGGGGAATATATGTGCGGCAATTTGCTTGTTATGTCATTGCCAAATGTTAAATAAAGAATAAAAATTAAAAAAAAATAAAAAATAACCACATAAAGATCTGATAGAAAAGACATACAGACGAGTTCACACTAAACCTGAATCAGTAAATATAAGGACAAAGAGTTTGATTATAGTATTACTCCGTGATATAAATAGTGATTTGTGAATGGTACATAACTCAGATGTGCAATAAAGATACTCTTGCCCTAAATATATTTGACTGAACGAAATGGCGCCTTTTTTGACTCAAACCATTATTTCTTGTCCACACCACAAGTCTCCACTTTTTTTCTATTTCATAAAAAAGCACCATGCATGGGAGATGAATAATTAAACTCAGAACTGGGTCAAGTGGAGCCAAGAGGTGATGTGAAAGTGCTTCTAGTTTTCTGAAAGAAAATAAATGAATACGTTTGGAGGGAATTAGGGATTTCTTAAATTAGCACGAGAGCGTGGTTTCTACAGAGTTCACGTGGGCACAATGCATCCAGTAGATCACGATGCAAAGAAATATTGGTTATGTTATGCACAATGTCAGATATAACAAAGTGACCTGCTGGAAGAGTGGGAGACAGCAGAATAAATTGTTTAGTGGGCAAAAAAAAAACCAGGAAAAATAATATGGGATATACAGAATGGAAGAAACAGAAAAGGCAAATTAGGGTTTTTTTTGTTTTTTTTTAAAAAGGGAAGGCGCGAGAATAGCTGTGAGGGGGAACAAGCTTGAAGAATGAAAGGGGAACAGGTAAACAGTGAAATAACGGGAGACAAGAGACAGCTGAAGAGACAAACAAAAAGTGTACAGATTTGACAGGTGGTGAGATAAGGGTAATGGCCTGGGTCAACCAGAGTCTTGAAAACTACTGGAAGAAAAGAAGGAATAAATATATTGCGAGGAAGAAGTAGAAAAATAATCTGTGAGGATATACATATATAGTAGGGGTGCCCAAAAGGTAGATCCGAAAAAATGTTTTCGAACTACATCTGCCATGATGCTATGCTATTTTAAAGGCTGGCAAAGGATCATGGGAGTTGTAGTTTTTGCCCTTGGGCATTTGTGTTATATAAAAATAACTGTGTGTAGGACGTGGATGCAAGAGTATTCCTTTATAGGGTCCCTCACGTTCTTGTTCAACCATAATATAGACTTTTTGGACTATGCTAAGTTATTTTCCTTATCCTCCTGTCTTGCCTAACTATGGACTAACACACCTTCTTAAGTGCGACAAGTGTTCATTCAAGGAATAGAAACATAAATATATTTTTAATTTAAGTCCTGCCTCTAGTGGTAGCTTGAGATATAACCACCTTGCCAGCATAGCCTTACGTATTAAAAAATAATGACCACCTTCATCCCAGCTCAGAATGCTCAGACAGATTCATAATAATACAAGGAAAACTGCAGTTTATCATTTGACTTCTTACCTTTTTCAGAAGTTCCTTAAACTGGTTGTGTACACTTTCGACCTCTCTTTCATATTGGCTAAACACCGTCTCACTAATAGAATACAGATAGAAGAAATAGACAAGTAAACTATAGACTTAAAAATTACATAGAAAAAAAAGTGGTATTTGTGTGTGGCTTGGTTTATTTAAGCGTTAAGTATATGCCTACCCCCAAACATAGGGAATTCAATATCGGGACAGGAGAGTGGGCTTATACGGGGTGAACTAGGTTCTGTGGCTCCTGTCAAACCCCTGGGCCCTAAGTGACAGAATAAGGTGCCTTATGGTTAATCTTCCTCTGGAGAGCCTGATAGGTGTCCACTTCTCCTCACGAAAAAATATTTAAAAAAAAAGTAAAAAAAAAGTGTAAATGTCCAATTTGTAAAAGAGAAACTCTCAATACACGACATAAGACTGTGTAAATGTTTGCATAGTGTGGCTGATAATTTCGCTATTAAGCAATGTAAGGAATATATTTGGAAAAGGTGAATCCTCACCTGCAAATCCCCCATTCTTGCACTTCATCTGGGATATGCAACACAGCGCGCACCTCAACCTTATTCAGGAACGTCATGATAGCCGTGTTGTTTATACACGGAACGCCCATTTTCACTGGCTTTTGTGAACGAGTCACATTAGCTAGTTTCTAAGGATTAAAAAATAAAAAGTGCATGAAAAAAACAAACAAAAAAAAAACAGGACACCAAAACGTCAGCTGCCATGTTTTCCTTTCACTAAATGGGAGCAGCGATAGTACACAAAAGGAAATCCCTTTTCACCACATATAGCAGCGAAGAAAGCATAAAATTTTTTTTTCCATATGATAAAAAGCTCAAACCTATTAATACATGCAGAACATTTCTTATTCTAAAAAAAATAAATACAAAAATAATAAAAAATAAATACTGTTCTATAACTTGTTAAATTATTCAGAGTAGGGAAATTTGATATATTATTCTGCAATTTATATGAATTCTGTTGATATCACAGCAATTATGGGAAGTTCCATGTAAATCTTGGATTTCATTACTGAACATACATACACACAAATTAAGCAAATAGTACAAATGGCCTAGCTGTAGTGGAACAGGTATGTAGCAACCCAACCCGGCCAGGTGTCTCTCTTCTTTGCCTGATAAATGTAGACTTGAGCGGAGTTGGGAGTGGCGCCTTAGATGTATGCTTTTGAAATGAAAAAAATTGGAAAAACATAAAACTGATAGTGTAGTATTTTCTCCTATGTGGGAGGAAATGAATGAAGAAATGCCCTTACACTTACAGGAGCTAAAGGCTAACTCCAACAGCTACACTTGAGCAATACAATCCCCGCTTATGGATAAAGATGTACTATTTACTTCATATGAGATACTTCATAGAATATGCAATAAATTAGAAAAATGAACCAATATGTGCAGTATATCTTAAAATGGATTTGTACTTTCATGTATGTGAGCCTAAGAGTGGCTCCTGAAAGTGAGTGTGGAGTGGTACAAGTCCCACTCTAGCATATATTACCTTATGCTCTCCTCAACGTGGATATGGAAGATAAAACAAACATATATAGTGTATAATTGGATAATATATAAGTACAAATCTATAAAAACCTTTAAAGATAAAGAGCAAACTAAGTTTTTCAGACCACAAGGCATAGGTGGTATCTTCCCCAAAAAGCGAATATCCAGGAAGTAGTTGATTGTAAAAGAAGGTAAATGAGAAAAAAGTTGACAAAAATAGATGTTTATTGTAATCTACTAAAAACAAAAAGTGTCCTGGTTACCTTCTCTTTATATGGCAGAGTAAAATTTAAAATTCACGGTAACGTGACATCACCGGGGTTGTACCGCTCAAGAGCAACTGTTAGAGCCAGCCTTTCGCTCATGAAACGATTAGTGGATTTCTACATTAATTTCCCCTTACATAAGTGAAAACTCTACACTATCAGTTTTCTTCTTGTCCAATATGTGTCATTTCATAAGCATATATCTAAGGACATACAAGGCCCTACTCCCACCTTCTCCTCAACTCTAACTAAGCACATGTGTCTGGCAGCTTATTAAACACAACCATAGCTGTTCACTAAATTGAGAATTGTCAGGAATTTATAGTGAATTCAAAGTTAATTTGAAAGTTAAGGTTAAAGTAACTAAACTGGAGGCACAGCTGACTAGCAGATTTTTTCTAGTTTGGCTATTTTGAAGATTAAATTCGTTTTCCTGGCACTACAGCTTCCCCCTCTGTCAAACACCCTCCCCCACCCCACCCCCCATTCTTACCCTCTTCCCTATGATGCAGAATGGGTTGAAAATCCCCTTCTGTCGCTTACCTGAGTCCAGCATAGATGTCTCTCGGTGCTGACTTGGGTCCACCTCCACTCAGGGACGTATTAGCCGCGAGGCAAACAAGGCATTTGCCTTGGGCGGCATTTTTCAGGGGTGGCAAAAAACGCTGCCCCCAAATGCCCAGGGCAAATGCCTAGTTAGCCTCACGGCTAACAGACATGCTGGGCGCTGGGTGGGCGGGCGGCTGGCGAGGGAGCACTTCCTCTGAGCGGTCTGCTCAGCTCCCTCGCGCGCCGCAGAGTGAGGCTGGGAGCCGGGTTGATGATGTCATATTCCGGCTCCCAGCCTCACTCTGCGGCGCGCGAGGGAGCTGAACAGACTGCTCAGAGGAAGTGCTCCATCGCGAGCCGCCCATCTAGTAGTCAGCCCGACCGGCAGCCACTGGACCACCAGGGAGAAAGAGGAACACCTCCCCCCAGCACTCCCAAAGGTAAGGAGGCGGGGGGGCTAAATTAAAAATGTGGAGTGATGTGTGTGTGTGTGTGTGTTTGTGTCTGACTGTGTGTGTGTGTGTGTGTGTGTGCGTCTGACTGTGTGTGTGTGTGTGTTTGTGTGACTGTGCGTGTCTGACTGTGTGTGTGTGTCTGACTGTGTGTATGTGTGTCTGACTGCGTGTGTGCTTGTGTGTGTGTCTGGCTGTGCTTGTGTCTGACCGTGTGTGTGTGTGTGTGTGTGTGTGTGTGTGTGACTGTGTGTGTGTGTTTGTGTGTGACTGTGTGCCTGACTGTGTGTGTTTGTGTCTGACTGTGTGTGACTGTGTGTGTTTTGTGTCTGACTGTGTGTGTGTGACTGTGTGTCTGACTGTGTGTGTGTGTGTGTGTCTGACTGTGCGTGTGTGTGTGGGTCTGACTGTGTGTGTGTTTGTGTGTGACCGTGTGTCTGACTGTGTGTGTGTGTGTCTGACTGTGCGTGTCTGACTGTGTGTGTGTTTGTGTCGTGTAGGTGTCTGACTGTGCTTGTGTCTGACCGTGTGTGTGTGCGTCTGACTGTGTGTTTGTGCGTGACTGTGTGTGTGTGTTTATGTCTGACTGTGTGTGTGTGTCTGACTGTGTGTGTGTGTGTGTGTTTGTCTGACTGTGTGTGTGTGTGTTTGTGTCTGACTGTGTGTGTGTGTCTGACTGTGTGTGTGTTTGTGTCTATGTGTGTGTCTGACTGTGTTTGTGTCTGACTGTGTGTGTGTTTGTGTGTGACTGTGTGTCTGACTGTGTGTGTGTGTGTGTCTGACTGTGTGCCTAGGGCAGCACAAAACCAGGATACACCACTGCCTCCACTCCTCCTCCATCAACATCAGCTGGCGGGGGAGACCTAATGCGCCTGCGGCAATGGCCGCGCTTACATTAGGATTTCCCCATAGGAAAGCATTATTCAGTGCTTTCCTAGAGGGATTCTGGTGACGCTGGAAGTCCTTATGCATAGCGTGAGGACATCCAGCATCATTTAGGTGACCAAAAGTCTGGTAGACAGCAACTAGAGGAGGAGTTAACTCTAGCAGGAAATCATTGCAGTTTATTAAAAACTGCTATAATTACATGCTCAGGGTTAAGGGTGATGGGGCACTGCACCCAGACCATTTCAATGAGCTAAAGTGGTCTGGGTGCCTACAGTGTCCCTTTAAATTTGAAATACACTATAAATTCACTTTGTATTTCCCTGCTGCTTCTCTAGTTTTAAATCCAGTTCCTGCACTTGTGATAGACCCAACTCTAAAAATGTAATGCACAAAGCACTCACCAAAAGACTAAACACACACGTTGGTGGGAAACGTGAAAAATGGTACAGTTCCTAGCTGCCTGTCAGTCTGCCTTTAAAATTGCTGAAAATACTACAGCACTATTTTGAAAACTCATATTTTGTTTTTTTGTTGTAAACCCTATTAGTCATGCACTTTAAGAGATCAAATGATCACGTTAATGTACAGGACACCAAGAAACAAAGCCACGTACTGAAAGTAAAATTTGTTTTATTTTACTACACCCGTTTTTGTGTTTTTCACAGTATAACTTTTTCTCACAAGTATTTATCTTATGCAGTGGGACAATTACTTCTTTGAAGTGGGATCCAAGTGTTGGAGAGAAAAAACCAGGATGATATACAGTGACGTGATCTCCGTTGTCCCTATAAAAATGAGACAAACATCGGGTAGACAGTAATACTGATGACTGTGTAATTTAAAGTGGAACTGTCACTTTGCAGGTTTTATAATATTCTAATTATGTGTCTTCTATAGTTAGCAAGTATGTGTTTGTGAGGCCTGAAAAGTAAAATTAAAGTTAGATATCCATATTTCTATAATGTAACTGGAAACTGGGTGCCTACATCTTGCTCCCCTGTCAATCATCTTTGCATTCATCACTCTCTGGCAGGCCTTTCTCAACCTTTCCCTATGCCGCCAAGCTTGTCAAGGTGTACCTGATTAGCACTGCTTGTCCTTTAAAAGCCACCCATGCCACGTAATCTCAATGAAGCATTGCGCCTGCCATTTTAAACCTGTAATCTAAAACATTGCTGTAAGAACTGCAATATTTTCTTTGCAGGTTTACACACACCTATAGAGGCTATCTTCCTTGCAGCCACTAGAGGCTCTTCCACTGTGAGAACTGAGTCAGACTCATAAAGAACATGAGACTGCACAGTGCGCTGCTTTGTCGTGCATACACACTTGCCAATTTTGATTATGTCAGCCAAGGAGGCAGTGTGGCAGTGCTGAGACAGTTAATTTAAGAGCTGAAAGGTAAGTAGTTAATTTTACATTGCACACGGGAAGGTGGTCACCAGAATAGTTACTAGGACACTATAGCACTAGGAATACAAACACATATTCCAAACGCTATAGTGTTCCTTTAACTTTTACTGGATTAGTACCACTTGTTGTCATCCCACCATCCACACTTCCTAAAACTAGTCTACACCTCTTAGGGAATTTGAAATGTTTTAGGAATGCTCTTTGAAAAATTATCCTTAATAGAATTTCAATTTCTTATTTTTATTAATGTTTCTGAAACTGATATTAATACCTCCGAATTGTGGCCTCCACTAAACTGGGATGGTAGGGGGATGTGTCTGCGGCATTCGGGTACATTACTCACTTTAAATTTGTGTTAACATGCCTATCAAGGTTACACAGGCAAGTTTCCAGAGCACCACGAGAGCATTTGCTCGTACTGAGGACGTTCTTCCAACTGCCCTGCACTTATGGAATAACCTGGCACAGCAAGACAGATGTCCCAAATCAGGACTGACCCGCTAAAATCGTGACTCTTGGAATGTCTGTGTAGCAATTATGAATATAACAATCCCAGTAGCACTGAGATGTACCTGATTTGGCCGGGGGCTCCGTCTGCACATGGTTGATATAGGTTATATATATTCATTCCGCCACCCATGGTTGTATAATATGCTTTTCGAGCCTGAAATGAGAGTTCACGGAGTTAGATTGAGAGGCGATAGGTTCTCCATACACTCTTCACCACAAATACAGGTATACGCACCAAAAGCAGACACACCAGGCGTTTCTTATCAGTGAAGGAGCATTTTCCATCTTCGCAACAATGTAATTGAAGCAATGACCAAAGCCTATAAACGCATCAGTAACAGGTTAATTATTTCCAAGGTCAGACTTCCTGCTATATTAACAATATGCTGAGAACAATTAGCTACCCCAAGCACCAAAACTACTTTATTGATTTGAAGTGGTCATGGTGCCTAGAGTGTATGTTCAGCATTTTGCTGTGAAACACTGGACATACAGAGTTTAACCCCTCCGCTGCCATAGGTGTGACTCCACCTCCGGAAGCATCATTAGGGCGTCGTTAGCCAGCCAGACCAATAGTTTGACTAAGTTGACTAATGTAAATTCTGTGCCAATTTGTCATCCGTCGTCAGCACGAACATAATGCTGGCAACAGACAGCAAATGGCAGCACGGCCCCATACGTGCTGCCAATTCCCTCCCCTCATTCCGCCCTCACCCTACATCTCTCCCCCTCCAGTCAGTGGGAGTGACGTCATTAGAGGAGGATTGGGCTCCTGTGGAAATTCGGAGACAACACTGTAAAGGAAGGTGAGTTTTAGCATTTTTTTTTTTTGTGTGTATGTGGGGGTTCCAGGATAGGAAGGGTTACTCAAACTAAAAACAGTGTTTTCTTAAAACATTGTTTTTTTGCTTGGAGTAACCCTTTACCGAGACATATATGCATATAATGGGATGCATTTGGACATTGATGAAAATGAATACATATCTACATATACACTATATACTCAAAGGTATATGGAAATGGTCCACCAGGCTCAGAGTCTAAGCTGCAGACTTCATGCTGGACCTCAGGGCCTAGGTGAAGTCTGGAGCACAATGAGGGAGGACAATGGTGAGAAGATGGTAACAACTTGTTGGTAGGGTCATTGGAACCTACACTTGTACTGGTTGTACCCCCTGATGACTACCCTGAACACAAGAAAAACAGGTCAATAAAATCAGAACCATTAAGTTGGGAAGTAACATCTAAACTACAGGACATAGATGAAAACTGGCAACGAGTCATATAAATACTTTTATATTATCATTATAAGTATTGACAATATAGAAACATAGAATGTGACAGCAGAAAATCACCACTAGTCTGCCCAATTTTCTAAATACTTTCATTAGTCCGTGGCCTTATTTTAAGTCTAGGATAGTCTTATGCCTATCCCACGCATTCTTAAACTCCTTTACTGTGTTAACCTCTACCACTTCAGATGGGAGGCTATTCCATGCATCCACTACCCTCTCTGTAAAGTAATACTCCCTGATATTATTAATTTAAGACTATGTCCTCTTGTTGTGGTAGTTTTTCTTCTTTTAAATATAGTCTCTCCCTTTACTGTGTTGATTCCCTTTATGTATTTAAATGTTTCTATCATATCCCCCCTGTCTCGTCTTTCCTCCAAGCTATACATGTTAAGATCCTTTAACCTTTCCTTGTAAGTTTTACCCTGTAATCCATGAACCAGTTTAATAGCCCTCCTCTGAACTTTCTCCAAAGTATCAATATCCTTCTGAAGATACGGTCTCCAGTACTGTGTACAATACTCCAAGTAAGGTCTCACCAGTGTTCTGTACAATGGCATGAGCACTTCCCTCTTTCTACTGCTAATACCTCTCCCTATACAACCAAGCATTCTGCTAGCATTTCCTGCTGCTCTATTACATTGTCTGCCTACCTTTAAGTCATCAGAAATAATCACCGCTAAATCCCTTTCCTCAGATGTTGCGGTTAGGACTCTATCAAATATTCTATTCTTTCCCCTTGGTTTTTTACATCCAAGATGCATTATCTTGCACTTATCCACATTAAATGTCAGTTGCCACAACTCTGACCATTTTTCTAGTTTACCTAAATAATTTGACATTTGGCTTATCCCTACTGGAACATCAACCCTGTTACATTTCTTAGTATCATCAGCAAAAAGACAAACCTTACCATCAAGACCTTCTGCAATATCACTAATAAAAATATTTAAGAGAATGGGTCCAAGTACAGAGGTACCCCACTGGTGACAAGTCCAAGCTTCAAATATATTCCATTAAAGTACCACTATAGTGCCAGGAAAACATACTTGTTTTCCTGGCACTATAGTGCCCTGAGGGTGCCCCCACCCTCAAGGTCCCCCTCCCGCCCGGCTCTGGAAAGGGGAAAGGGGTTAAAACTTACCTTTTTCCAGCACTGGGCAGGGAGCTCTCCTCCTCCGATCCTCCTTCTCTCCTCCCCGTCGGCTGAATGCGCATTCATAATGCTTTCCTATGGACTCTGGCGTGCTCTCACTGTGAAAATCACAGTGAGAAGCACGCAAGCGCCTCTAGCGGCTGTCAATGAGACAGCCACTAGAGGAAATAGGGGAAGGCTTAACCCATTCATAAACATAGCAGTTTCTCTGAAACTGCTATGTTTATGAAAAAATGGGTTACCCCTAGCTGGACCTGGCACCCAGACCACTTCATTAAGCTGAAGTGGTCTGGGTGCCTAGAGTGGTCCTTTAACTACAACCCTCTGTTGCCTGTCACTCAGCCACTTCCTTACCCATTCAACAATATTGGAATCCAAACTTAAAGATTGCAGTTTACTGATAAGCCTTCTATGTGCAACAGTGTCAAAAGCCTTACTGAAATCTAGGTAAGCAATGTCTACTGCACCACCCTGATCTATTATTTTAGTTACCCAATCAAAAAAATCAATAAGATGAGTTTGGCATGATCTCCCTGAAGTAAACCCATGTTGTCTCTGATCTTGAAATCCATGTGTTTTTAGATGTTCATCCTTTAACATGGTTTCTATTACTCCCCCACTACTGAAGTAAGGCTTACTGGCCTATAAAAAGATAAAAGAGCATATTGTATACCTAATAGAATATAGTTATTTGTTTTCACGAGAGGAAATATATAGACTCACTGTGAATCAATAATCCCATGGTAGTAAGAGAAATACAGGAGGGAGTTAGCATCTATCTCAGTGCTTAAGAGTCCATTTCCCACAGCAATACCCTAGAAAAAGAAATGGCACAGAAATTACATTTAATTAACACTAGAGTCTCAACGTACCAACAATGAAATGAACACTGCACGCACGATAAGAACTGTATCTCGATGTACTAGTTATGGTGCCAAGAGTGCCTCAGCCAATGAGTATCGCCTTGCACAGCCAGGCTTTGGCTACTGTTTGACTACTTACTCCAGCAGGGCGCCATGGCACTCACGACACCATAACCACTACAAGGGCTGTAGTAATTATGGCGCACAGAGCTTTCCTTTTATGGTACCAGACAAGCTCAAATAGACCAATGAAGCAGCATCTTCATTTTTACATTAAAGAGACACCTAAACAACTTTAGCTTAATATGACTGGCAATATCTTTCTGGCCTTAGCAAATGCTACCCATTATTGCACATTGGTGCCTAGTCTATATATATCCCAAAGTCCATCTCATTTATAGTTTTTTTTGACCGTTTAGGTTTAGGGTATAAGTTGCCTGTGAATTCCTCATCCCAAAATTCATAACTCTATATTAGATCTCATCGTCCACTTGACTACCCAGTCCCCTAATATATGCAAATTCCACAGCAGCACAGTAATAACCGATTCACAAGGAATTACCTTATGTCACTGCCTGTTATCTGCAAACGTACATAGCATTTTCAATGCCTACTATAAGATCATTAATAAACATCTTGAAGAGAAGTGGATCAGAACAGACAACTGACGGACTCTACTTACCACATTTGTCCCACGTGAACATTTTTTTATTTTGTATGCAAAATAATAGCAGACAATGAACCGGTTTGCAAAAGAAATAGGTGCATGCATGCACGGTTGCCTACGCAGAGGCATGGCACGTCAAACAAGGGTAATGCAGATAACATCTTTCACATCAAAAAACATAGGTAATAATGGGCAATTCGTAACATCCTAATATCCAGACTGCGTACCTTGGTGGCCAGAGGTTGGGCTAAGTCTTATCAGAATGATGTGTACTATTGCCTACGCAGAGGCATGATGTGTGTACATGGCAATTAGATCATTTCTCGTTTAGGTGGTGCTGGGCGGTTTGCCTCCTCTTAACACCAAGTCTGTGTGTGGTGTCAGCGAGACGTTGGATTGAGGCTTATCAGGAGAGCATATCATAGAGCAATATTGGCAATCAATAATCAGTGGGCCAGGTTGGCAGCAATTATAGTCTGGGTCTAACACAGTGTATAATATAGGATATACAGTGTATACCTGAGTTGGTAGTTGGTAGTAGGTTGTATCTTGTGGGGGGTGTTGGGGTTGGGTGGTCCCTATCATTTTAGCGGCCTGTAGGTTGCCGCTGGGTTGGTTGCTCATTGGCAGGCGGAGATTCAGGAAAGGAAAGGTAAGTAATAGTTGTAGGAGTGGTGATCAGAGGGGGGGAGGAGTACCTGCAGGGCCAGCCTTAGGGGTGTACGAGCAGGGGGCGCCCTGACAGCCGACACAGCTCACACATGGCCGGACGGGTTAAAAAAAAAAATTGCGGCGGGGCGGCGCTTCCCTGCAAAGGGGGTGGAGCTAAAATCACCGGATAACTGCTGCAGGGAAAGCAGGAAAGAGTCCCTGCTTCCCCCCAACAACCAGAATCCAGGAGCTGCACTGTCCGGCTGCCTCCACAAGAAACAGAGGTAACTTTGTGTGATTGTCTGCCTGTGTGTGTGTGTGACTGTCTGTGTGTTTGACTGTCTGCCTGTGTGTGTGTGATTGTCTGCCTGTGTGGTGTGACTGTCTGCCCTTTTGTGTATGTGTGTGTGGGTGTGTGACTGTCTGTGTGTTTGACTGTCTGCCTGTGTGTGTGACTGTCTGTGTTTGACTGTCTGCCTGTGTGTATGATTGTCTGCCTGTGTGTGACTGTGTGTATGACTGTCTGCCTGTGTGTGAGACTATCTGCCTGTGTGTGTGTGTGTGTGGCTGTCTGCCTGTGTGTGTGTGTGTGACTGCCTATGTGTGACTGTCTGGGCAGACTAGATGGGCCGAATGGTTCTTATCTGCCATCACATTCTATGTTTCTATGTCTGCCTGTGTGTGTGTGTGTGTTTGTGTGTGTGTTTCTCTGGGGTTTTATACCAGTGGGATATTAGTTTGTATCCGGATTCCTGGTATTACGTGCTGATTGACGATTTGTGTGTCAGTGTGATGTCCACTGTTCTGGTGTCAGAGGATGACATAGGTCTCATTCTCAGTGTTCAGTGAAATAAGGGAAGGACTGGTTGGTTGGCAGTGTCTGCAGTAGCCGGTAGAGCAGTGAGATGGCGTGTGGCGGCGGTAGGGGTTGGGTACATAGTGTTTCAAATGTGGTGAGCTGTCTGTCGGCCGAGGTTATGTTGGGTACTTGCTTGAGTCTGAGGGTTATTTGGTGATGTCTAAATCTCGTCATTAAATCTGGAGGTTCCGGCGTGGGTAGGTCAGGGAGCAGTGTGATGGTTCCATTTGTAAGCCGGTGTTGTAGCTTACATTGCGGCGGCAGTCCCAGGCTGGCCATGGTCCGAGCTGTGTCAAGGCCGCGGAACGCCGGGTTACCCATGATGGGATAGAGGGGGGAGATAGGTGGGGAGGGTTCCGCCCCACCGATATTTTGCTCCAGATGCAGAGGGTGGTGGTTATTATGGGGTAGCTTCATTCTCCCCTGGTCACTGGAGTTGAGGGCTGCCACGGGAGTGTTCGCAGAGGGAGCGTCGTGAAGCTGGCTTCTATGTTTATCTAGAGTTTGTCCGAGGGTGATGTTGCCCATTCGATCACCTGTTGCAGGTGGATGGCCCAGTAGTATGTGGTCAGGTCCGGGAGTTCAAGGCCGCCCCGTGGCTTGGGCTTGATCAGGATCTCGTATTTAATTGTGGCCGTCCGGTTGTTCCATATATATGTTGTGAAGGTTCTGCGCGCCTGAGCGAAGAATGTCTGGGGGATTGGTACTGGCAGTGTCTAAAGGAGATACAGGAATCTTGGGAGCACATTCATTTTGAGGACATTCACCCGTCCCAGCCAGGTGATATGAGGAACCGTCCACGTTTTGATGTTTGCGACCACCCTTTCCAGTAGAGGTGGGAAGTTGAGTCGGAAAAGGTGTGAAATGTCTGAAGTTATCCAGACTCCTAGGTATTTAATTGCTTCCGTGCGCCAGCAGAACGGGAAACGCGTTTTAAGTGAGGCGATCAGTGTGCGGTCACACCCGATGTGGAGGATTTCCGATTTCATATAGTTAATTTGGAGATTTGTTAAAGTGTTGTACTGTTCGAATTCCTGCATGATGGCCGGGAGTGACGTTAGTGGGTTCTGCACTGTAAATAGCAGGTCATCTGCATATGCTGATATTTTGCTTTCCCCCCACCCGCCTCTTATGCCTTTAATGTTGGGACGTTCCCTTACGGCATTGAGAAATGGTTCCAAGCTCAATACGAACAGCAGGGGTGTTCAATACGAACACCTGCCGGGTGCCGTTCCTGATCGTGAACGGGTTGGATAGTGTGCTATTTACATAGACCCGTGTGGCTGGGTTGCTGTACAAGGCTCCGATCCATGCCCGCATATTTGGGCCCATTCCCACTTGTTTCAGTGTGTCAAACAGGAAAGGCCAATCTAATCTGTCGAAAGCTTTCCATGTGTCCGTGGATATCAATAGCGAGGGAGCCAGGGTCTTTCAGGCTGCGTGTATCAGGTTGATCACTTTGGTGGTGTTATCTCCTGCTTCCCTATTCCTAATAAATCCCACCTGATCAGGGTGTATCAATTGTGGTGGGGACGGTTGTAAGCGGAGCGCTAGAATCTTTGCAAGTGGCTTTAGATCCGCATTCAACAGGGAGATCGGCCTGTAGCTGGGGCATGCGGTTGGTTCTTTCCTTTCCTTTGGTAATACGACAATGTGCGCTAGTAGTGTGTTCTGGTCCAGGGTGCCTCCATCTACCACGTCAACATTTTAAACCAATTTCTTTTCATTTGCATATTAACATGCTAGGTGGAATTGTACAAATGACTTATACCTACCATAACACCCTGATCTATGTTTCTATGAATGTCTTCACAGAATGTAATTAAAGGGACATACTAAGCATTAAAACCACTCCATCTTAATGTAATGTAGATGCTGTTCCTTTACTCAGACAATCAAACTGACAGCCACTGCCACTATGGACACTTCATTCTTAAGATCTTCAATTTTCTATGGTCTTCGCATCTGGTGTGATCACTGGTGTGAGAATGCCAAACTCAATGAGATGCATTGCATAGAATCACATCAGCATTTGCCACGTATGTGCTGTAGGTCTGCAATATTGCTCTAATAGAAGCATTGGATTGGACCATCAATCCATAAATCCTGATCACACAGCGTAAGGAATAGCTGTGTTCCAGAACTAAAATAAAGGAATTTTTACATTTTACTCCAATGACTAATTCAGTGATTTGAAGTTGTCATGGTGCCTGGTTTCTGTATGTGCAGCAATTCTGATGCCAGAGGTGAAACTGCAACTCCAGCAGGATCACTAAGGTGTCTTCATCCAGTCTGGAATTAGAGTCCATCCTACCTAATGTTAGTTCTGTGCAACCTTCACCAGACCTACAGTGAGCATCAGAGACCAGTAGGGACCCAAGAAAGGGGGCAAACCGTTTGGGAACCAGGCCAGGGTGCGCCTGGCTTCATAACCACTACATCGGACTGTAGTGATTCTGATGATTGCATTAATCCTTTAACCCCTTAAGGACCAAACTTCTGGAATAAAAGGGAATCATGACATGTCACACATGTCATGTGTCCTTAAGGGGTTAAGGGCTTTTTATTTTTATTTTTTATTTACATTATTCGTTTTAACAATAAAAAAAGGAAAAACTAATGTTACCAATCCTTTGGTAACATTCCTGAAAGAAAAGAATCCCGGAAAATGAAAAACATTGGTTTGGGTATTTCTATACTAAGCTCCATAAGTACCTGTGGGTGAATACCATCTAGCCATTAGGCTTTACTTACATGAACTTTGAACAGGTTTGGATGAATTTTACATTGTTAACACGGACATGTTCCACATTATTAATTAAATCTAGGTCATGGTGGTCTGTGTGCTCCAGAAAGACCCTTGGTTTTAGGAAAAGCATTAAAGCAAATTGTGATTAAGTTGTTAAGAGGGCCTCTTTAAGTGGTTATTATGCAACTCCTTCCTAACATAACCACTATAGAATGAAATACAGTCCGAAAAATTATATCTATTATTGATTCCAATATATATGTTAGAAATTTTCCCTTACCTTTAGGTTTATACTGGGATCCCGGGAAACTCTTACAGCTAGAGTTGGAACATATACACCCCCATAACTTTCCCCAGTGATATAGAAATCATTTTCTTGGAACTCCGGGAACAGACGGAAAAAGTCTTTCAATGCTTGATAATTATTTTCAGCAACCTATGAGAAAGAGTTAAAGTCTAGAAAATTAAAAACAAATAGCAATGATGATAAATCATCATGACAAAGAAAATGAAAGAAAGCAGCATTGAAGTACAGATTCAAAATATTTCCAGAAAATGCATTTTAATATCTGTGTTAAATTTATAGTTTTGAATATGTTCTTTGGTGTCCCCAAGACATGTAGGAATTATTACCTAAACCAGGAATTATTGGCATCACATGTTGTACTTTTAGGCCAAAACAGCTGATTTGGGAAATCATTTTTGGCCTAAATTTAGCAATTTCCTGGTCAATTCTCAGTTCCAGTAAATTAAAAGGATTCTCAGCACTAAAGACCCCTATATCTTAAGATAGTGGTTTTGGTGCATATATGTGCATCTTTTCCTCTGAGAAATGTAAATGATTTCTTAAAGGGCAACTGTGAACTCCCAGGTTTTTTTTAATATAATTTTTACGTATCGCTATATTTAACAAATATATATTTGTGAAATCTAAAAAATTAAATTAAATGTAGAAATTCACACCACTCTAGTCTGTAAATGAGTGCTTCCGTTGTAGCTCTCTGTCAATCATTGTTATAATCTCTGCTTTTTTGTGTTTTGTAGACAGGATAAAGAAAACTGAGAGAAATGAAAACACTCTTTGGGTTTTTGTTAGTTTGTTTGTTTTTTTCCGCCTGGTTCTTTGGCACCAAAGCAATAATATGGCACTTTTAAATTAGCGATAGATGAGCAGGGAGCCACAGTTCCCTCTGGGGTGTTCAGTTTGAAAGATGTGGGGACATAACCACAGCCTTTTATCAATATACTGACATTAGAAATGCACAATGCATCTACGAACAAATTGGGGAGCACGGAAGAGAGGTAAAAGAATACAGATGATATAAAAGGTAAAAAAAAATTTGAAGTGTGTGGAAAAGTGTAAATGTAAAGGGATACTATAGACACCCAGGCTACATAACCTCAATGGACTGGTTGTTTTATACCTGCAACTGAAAACTTTGCTGTTCTGTAGGAGTGGCAATATTTATATTGCAGAGTTAGGATGCCTCTAGTGGCTGTCACACTGACAGATAATAGAGGCACTTCCATGAATGGAGCAGAGTAAAACTTTGCTATTTCAGTCAGATGGTCATAGAACATTTGCCGCATATCCACAGTAGTCTTCCAATGGAAATGATGATAACCTCAGCCAAGGCACTGGAGCTTTGGCTCTGTGACCAGAGCTCTACAGGAGGTAAGGTAAGTAAACTGAGCATTTAAATTCTCACAGCCGTGGGGTGGAGGGCACATATAGGTAGAGCAGGGGTTCCCAATAAATTTAATAATTCTCGCTGATCCCTTTAACATAGTGTATAAACATCGTGGAACCCCCCACATTCCCCCCCCCCCACCCCCCCGGGGGAAAATGTTTTTGCGCCGTTTTTTGTGTGTGTATCAGTGTGTGAAGGTGTGTGTATCTGTGTATGTGCGTGTGTATGTATCTGACACACCGATATACACACAAACTGGCACATAGTGTCACACAGATACACACACTGATACAAAGATACATGCACCTTGACACACAGTGTGTATATGTGTGTGTTGTGTGTATGTATGTATCTGTGTGTCAAAGTGTGTATCTGTGTATGTATGTATCTGTGTATCAAGGTGTGTGTATCTGTGTTTGTATGTGCCAGTGTGTATGAATCCGACACACTGACACACACACACTGGCACATGGTGGAATACAGACACACACACCTTGTCACACAGTGTCTGTGTGTCAAGGTGTTTGTATCTATGTGTAAAAGTGTGTGTATCAGTGTTTGTATGTGCTGGTGTGTGTCCAGGTGTGTGTATCTGTGTTTGTATGTGCCTGGGTGTGTGTCTCTGTGTCAGTGTGTATCTGTGTGTGTGTGTGTGTGTGTATATATGTATCTGACACACAGATACACACACACACTGGCACATAGTGGCACACAGATACACAATGACACACCTTGACACACGGATACACACACTTAGATAGACACAGTGACATATACACACACTGGCACATACATACACTCAGATACACACATTGACACATACACACAGTGTCATATACACACACTGACACACTCAGATACACACACATAGGCACATACAAATACACTGGAACACACACACATACTGACATACACACACACTCAGATACACACAGTGACACACACACAAACCTTGACACACAGATACATACACTGATACACTCAGACACACATTCTCTTTGACAGACACACATACACTCTCACTGACAAACACACATACTCTTTGACAGTCACACATACACTGTCACTGACAAACACACATACTCTTTTACAAACACACATACAAACACATATACACTCTCACTTACAAACACACATGTACTCTTTGACAGACACATACAAACTCCCTAACAGACACACATAAAATTATTTTTATTTTTACATTTTTCTTCACCCAGCATCCCTACCTTTGGGAGTGCTGGCATGCAGTCTCTATGTCCCTGTGGTCCAGTGGGGCTGCTGGGCTGAGCGTGTGGTCCCTGGGAACCAGTGGGGCTGGTGAGTGGCGAGTAAATTTACACTTTTAAACCCACCCACAAGTTTCCTACCTTGGAAGGTGGTTCCCCAGTGTCCAGACTGAAGGATTAGGCTGTTGGGATCTGCCTCTCCCGGCCCAGGCTCCTTCCTTCATCTCCCTTGCGGCTTCTCTCCTTAGTGGGAGGAAGTGACTCACAGCCGTCACTTCCTCCCAGTGCTGCCGAAAAGCAAAGGGCTCAGTCGGGCTGTTAAAGGGCTACAGCGTGTGACCGGGCCCCTGCTTACAAATACCCACCCGGTGGCCTCCATAATGTGCGGGCCGGCGACCCCATGGGGGAAAGAATTGTCGAGGGCAGCAGGGCCCACGGAGAAGATGCCTTGGGCCCCCCGAGAGTAACTGGGCGCAGGGCAGCTGCCCCGTTTGCCCTGGCAGCGAGAGAGCAGTAAACTCCCTGATCAGCTCCCTCGCGTGCCTCTTAGTGATGCCGTCATATTCCGGCTCCAGCATCACTGTTGTGCACGCAAGGGAGCTGAGCAGGGAGATTACTGCCTACTGCTCCCTCGCCGCACGCGACTATTTTGTTTTTAGAAATTTTGGCGGAGGTTCCGCGGAACACCAGTTGGGAAACACTGAGGTAGAGGAACACTATAGTGTGAGGAATGCTAAAGTGTTACTTTAAAGGGACACTATAGACACCCAGAACACTGCTTTACAGTGAAGTGGTCTGGGTGCAATGTTCCCTTTGTTTTAACCCAGGTGTATAAAACATTTCCTGTCAGCAATCATACTGACAGCCACATGTGGTGCTTTAGAAAAATAGAAGAGTAAAACTAGGGTATTTCAATCAAATGGTCTCAAAGAGACCGTCTGAATGGTGCAGTGCTGTGTTTTGCCAACCAAACGCTCTTGCCCCCACACAGGAAAGCATTGGATTGGCACCACAGGAAAGCATTGGATTGAGATCATCGAGAATGGCGGTCTCGGCCAAGGTGGTGGGGCCAGCCTGGGAGAGTACAGCGTGACATGGGAGAGGAGGTAATTTAACTTCTATTTTTAGTGCTTGCAGGGTGGGTCAGTCACTTAAGATGGGATACTGTCAGCAGCTGTCATAAAGATCTTACCTCTGTGTCATTTGTCACATAGTTTTTGTCATCAGAATACGAAAAGCCTACACCAGCTGGACTCTCGAGATAAAGAATATTTGCAATCTAGATCATAAAAACAAAGAACGAAACTAAATCGGAAAACAAATATCTACAGAGCACACAAGTAACAAAAACCATACCGTTCATGATAAATTATTGTCCTAGCTCATAGTCGGCCATAGCACAGCTAAATTCATAAAGATGTGCACAAAAGGATTTTTTATTGAAAAAGCATATTATTTATGGAAAAAATAAACACTTTTCTAAAGTACTAGCTAATTTTTACTTAAAAAATAAAGCACAAGATATCATCTGTTTGCTCAGTGTTATATAAAGAGATACAGAAAATGTTTCATGATCATCATTTTTAATCAGATAACGAATAACTGAAATCAATTCAAATGGTCTGATCAAAACCTGAATGTGTGGTGGGGGCCAGGAAGGTCAAATGAGCCCTGTGTCCGGTTATTTTTTAACCCGTAAAAAGACCATTAACGGTCTGTGTTATGATGAAGATGCAGGACATTCCATTCAAGAATTAAAACGATTCTCAGCACCAAATATCTACATTTATGTGCACCTTTTCCTCTGACAAATGTATATAAATAGTCAAACCATTTTCAAACAGTTGAACTACTCAGTTGCACCAATTGTACAAAATGGACAACAAGGCTATATGGAGCTACCAAAAACAAAGAACAGAACATGTTGGATTTTTTTCAATGCTGCCCTAAAATTCTAAATTTAATTTAAATTTAAGGAGGATAATTCCTTAATAGAACAAAATCAGTGTCCACTTAAATACATTTCTGGCAAATAAAAGCTTATGCACTTGCTAGCAATTTATGAGATACATTTTAATACTTCGCTGACGTACGCCTGGTCATCTTCACATTTATAGAAAAGGTTCCACTTTAAGTCATGTTTTAAAGGAATCCAAATGACCAATTTTCCATTTAATAAATCTACTGATTGAAAATAAATAAAGGTTTGTCAGCTTTATTCTGTTTTTTTTTAATAGAAAGCTGTAATGGGATCTAATGGAGACTACGGGAGTGAAAATAACAGTAAGAGATGAGGAAAAAAAAATCGTATGAACTGGGTTGAAAAGGCAGCATATGAATAGGTATCGGTATGTGGAAAAAAAACAGATTTAAAACTAGACTGCAGATCTATTAGTCACCTTGTTCCATGAGTAAGGGTTGTACTCCAACGTTTCACCATCTGATTGTACCTAATATTAAAAATAAAGACACTTTAAATTCAGCAACTTAAAAGCAATCCACAAATGCTTTCACGTCCTAGTGAATGTACTTAATTGAAACACACCAGGAAGGGTCCATGTTCCGTTAGAAGCCCCGCCAACGAGCTACAGCCAGGACCACCATTCAGCCACAGAACCACTGGTCTAGAACTGTGTTCCTCTTCAGATTCCACAAACCTGCAGATATGTTTTTTAATAAATTATATTTTTATGGAGGCGCAGCATGTGAAAGGGACAGAAAGAAACACTCACCAATAATGGAAACGCTTGTCATCTGAAGCAGCAAGGTACCCAGAGTAATGTCGAAAGGATGGTTGTATAGAAAGGCCTGGCATGTAGTCAATCACATCTGTTAGGGGAGCACATTCGGTGGGAAGAATCCCAAGTAACAGTGTACAGAAGAGGCCTAAATACATATTGGGAGTAGAACGGTAAAGAATAAAATGATGTTAAGATTGAGCCAATTTATAAGATATGTATTTTAAAAAAAAAGTTAGACAATCAGCTGAAGATAAGAGATCAAGAGATAATGAAAAGGGTCTCCCGTACTAGAGATTAATCTGCAAGCGACTCACCAAGAAGAAAAAGAAATTTCACGCCAAGCTATGGGAGCAGAAAACGCAAAAATAAATGTGAAAACTTCTTATTATGGTAATTTTTACAGTACAATCAAATCCCCCTTTGAATGTTCTACTTCTTTTACTCATGGCAATTCTCTTGCATTTAGTTGATAAAAGTTTAAAGGGACACTGTAGTCACCAGAACACCTGAATGTAGTGGTTCTGGTGTCTATAGCATGTACCTACAGTCTTTGCAGTGTACCTACAGTCTTCTCAGAGTAAAAGCAGTGTTTACAATGCTGGCTACTAACACCTCTAGTGGCTGTCACTCACACGCTCTACAATGGAAACACGGAACGCTCTCCATAGAGATGAGGAGATGCTGATTGGCGCAGAGCAACCCATTCAATAGACCCAGCAGCAGGCCATCTGCAGCCGAACAGCCGAACTGCAAAAAAAACCAAAACAAACACATCATAGAATTAATTAGTAGTATATATGGGGGTGGCATAGAAAGATATATATGTCCATTCTTCTATGCCACCCCAATATGTCTTTCCTTCTATGCCACCCCCATCAGTTTCTCTCCTTTTGTGCCACCCACATCTATGTCTTCCTTCTATGCCAACCCCACCAGTGTCTCTCCTTTACCAACCCCACCAGTGTCTCTCCCCCTCTATGTTGCACCCAACTGTGTCTATCATTTTGTGGCACTTCCATCAGTGTCTCTCCTTCTAAGCCACCCCCATATGTCTATTCTTCTACAGTGGTAACTCTAGGAATAATATATACGGGAGCCACATAAGATACCAGAGTCAATACTGGGGGCACTAATAACTTCCACCACTAAATCATACAACAACAAAAAAACTAAATGAAGACATATACGGTAAATGTACACACAAACGTATTCAGAGGAGGCAAGTAGTGACATATCTTTAGTTTACAACTCAGAGTAAAAACAGTATTAAGGGGGTTATTTAAAGAGCACTGGTGTTTGCTTTAGCTGCAAACAGTGGAGTCATTCTGCGCTATTGCAGCAGCGATAAACTTTGGTGTTTCAAAAAGAGGAATTCAATTGATGGCAGACGAAGGGTCGTCTTCCGCTGTTTGGAATACATTTTTGTGAAATGCCAAATTTCGTAGCTGTTGCACCAGTATAACCAAATTGTATCAAGTTTGATTTTGTTGTGAACTAAATACACAGCTTCCTGCATCTCCACGCTAACGCTGGGCTGACATCACATCCCACCTCCTGGCATCAGTACATGGTGTGTGAGGAACCTGTTAGAGAAGTCCAGAGTGATCCCTCATATTGGCTGAGCAGACACTTGCCACAAGGTGCTGCTGGTACACAATTGTCCCTCTCTGTCATCCTCTTTTCCTTGACTCTGCATACACACACAAACTGCCTAATATAAACATACGCACACACACTGCGTAACACATACATACCTAGATACTACTTGATATATACAAATGCACATGCACAAAAACTTCCTAATACATACATTCACTGCCTAATACATACATACACACACACACACACACACACAAACTACCTAGATACATACACACTGCCTAATAATACACACAAACTGACTAGTACATGCACCAATTCACATACAAACTGCTAAATACGCACATACACACACACTGATAAATACAGCTAAACAAACATACACACTGTTAAATATTCACAGAATAGCAAATACAAACACCCACACTAGTAAATACACACACTGCTAAATACATGCACACACTGCTAAATACACACACACCCAGACTATAAGAATAATACACACACAGATTGCTAAATACACACACACAGAGACTGCTAAATACACTAGCACGTCGCCCATTCGGCTCCACCACCGCATGACCGCACCAGATTGGTGTGATCACATAGAGAGGAGGGAGAGGGACTTACCTGAATCTCAGCGAATCTCAACGCCACACTCCACACTGCCGCTTCAGTGCCCGGCCAGTCCATTAACAATAAGGATGCCGGCAAATGCAGTTCCACAACCCTAAATAGCTTCACCCAGATGCATCACAATTGATGCGAACGTGCCTGCGTCGTCCCGTCATCTCCACGTACGTTCTGGAGTCAAAAGGCCTATTCCAACCAGTCAGGAGTGTTTTAGGGATATTTAAACCCTTCTGTGCTTGTTTTATGTGCCCAGTCGTGGTTTCCACTTGTAGGTAATCGGATTGTAGGTATCTGGTTTATGATCTTGGCTTGTTCCTATCTCTTATTCTAGTATCTTGACCTTTTGGCTTTGTCTATTTGTTTATGCTTCTGTCTATGTCCCTGACCTCGGACTGTTACTGACTATTCTTTGTACATTAAATCCGGCCATTCTACGGCCCGGTAATATGTATAATATATTTTCTCTGTGTCTAACGTAATTCTGCGTGTTGGGCCACCGTATCGTCCTGATATACACACAGACTGCTGAATACATACATGCACACCCAGCCTGCTAAACACACCCAGCCTGCTAAATACACACACAGATTGCTAAATACACACACACAAATTGCTAAACACACACACAGATTGCTAAATACACACTCAGACTGCTAAATACACACACACACAAATTGCTAAATACACACACACACACACTGCTGAATGCATACACAGACTGCTGAATGCATACATGCACACACAGACTGCTAAATACACACACCTCCATCTGTGTCTTTATTTCTATGCCACCCTTGTCTCCTGACCCTTGTCTCTCCCCCATCCCTTAGTTAGTTTACCTATAATATTGACTCCTGGTGCATGCTGGGAGCTGCTGAAGCACTTGCTCTCTTTTGCTCTTCCCACTCCTCCCATGCGGATTCTGTTAGTGGAGAGTGGGCGGGACAAACTGCATCTGCCTATCCCCGCCTCACACACAGCACAAGCACCAACGACTCTTCCTAGGACAGCCTAAGAACACTGCACACCCTGGTGGCTGGTGCCAGTATTGCAGAACATTCTACTATCAGAGAAAAATACCTGCATTTGCATTGTCTTTATTTTTGGAATACCAGTACTGGCCACACAGCCCCAAATTTCCGTAAAATACCGGCCAGGTTGGAACCCTAGAGCCCTGAGGGGATGTTTAGGGTAGGGGGCTACTTAGGAGTTTTAGGTGCAATCCAGTTGTATCCATAACTGCGTCATATAAAATAAAGTTCTATTTTATTTCATGATCTTAGCTAAGGGGGCGGGGCATGGGGCCAGACGTGACCAGACATGTGCGGCGCTGGAAACGATGAATAAATCACAATTTTAACCAGAGGTGGTTGGGAGGGGGGAACAGTGGCCTAAATAGCTATTTAGACCTATAATGTCAGGAATACACGATTGTATTCCAGGGATGTATTTAGTATCTGTGCTGCCCTAGGCATGACGGAACTCGGGCACCCCCTAATTTACATTTGCCCCACCCCTTCCTGTCAATGCCACACCTCTTCCTGTTAAACAACTAACACACACTTTGACTGACAGACACACTCTCAGATACACTGACATACACACTGATTTGACACATTCACTGACAGACAGACACACAAACACACAATCACTCAGACACACAGGCACCCTCACAGACACAAACAGAAAAAAAACACATTCACTGACAGACACACACACGCACACACTCTAACTCACTGACAGACACACACACACAATCACTCAGACACACACTGATATGATAGCCAGACACTAACAATCACTCAGACCAGGGCCGGATTAACATAGGGGCTGATGGAGCTGCAGCTCCAGGCCCATGGAATAGGCCCATTGATTTAAAAAAAAAAAAAAAATTATTTTTTTTTAACATTTTTTTTTTTCCACACACTACTCTTAGGGATTCCACCTGGCTTTTATTTTATTGGCACAGCCAGTATTTGAGGCTTCCTGGCTGGTGCCAATATTCAGTGATACTGGCAATACAACTGCTGGTGTTTTTCTCAGTATAAACCAAGAGATTACTATGCAATACCAGCACTGGCCAGTAGGGGTCACTGTGTGTGGAGACAGGCAGGGATAGGGAGTTGCAGTATATCTCTCCCTGCCTATCTAAACTCACTGATCTGCAGGGGTGCAGCTACAGAGAGTCCAGACAGCAACTCCCACCCTGCAGAGACAGCCTACAGCTCAGGGAAGTAAGGGATGGGGGGAAAGGCTGCAAGGAGACATGGGGACACTGAGACACTAAGGGACATTGGGAGACATTATGACACAGACACATGGGGACACAGTGTCCCCATGTCTCCCAGTGCCCACAGTCTGCCAGTGTCTCACTGTCCCCATGTCTCCTAGTGCCTCCATGTCTCCCAGTGCCTCAATGTCCCCATGTCTCCAAGCTAGTGTCACTAGTGTCTGTGGCCCTGGTGTCTCCTTGTCCCCATGTCTCAATGTCCCACATGTCCCCCAGCCAGTGCCTCTAGTGTCTGTGTCCCCATGTCTTCAAGTGTCCCCTATTTTCCCTGTGTCCCCATGCGTCCCAGCCAGAGTCCCCTAGTCTCCCAGTGTCACTGGTGTCTCCATGTCCCTAGGTCTCCCCGTGTCCCCAGGTCTTCCCGCCTTCCTAGTGACATGGGGACCCTGGGATACATGGGGACACAAGGAGACATGGGGCATTGAGACACTGTGATACATAGGATCACTGGGAGACCTGGGGACATGACACTAGGGGACACTGGGAGACATGGGGCACTGAGACACTGATACATAGGAACACTGAGACCTGGAGTAATCGACACATGGGGGCACTGGGAGACATGGGGCCACTGGGAGAAATGCATCTATATTTTCTCTTATGTCACTCCTTGTGATTTACATCATGTGATGTCACCCATACATATTTAATTATGCAAATTAGCAAGGCGGTATGTTTTTCCAAAAAAGGTGGCAACCCTAACTACTTTTCACATACTCTTACTTAAGTATGGAAACTTAAGAGGGATGTATGGGAACAAAACTTGTGTGGACTGGCTGACAATGAATATAGTTAAAGGGACACGAGTCACCAGAACAACTACAGCTTATTGAATTTGTTCTGATGAGTAGAATCATTACCGTCAGGCTTTTTGCTGTAAACACAGGGGGAGCTAGATGGTGGTGTTAACACTATAGGGTCATGAATTAATGTTTGTGTTCCTGACCCTATAGTGATCCTTTAAAGGACCACTATAGTGCCAGGAAAACCGCCGGGCTCTGGGGAGAGGAAAGGGGTTAAACTTACCTTTTTTCCAGCGCCGGGCGGGAGCTCTCCTCCTCCGCCTCCCATCCTCCTCTTCGGCTGAATGTGCATAATTAATTAGACTGGAGGGTATAAAGAGTCCCTCCTCCCTCTACACCTCAGTCCAATTATAAAGCTGAAAATTAAAAGAATGGGCGGGAACCTTGATGCTGCCATGAGAAATAGCCAGGAAAAGAAAATTACGGTAAGTTTGTTATAAATTTTCTCTATTCCTGGCTAATCATGGCAGCATCACCCAAGCTCACATAAATATAGGGTGGGAATAATAAACCGAGAAAAAGACACTAAACTGACTCTTATGCTGCAATGAAATTTAATATCAACGGGATAAAGAAACCATAGACAGGACACTGTTCCCAAAGGAGGTGGAAGGAGAGCCCACATCCAGTTTGTAATGTTTTAAGAACGTCATCGGGGAAGACCATGTGGCTGCCCTGCAAATATCATCGTATGGAACCTCTGCCCAATTAGCCCATGAAGTCGACAAAGCTCTAGTAGAATGAGATCTTGTCTTCATTGGAGGAGGTCGACCTTTCGAGACATATGCATTCCTGATAACCAGTGAAATCCAACATTTCAATGTAGATAACGAAGCTGCTTCACCTTTCCTGGCTCCCAATGGCAAAACAAAGAGTTGGTCAGTTTTCCGGAAAGACTCAGAACACTTAAGGTACATGGACAGGCAGTTCATGACATCCAAACGTTGCCATCTAACCTCCTCTGGCGAAGAAGGATTGGGGTAGTGTAGAATATTGCATATTCTATGTTTCTATTGATTATATATGGATGTGTGGATTGACATAAGTAACAGATGGTATATGTCACAAGGCTTTCTTTGTCCGAGAGCTCTGGAATGTGGATTTGGGGGTTTTGTCCTTATATGGCTAGAGTTATAGTCTGACGTCATTATGGCACTTCTATATAGTAACTGAACAGAGGGACACGAGGTCGCTCTCTCTCTTGGCTCTCTTTCCTGTACAAGATGTAACTCTCCGTCAGGAGTCCAGCAATTACCATCTGCTGTTGAATGTCCATTATCCTGTAACATCATTTGTTGTTTTATTATGTATCAGTAACTAAGAATAAACCTGAAGAAACTGTAAGTCAG